TCAGAGTATCGACGTTGATCTCGCGCGATAGCGGCTAGCACGGGGGCGTTCGCATCTCGAAGCAAGTTAAGTCGGTGATGTTGGTGGGAAGGGAAAGGGAAGGGAAATATGGAGCGATATGTCGTTGTTTAAATACCTCACCAGGTATCTTTCGGTACACACCGCGCGCGCGCGCGGTATGCCGATCGCAATGAGATATCTCGACAACGAGACGAAGCCGGCCGGTTGCGCTGTCGCTACCCGTCGTTGTCATCGACATCGTCATCGTCATCGTTGTTGCTGTCCGTCGCTAGCCGTTGTCACACATAATGACGCGGGATGACCGAAGGAGTTCCAAACCTCTTTTTGTCAAGTGTCAAGACAAAACGAGGACAACTACGACTAGCAGACAGACAGAAAGAGAGGGAGTAGAACGCGTAGTAGGACAGAAGGGATTTGATGAGAGAGAAAGAGAGAGAGAGAGAGAGAGAGAGAGAGAGAGAGAGAGAGAGAGAGAGAGAGAGAGAGAGAGAGAGAGAGAGAGAGAGAGGGAGAAAGTGAACGAGCGTGAAAGAAAGGAAGGGTGGGAGAACGAGACACGCGTAAGCGTAAGCAAGAAGAGAAAGAGTGGCGGAGAATGAATGGTCCCGGGAGTCATCAGCATCGTGGTTTGGGTATGCAGGGACGTTACAGGCTCGTGTAATAGCGAATGGCGTCCCGCCAGGGTCGCACGTGCGCGCGCGCGCGCATGCACACACACCCCCCGATGTTGATCCATCCCTGTAACGGATGACACTCTTACAGCCGCGGTAGCATCACACACGATCTCGCGCAGCAGCAACGCTGCGATTCGCCGTCAACAAGGAACACCCTACTCACGATATCACAATAGGGATATTAACGAACTCACGCTGAATCGCGCGCGACTCGCGGTTGTGACTCGTCGACTTCGCCGTGCATTCTGCTCGCATTCCGAAAGAGGGGGGGTGTGCTTCGCTTCGCTGTATAAACGCGTGCTTCGAAATGATTCGCTGCGAAAGAGGTCCGCGTGTTATTATCCTCATTAGACAAATGTGTATATGGATGCGCCCGAAAATGCATCGGATCGCGCGCGATATGTCGACGATCTTTATCCGTGATAAAGCGATTTGAGCGAACTCGTGAATGGGAAACAACAGAGCGCAATAGCGCTCTGATTTTGACATGGTACTTTTGCTTTAATGGGACTCTTGTTTTTACTTCCTGTGTGAACATTTATTATCGAAGATCTAATCGAAGAGAGAGAGGGAGAGAGAGAGAGAGTTATGATGCGCGCGAAAAGAGTAGAGAGTATAGCAGTGGATGTCAAAAAACATATTCACTTCAACATGTTTATACAGAGACCAAGTACGAAAAAGTACAATATACTTTTCCGTATCAAAAATGTTATTTGTAACAAAAGAATATTTTTCTTTCACAGTTATTCCCGTGTTTGCGAGGCCATATAAAGAGACGACGACGCGATGAGTCGCCGCGATGTATACGATCTTCAAATCAATCTTTTCCCTTCGCTTCGGTAGCTAGGATAAAGAAAAATAATCGCTTGATTGCTCGGGTAACTTGCTGATGATAGAAAGTGTCATGATGATTAAGGGAAACCCGCTTAATTTTCATTCAATTTTCAGCTGCAAAAAGATTCAAGTAACTTTGCGATACATGTATAAACGAATATAACAAACGGGCTCAGGTCGGACTATACTCTGCGCACGCGCGTGCGCGCGCGCGCGCGCGCGTGTGTGCTCTGTTTAATTTTCAGAGAGGCCGACATTGAAGACTCGATGATTCTCTAATCGACGATAATCGACTCTCCGGAAGGGTGCCGTCCGCACGTCCGCACGTTGCACATTGCGCGCGCGTTGCTCATGTACACGACGAGTCGCAACGCTTTATTTCCGCGCTTCTACACAGGCCTTTCGCTCGTTGGAAAGGCGTCTCTGCTTTCGTTTATCTGCTTACCAATTAAATCGGCTATCGATTCTCCCCTCTTCTCGCACAGACTGTCTGCTTTTGTTTCTGCGGTGCTGGATTTTGTACGGATTGGATTAGATACGCACGACGAGCATTATTATTATGTGTCGCGTCACGTGCGCAGCATTGTAATCAACGAACCAATGAACTTTTGATAAGAATCTTTTATCGAACGCGAGACAGCTAGCTATATATATATAGCTAGCTGTCTATCTAGCTATATATAGCTAGCTTGTATCTTGTTTATATATATATATATATATAAATTATTGCTCCTCTAGTTTCAATGACAGTCTTTTTAGACGATTGTAGAAACAGTCTTCCCGTAAATAAGTAGTATGTAGAAATCCGTAAATTTTTGACATTTTGACAGTTAAATATCTTCTAAATTAAGCATTATACGCGCGCACGCACGCGTCCATTTTCTTTCTTTTAATGTAATCTATCTAACTTATTCTCTATATCTATTTATTTAAAGAGGGCACAGTATCTTTAGTCATTTACATACCCACGCACACGCGAGTTAGAAACGAAGAAGGTGTAATTGAGGAGTATCGGTAAAGTATTGATTGCGGTAGAGAGGAATATTCCGAGATTAAGGCGAGAAAATTAAGCCGTGAAATGGCGGGACACGCGCATGATAAACATCTTTTTTTGTCTCTTCACCTTAAACGAACAAATTATTTCTCTCGTTGCTGCAATTGTTTATTACACTGCACGATATTGCAGCACAGTAGTTGGCACAATAATCTTGCGCGTAATTTTCACTCTGGCAGTACGGCAGTCGTTTATATCGTGTAGGGTGCGTCGTAAGAGACACGCTTATCGTACGACTCCTGTTACGTATTCTCGAGTATCTTTGGAGAAATACATTTTCTAAACGTAGGAGATACACACAAAGGTAAAAGCGTATGAGCAGCATTATAGGAATGTTACATTATGTACTAACAGCTCTGTGTATGCGTGTGCGTGTGCGTGTGTGTGTATGTGTATATGTATGTATGTGTATATGTATGTGTATGTTTGCGCGTGTGTGGTACATAAACGTAGTGCGGCGATTTTACGAACGCGTTCGCATCGTATATTATGTAACGTTGCGGTTCGGTTTCCATTGATATATATTTTTCATGGCGTCGCTCGCGAGGCAACCGGTTTTACGTTTCGATTGTGCAACAATAAATAAATCCTCGGCTAACGAAAATAAATAAACTCTCCGCGGTCCAGTTTGTTCAATCGTTAACCATTACGGTCAATTTATTCGTCGATGCTTGTAGGTCAAGCAAATACATACAGAGAGAGAGAGAGAGAGAGAGAGAGAGAGAGAGAGAGAGAGAGAGAGAGAGAGAGAGAGAGCGAGAGAGAGCGAGAGAGAGCACAGCGTCCCGTCACTATCGGATATCCTTTCAGTCACGGATACGTTGCCGCGAATTCTCGGACCCGATTCGATAGAGAATCAGAGATAGTACAGGATAAGTACAGGACTAAAATGAAATTGGCCGTCAATCCGCTGTTTTTATTTTCAACCATAGATTTAGCGTGTGCGACGATGAGTTTTTTAAATCGAATCTTGTATCTTTCTGGAGATATATAAACAAAAAATAAACGTAAAATTTCATACCGATTTATGTCTATAAATGTACCTATAAATGTATAAATATTTTATTCTTGGAGATAGTTTCTCAATGAGATTTGTTTAATCGCGCGCGTAGCGCTTCATGGCGCCACATAGTCACGTAGAATAATTGTTTATGACAATTATGTTTGTGTGAAATAATGTTGACTTTGGTACGGTCAGCCTCATACCTATCGAAGTACTACCTATCGAATAGGGGACGTATTGCGTATTGCAATTATAATTTGCGACGAGTATGACTTTTGCACAATTGTTCGTGGAGAAACACTGTCGTTTAATCGCGACAGATACTCACGTAAGATAGATTTTCGCGATAATCGCGTTATGACCGCGAGTCACATCTGTCTACGTGCAATGTAAGATTTTCATTCGAGCACAATACATGACGAAGCGCCGAGAACCGCTTCGCGTACATACACAAAGTACGCGAGAATCAGAATAGAAAGGTGATTCTCTCACAATAGAAATCTCTAGATGAACGACTCCTAGGTCTCCCGGAGTCGGAATTTATCGCAAATTTGGCACGCGCCGTCGCGACGCGAGAGACCTTGTACGCCAGAGAATCCAAAGTAAAATTAATTAGGCGTGTCGAAATAGATCATGTTCACGTATATACAAACACGTACGCGCGCGCGCGGATCAATACACTCTTGGAGTTGGATTCGGGTGGTGCGATGTTCGCAATACGCGCGAAATTCGTATCCATCGAAATTTGTACGAATCGTGCGACGAATATAGCGGAGCATCATCATCATCATCATCCCGATAAAGGCGCGAGGGAAATCTATTTGATTTGATTTGATTTGATTTGATTACTATTGTACTTGAGAGTATTCGCGTTCTCGTATCTCCCCTCTCAGAATCTTTGCTCAAGATTGCTCTCAGTGCGCTTTGGTTTTACATACATAGCAGAAGGGCAAAGAAGGAATAATGAAATATACGCACACTTGTACATACGCTGTGTACGATCTCGGACGGTAAAGGAAACGGCGGGCAATAAGATCGATGGGGACAAACGTTGGAGAATTGAAGATTTTCACCGCGTCCGCGCTGGTCTCGCATACGTCACTCATTTCTATTACGAATGCGGGCACGCTCGCATCAGCATGCTTAATCGAATTATCACTTTGGAAGTGCGCTCAGTGTATCGCGCGAATTTATGACATATTTTTCTCGCTCGCTCGCTCGCTCGCGCACGCACGTACAGGGTGGTGCGTTATTAGCGTGTTGTCGGTGCGCGCGTTACCACCACGGGAAAGGGGTTGCTTCATGTCGTTATTGATGAGGGTATCGCCGGCAGCGAACTATCCTGTACGTGCACACGCATGTATGTGTATATATACTACTCGCTCGTTCATATTTCTTTATCTCTTCTACACAGAGATTGCCCTGGGGTTGGCACGTCCTCCGGGCCGGCCGGCAAGGAAGTTTCCTATCACGGGAACGTGGGTGGATCCAGCGTGGGATATAAGCCACCTCCGCAGCACGGCAATCCGCAGACGAGGGGCCCGCCGCCGCACTTCCCCCAGGAGCCGGTAGTAGGGCCGCAGGCCAATTCCCCGCCGTTGCACATCAATATCTGCGGACAGGTGAATGCATATATGCACGTCTCTCTCTCTCTCTCTCTCTCTCTCTCTCTCTCTCTCTCTCTCTCTCTCTCTCTCTCTCTCTCTCTCTCTCTCTCTCTCTCTCTCTCCCCCTCCCTCCCCCTCTCTCTCTCTCTCTCTCTTCCCCTCTTTGTCTTCTACTTTGCTTTTGACAAAGAAATTACTTAAACGAACCATTGCAATTTTCAGGAGAACACGATGCGTGGCCCGATTTTAAACATGAGTCCCGGCCTTGGAGCCAGTGGGGTGGACATAGAGTATCGTAGAAATTCTCAAGGTATGACGGCTCGTCCACTTGCTCTAAGGACGATTTCTTGTTTTGAAGGTGGCTTATTCTGGACATGGCTTTCTTTTTTTTTCTTTCTTTCTTTCTTTACTTTTTTCTTTCTTTTTTTCTTACTTATTTACTTACTTTATTTATTTATTTATTTATTTATTTACTTATTTATCCCTTTCTTTTCCGTTTTCATAACAGTTTGATAGGTACTCGGTCAAATTTTATTATTTTATATGTGTATTAGGGATTTATTATACAAAGTTATTACCAAGTATTTTCTCTTTCAGCCACAAGTCAGCTACCTCTGAGTCCCGTGCAAATTCAACCATCGCCGCCGTATTACAGACAGCCTAGCCAGGACGATGGTAGAAAAGTGAGTGATTACTTTGCCGCCGCATTGATTATAACGACGGCGAAAGCGCCGTGTCAACGTCGGATATCGATTTGTCTTCTCTGCTGAGCAATTTACATTAGAAAGGAAATGAAGGTAGCTTGCCCAGTGGAACGATACCGATATCGATGCCTATCGTTAGATAAGAGCAATCTCTGTGTTAGAAGGCGTGTTTGATATTAACTATTGACAGTAATAGTAATTTTCAAACGGCGAACGGATGTCTTTGTTCGCAATTACAGGGATACGCATTTGAATGGTATCCAAATTATGGTTTCTATGATACTAAAAAGTCTCTCTCTCTCTCTCTCTGTCTCACTCTCACAGTTGTTCACATAGTAGAGTCTGTCGACTTTCTCAACAGCTTTTTTCAATAACTTTTTTCTTCCTTTTGATAAAAATTGTGTGTATTAATCTCTGGCTAAAATATGTTGAGCAAATTCATGCGAGAAAAGTTTTGACGAAAATTAAAGATACGTTCTACGTTTTATTGTGAAGCAAGCTTTTTTCAATCAAAGCGCTTTTCGATAATTTTCTTGTGTATACCACGTTAGCACATGTCGACAAGTAGAGAGACATGCGGCGAATACTCGACTAATCAATAAATGTGTTCATAGAGTGAATCGCCATCCAGGAAGCGTCGTCGAATATCCCGCAATGGCGCTGTTTCCGGAATAGAGGTTCGAGAAACAACGCCGCCGGCTCCAACGCCACCCCTGCACACAACTCCATCGCCTTGGGAATATTCGGGCGCGCCTCAACGACGCTCACCTCGCAATCATATGTCTACACGCGGCAGTCCGACAATTAGGAACCGTTATCAACGATACACGGACTCGTTCGGACTCTCCTATCCGTTCCTACCAGGTGGTCATAATCCTCATCAGACCATCCACAATTCCCATCACGGTCTGCACAGTTCCCATCACAATATTCACAGTTCCCACCACAGCTTGCACAATTCGCACCACAACATTCACGGCGCGCACCAAACCCATCCCCATCATCCGCCCGGCACGGGGCATCATCATGCTCAAGGTACTAACGCTCCCGTGGTTGTTGACGTGGGCCAAGTCGGCGTGTCTGGTTTGGGAGTCGCCGTTAGTGGGGAACCTCTGTGGCATCCGCCAGCGACTGGTTATAGGATTCCGTGTCAACTTCATAGCATCTACACGCCTCACGGAACGCATCCGTTCGGACATTCGTGCCAGGTGACTCTCTCAACTATGAATCTCCATTGCGAATTAACAAGAGACAGACAGATATGTACTGTCGTCCATTGGATCGTCTCTCTCTCTCTCTCTCTCTCTCTCTCTCTCTCTCTCTCTCTCTCTCTCTCTCTCTCTCTCTCTCTCTCTCTCTCTCTCTCTCCTCTCTCTCTCTCTCCTCTCTCTCTCCTCTCTCTCTCCCCCGTCTCTTTTTCTCCTTCTCGCTGCAAATATATTTATTGAGCATTCAGCATTCAGGACTTGTTATCGAGCCAGCTCACACATACGAACGAGACGGCTTCTGTCGTTTATCATTTTATAGTTTATCATTAAGCGTTGTTGTGATAGCCCACTGCGATACATGCTGTGATACATACAGGGTTGTTACAGACAATACTCGCATTTCCCTGCATTCCGCCTGGTATATATGGGCGAGAACTGACTCGTTCTGATCTCTGTTACATTGTAGCGTGCCCTAACAGAAACATTGTTTTCTTCAGGTCACGCATCACCATAGTCATTATTCCGCTGCTCATCCGACGCATCCGGGTCATCCTGGTCATCCGGGTCATCCGGGTGTGGTTGGATCTTTGCTCGGTGCCGCTTCTAGAGGATATCCAACGCCAGCCGGTGGTCCCGTAGCGGCCTTGCATCACACGCACCCACCTCCACCGCCTGTCCACACCACCGACTATAGCGCGCATCATCAGCTGTCTCAACAGGTATAATTCGCACAAAGCGACATCGTCGGTAATCTCTTTCTGTTTGGTATCCTTTCATCGAAGCGCTCGAAGCGCTTAAGTTGCCAATTCACTCCCGCCCCTCTCTGTCTTTCGTTCCAGAGAGAAGTCGAGCTAGAATTGATAGATTCCCATCATCATCATAGAGTGGGTGCCGCCGCTGGTGCACCGTTGCCATTACCACATTCGTACTCTCCGCCAACTATCACACAGGTTACAACACCTCCGCCTTTATTCCTGTCCGAAACGCGAAACAGTCAATTGGAGATTATTCAGAGCAGAACTCGACGGGTAGCGTCGAATGTGCATACACTGCGGCGACCAAGATACAGCAGATGGCGAGGTACCACTCCGCTACCGCCTATGACGTATCCAGGATATCTGCTTCATTTCTTGTACGTAACGCGCACACATTCCTCTTAACTTCGTATCGTTGGCGACAGTGTTGAAAAGAAGATGCCGAATGCCACAAGTCGCTGAGCTGAGTCGATGAATCCAATTTATCCCGCAGGGCAATGTTCAGCAATCCACCGTTGTCACCTTATAGCCAGGCCGAATTGTCCTCGCCCGACTCGGCGACGGAAAATTACGAGGCACTGCTGTCCTTGGCCGAGAGACTGGGTGAAGCCAAGCCACGGGGATTGACTCGCGCGGAGGTCGAGCAGCTGCCTTCTTACAAATTCAATGCGGAGACGCATCAAGGCGATCAGACAAATTGTGTCGTATGCATGTGCGATTTCGAGGCTCTCCAGTCACTACGTGTTTTGCCATGCTCCCACGAATTTCACTCCAAATGCATCGACAAATGGCTCAAGGTAAAGTTGCACCACCTTCGCGGTAAAGCTATCAATTGTCTCTCTTTCTCTCTCTCTCTCTCTCTCTCTCTCTCTCTCTCTCTCTCTCAGTTTTGATCACATTTCCATTCCGTAATACTCGATAGTACGCGCGAGCATGTGATATCACGATCGAAAGGATATCTCAATTGGCGGATCTAATTATTTTTTGCAGTCTAATCGAACGTGTCCGATATGTCGCGGCGATGCCGGTGAATATTTCGGAAATAGCAGCGGCAGTAGTGACTGACGTCAAGCTGGCGACGTACACTAGCGTGAAACTTGTCGAGCATCGAGAGCGTTATTTCACACGGAGATCATCCCGGTAGCCGCCCTGCTACTCTGTGCATATCTGTGCCGTTGAGCGTTTCCTTCATTTTACGTGAAATGAGACACAGTCGTCAACACGATCGCGTCAACGATGCAACATCCTTCGAGCGCCGAAATTAGGAATAATGACGCCGAAACTAGGGACACAAGTGTCGAAGAAAGTGACTTCAGCGCATGATCTTGATTGGTATCGAAGGTGGCAGCGTCTCATGCGCGCGCGAGTGATGTGTGCGTACGTGCATGCATGTGTATGTGTGTGTGTATGTGCGTGCGTGCGCGCGCGCGCGCGTGTGTGTGTAAGTGGGAGATACACGACACGAGAAGCTGTGTGTACGATCCGAGGAAAAAGCGTGTCTTTCTTTCTGATCGCGCTTCTTAATAACGACGGAACGACGGAATGCGAGATGCAATAAAGCAATTTAGCAAAACGACGAAATATCCAAGAGACGTTAGGTTAGATTAGATTCAATGTTCCGTTATAGGTCACGGCGCATTTCCCATCAAAAAGAAAAAGAAAAGAAAAGCGCGCTCGCGCACTATTTCGTTCTTGTTTCGTTTGCAAACGCTTCGATTAATATTTTAACGCTCTTTCGTCATTATTTACGTCACTACTCTCTATTACCGAATTTATGTACATAATCATTGTATACACTGGATGCACGTCGCAACTTCCCATCAACACGTTCCACTTTTCTTTTTCTTCTCCTTTGTGTAGTCTGCCTTTCGATTCTCTAATAATTGTACATAATTCGCGTGAAACTTATACATATGTGTGTGTGTGTGTGTGTGTGTGTGTGTGTGTGTGTGTGTGTGTGTGTGTGTGTGTGTGCGTGTGCGTGCGTGCGTGCGTGCGTGTGTGTGTGCGTGTGTGTGTGTGTGCGTGTGAGTGTGCGTGCGTGCGTGCGTGCGTGTGTGTGTGTGTGTGTGTGTGTGTGTGTGTGTGTGTGTGTGTGTGTGTGTGTGTGTGTGTGTGTGTGTGTGTGTGTGCGCGCGATACAGCCGAATGTTAGTCTTGTTTGGACTTAATCAAATGTAGGATACAAATTCTTTTGCAATAAGAAAGGGATGACGCGTCAAATTAAAGGAAAAAGGAAAAAAATTGTAAAATTCCCTACTGTTTGTTATAGGCTCTTGTGTCTTTGTGTAGGTCAACTAATTATTTTATTATATTATAGAGATGTAATGTGTATATGTATTATGTAAGTATATAATTAAAATTATACTCGGCGCCTTAAGTGCCGTAGGTAGAAATTGTTGGATTATTGCACCAGATGCCACATGTAACTATTTTATAGAATATTCATGGGTTTTTTCGTGTCTAATACGAAATTTGTTTCTCTCTTGCGGGAATTGATAATTGCGGTTGTCTTTCATTTGAGTGCGCTCTGTAACTACATGCCAGAACGATGATTGTGTTGTACACTTTGTAATATCTAACTTCGAACAACACACTTGGACTCGCGCACAAACACGAGTACGGATGAAAATTACTTTTAACCGCGAGAGAGATGATCTGGAGGAAAATTAAAAGCGACAAAAGGGACAGGCATACGTTAGTCAAGTATACACAAAGAAGAGAAAAAAAAACGATAAAAATCAGAAACAAAAAGACAAAAAAAAACAAGAAAAGAATGTAAGAATATCGCTTCTGTTTCCTGCGTATCTACCTCTGATAGAAAAGAAAAAGAAAAAAGAACAAGACGATTCATATTTTTTTATAATACACATCTCATAATAAAACAATAAACATACTTATGATAAGTAAAAGCAGGAGCAACTGGAATGTAGAAAATGAGAGATTTAGGCGTTCCGAAAAGAAAAGAAAAACATTCACTAATAATAAAAGTAACAGTTAAGATTTCCAAGGAAAATTAGCGCCCTGATTCGTAACGCTGTACGCGGATATGCGAATTGAGTTGAATGCTTTCGAGGGGTTGAGTTGAGTTTTTATTTGGAGTCGAGAGAAATACATTTTTCGTAGAAACGGTCATACAACGTGGCTCATGTTTTGTCGCGAGGATATGTATGCTTTCAGTTAATTATCCAATACTTGTATATTTACGTGCTTCTATTCGGTGCGCGAGAGAGAACTTGGAATATTTGTTCATGCTCTTGTTACTTTTAAGATATTTCATGTACACTGTAAAATAAGATATATTATTGGCAAAGTATGAATTGTTGAAAGTAGTTTTGTTATGTTTCCAAATTAACAAAATTGGCGATTATACACATCGAATCATTTCGCTCGATTCAGTGCTGTTTGCATGAGTCTCACAAGGTTTTTTCGTAACGAAAATTTCATCCCCCGCGCTGATAATTTTACGATAATCAAAGAACGAAGCTCGGACACGTGTGATTGCGATTTGTTACATTAGCCAGTTTTCGTGTCATGAAAATCGGTATGGTTTGTATCAAGATGAGTGTACACAAAACTAGCATGTTGTCACATTTATTGCGTACACAATCAGATTGAAGAGATTAAGTACGATGAATGGCGCAAAATGGCGGTTTTATTCCGATGGATTTGTGCGCATATGAAGAAACAAGAAATATGCGTTCGCTTCAATACATTCTTCTCTCTCTCTCTCTCTCTCTCTCTCTCTCTCTCTCTTGCCCTCTCTTTTGCCTCACCTTCTCCCCCCTCCCCTCCTCTCTCTCATAATATAATATATCCTTCCATTTCTCATTGTGTGCCTTTCTATACCGACCGAATATCAAGAGACAAAGTATATTTAAGCGAACGCAAACGGTCCGGTGTGTGTACGCACGCGCCGAAAAAGCGCGTGTATTAGGACGAGTCAAACGCGTTACGCGTTCTTATATCCAGGGAATACACTTAAGAATCTCAATACGGATCTCGATACGTGGATAGAGAGATATATCCATCCAGAACATTTGCCCGATGCTGCGTGTACGAATGTTAAAAAAGAGAAAAAGAAAAGAGAGAAAGAAGGAAAGAAAAGAAATATCCCTGACAATGTTTTGGATTCGTAGTCTCACGTTCTTGCTGCGCTTTTAGCGTGGAGCGCGACTAAAGTTTGCGACACTCTGATTCTCTCTCGTTTGTATTCCATCGCATTTGGAACAGGAATGAAACAGGAAGGATGAGAAGGCAAGCGGAATAAAGAATGATGATGCGACGTTAATCCGGCGCTAAAAGATAAACGCGCGGGTATGAATATATACGGGCCTCTCGAAAGCCAAGCATAGCGTCATGTACATGTGTTGTTGTTATTGTTGTTGTTGTTGTTGTTGTTGCCAGAAAAGGCGGAGATACACTCAAAAAGAAGGGACGCGCAACGCACGTTTTGACGTACGTGTCTACTTGCGACTTACCGTTCACTCATCACGTGCGTCGTGATACGAGTGCAAACTGAAAGTTACCTTGACTTCTTCCTTTATCTTCGTAGAGAGCTTCTCCGAGAGATTCATCGTTTCTTCAGAGGTATATCGTTCGTGGATTTGACACGGGCTAATAATCAAATTTTAGTTGTACGCCAATCCCCGGAGGATCGATCGATATCTATTTTTCATCGGCGACTTGGTTGGTGAGCCTTCGATATATGACGTATACGTATATGTAATGTCGTCATGTCGTAAAAACGTCATGGTGATTAGATTATACATAGCACTTTCGTTAAATCAACAGTGGACGGTTCAGTGGTGGAATCGTCAAGGATCTTGCGTGCGATTATCCGATTGATCGCATTCGCATTGTAACGAACGGGCGCTAATCGCACGCAGACCGCTCGCTGTTATCACGTCTACACGATTTCGACAAGAGGCATACTTACACACACACACACAAGTTTGGTGCCGCGATCAATGAAATGACCGTTTCTATCTTTCTCGGAAACAAGAACAAGATAATCGTGCTCATGCACAAGCAATCGTTATTGTTCGTTTTGGAATATCACGATCACGCCGTCCCCTCTTGAGCGTAAAACTCGTCCGTGCAGCCATACATACGCAACACTACCAATTGTGTACTTTTCGTCGAGGTCGGGGTTATATAATTCATGTCATCGGCGTACCGTAAGGGCAAGTTATTAGATTCTACTTTACAGGAATGTCAAAAGTCTCACACAAAGACGGCAAGCGTGCGGATCGAGCGAGCAAAGCATTGTTGATCCTTCCTAGATGCGTAAGAAGACATATCATTTTTTCATCGCACTAGAAAGCGCGCCTCGCGCTTTCGCGCACTCTCTCTCTCTCTCTCTCTCTCTCTCTCTCCCCCTCTCTCTCTATCTGTCTGTCTGTCTGTCTGTCTGTCTGTCTGTCTGTCTAAGACTAAAGGGAAGGAGCGAGGAAGAGAAGGAGAGAAAAAGAAAATAAAGAGAGACGGCTCATTTGAGATTAGCCTAAAAGCTTATATCGACAAAGCACTGTGACAAAGAGGAACGTGCACTTGACGGGCAGGAGAGAAAAGCAGCCGTTGCGTCGTCAAGTCGCAAGGTTCGCGCGCGGCGTGCGGGTTTTGTGATCGACGTTGTAGCGATATCGATGCTAATCAAAATCACTCGGCACACCTCTCACCAATGTATTTCACTTTGAAGGCTTTAAACATTTGAGTCATTTTACTTTAGTGATCTCGTACTCGAAAAATTATACATTTTCGGCGCCTTTGTCGCCTTTTCTCGCTGCCGCTACAACTTTGCTCGATAACAGCAGCGCAAAGTGTTGATCACGATTTTCTCCAAATTCCCCAACATTGCTTACATTTGAAGAAACGTGATTCTTTTATCGACGTATCTATCTGTGGATGTGTGCGCTGAGATTGTCAAATATGATTAATTTCAATGACAGGCTTCAACTGGCCCATCTAGCGCTACGTTCCTCGATAGCTTTAGATTAAGATAATATAATTTTTCGTACACACGTATCTCTTAAGCACATTCTATGACCATTGTATTAGTCGCAGCGGGAAACATGGTCGATTTCTGAAAGATCTGAGCTAAAATGAACCTTGCGAAAATCACACTTGTACTTGTTTCTTGTACGTGCGTACATACGCGCGTACAATTTGACTTTTTGTACTTTAAGAGAATCTGATGTTGCGGTTGTTTTTGTTGGCAGATAACAAACAGCAAAAGTGCGTTGTCTATTTTTGCGTTTTTGTGTCAATGTCTTGCGACGAAACAGAGAAGAACGAAACAGAGGTGGCTTGCCGCTTTCTTGGGGTGATCGAATCTTTTGAGAAATCGATCATTGAACAATACCAAAATCGTAATCGTTTCGTACTAGCGAATCCGCTAATTGTCTTTAAGTGTAACTTTAAGCTTATAATGTATATGTGTAAATATAGGAAGGACATGTATCGCATTTGCATAGTGCGCCAATAGATATTCAGCCAACTGGCACGCAAACTTTCCACCTCCAGCGTGTTGCTAATCGTATAAAAAATCGACTTGACACTACGTACGTAGTTATTTTATATTTATATTCCAGGAAAGATTTATACACACAGGAGCAGACGCGCACGCGCGCGCGCGTGTGTGTATGTGCGTGCGTGCGTGCGTGCGTGCGCGCGTGTGTATGTGTGTGTGTGTGTGTGTGTGTGTGTGTGTGTGTGTGTGTGTGTGTGTGTGTGTGTGTGTGTGTGTGTGTGTGTGTGTGTGTGTGTGTGTGTGTGTGTGTGTGTGTGCATATGTGTGCATATGTGTGTGTGTGTGTGTATAACCAGCTAGATGTGTGCTCTCATTCTCACGTTTTTCCTTCTTCATTTCGACAAATTTTTCGACAGGTTTCTGTAAATTTTTACAAATAAATACATCTTAATCTGCGCGCATTTTGCTTCTTGAAAGAGACACGTTCCGTACTCGTATCTGACTCGAATCACACTGCGCGCGGGACGGCAGTTCGGATTGACAGTTTGGAATCTTTCGCTCACAAACTCGCTACTTGCTACTCGCTATTCGCGCAGCAACTTGGCGCGCGTTATAGCGCACAAACGATATTTGTGCGATTTGTCTTTCTCATTGGGTACAATCGAGCCGAAACACGTACCGCAGTTCCATCAAACGATCAATAATCAATCTTACAAAAGCGCAAAGACTCTCTCGCCATCCTCCAAACGATAATCATACCAAGTGACCTATGACGATAAAGGCTTATTTTTCGTATTATTGAAATACAAATGCCATAATAAGATTTGGAAAATGTTGCTACACAATTCATATGACATTAAATGACGTTCATCATATACAAGTAGAAGATGCTACCGAGTTACTTTACTACTTATATATATATATATATATATATATATATGTGTGTGTATTATCTATTCTATATTTCTCGGAGATTAAAAAAAAAAGAAAGGAAAATATATTCTTATCTCTCTCTCTCTCTCTCGTTCTTGTACAAGTATACTATTCTGGAAAATGAAGAAAAACCTTTGTCAAAGCGTGCAATGTCAGCAGAGCTAAGATATATGTATGGAAGGTGTTTATTTGTAATATTCTAATAGAGACAAACATCTGAGACGCGAGTATAATGATAATGCATAAAAAATGTAATTGTGCAGAGTTGCGTGGACAATATGTCGTCATTTTTAGCTTATCACTGATGAGGATGAATCATTTTTTACTGTTGATATGCGCGTGCGATTAATACCGTAAGAAGAGACAGAGTTGTTAACAATTGTACAACACGTACAATACAGTAGCACAATAATTGATGCTGTCATCATCATCATCATCATTATTATTATTATTATTATTACGACCGCTTTTCCCATCGTAGGAAAGGGAGGGCGGTGCATGTTGCCAATAGTTGACATTAATTGTACCATATTTGATTTATTTAGTTGTTCTTGTTCTTGCATTATTATTATTACTATTACAACGTCACTTATTATTATCATTAATGGTATTATTAATATTATTATTATTATTACTATTATTATTATTATCATTTATATTGTTAGCAATTAATTGCGCGGTCATAAATTAGCGCTTATTACGTTAAGTTAGCTTATTGTAGCGTGTATCTCGGTTAATCGGAAAAATAGATTTGATTTACTCTCATTATTAGTCCCTCTATCCTTACATGACGTTATAATGTTCGGAATGTAGGTAGAATGTGGTAATAACGATGCCAAACGTTATACATTATTTTATGTCATCATCATCATCAATATTATTTTTATTATTACTATTGCTATTACTATTATCACCATCATCATTATTATTATTATTTTCATCATTATCAATAAACTCTATAGTTGTATTACGATTAAGCAGAGAAGATTACATGTTTTTCATATTAAAGTAACGTTGAGTTGGCTTGTTATTTTATATTATCGTTTATTCCTATTCGCAGTTTGTTCCTGTCATCTTGTTGTTTTCTTCTTGTGTGTAGAGGTGCAACTTGTATCAAGAAGCAAACTCTAATTGTGCAGCATTTAATCAAACAATTTAGATAGTCTTCTCTCAATTCTTTCTTATTTTGAAGATTAAGTACTTTTAGGTTTCAGGTTTCAAATATAACGCAGGCGCGCGCGCACACACACACACACACACACACACACACACACACAATCACGTTTATTATTGAATCATAGTGTTTTTCAGCATGCTCAAGGCATGTTTTTGAAATCTCTGAAATTTGTCTTATTTCAACATTGAAATTTACGCTGTTGCATTGTTGCTCATCCCTTTCATTTCTTCCTCCTACAGCTACCCTGCTAAATGAAAGAGACCCTTTGAAGGTCTCGTTACCGCTCAATCTTGCGATTTATCGTAAATTTTAGAAACGCGAGCACCCTCGCGTGTCTGTAGCGTCTGGAATACACAATTTTCAGCGAAATTATATGTGCACGGTTATTTTCGACCTGTGTGCCCGATACCCGAGTAATCACACGTAATCACACACGTCCGGTCGTTCTCCAAGTTTGCGTCTCTAAACGGGGATCTGTGCAGGAAGAGCGGGCGAGAAGAAGAGGGAGAGCTGCGAGAAGAATTGGCGCGTGAAAGCAAGAGGAACGAAAGCGAAAGAAGGGGGATGGATTTTTGTGCGCGAATGAGAAAGGAGGGATGGGAGAAAGGAGAGATCCAATGTAGGTAGGGGATCGAGAATTTAAGACGGATATGTCCATATCTCTGGACGCGCGTGTTCCGGATGGTGCAACGCGCAAAGACCCTTTTATCCCCTTTAAAGAGACGCGCTCTCGCTCTCCAGTACCTCGGCTTTAACGGAGAGGCCCTTCGGCTCTCGCAGAATTTGCGGAGAGTGAGACGCGAGCTTTGGCGCATGGCGGGATACGCCATCCTCTCCTAGCTTCCTCCCCTTCGTTCGAGCGGGAGATTCGCGATCTCCTTCTCTTTCTCTTATCGATTCACTCCTTTCTTCATTCGCTTTCCGTCGAAGCATTCTACCGAAGATGGGCGTTATTCACGCTTCTCGTCTTCTTTGTTTTTTTTCTTCTATTACATCATCTCTCTTGCGCGCAACCGTGTCAAAATCGATTTAGCATCACGATAACAGATACGTACGTGCTGCATGAAGATGTCAGGACCAGGTTGAATCCCCGGCTGTAGAGGGGACTAAATACTCGAGATACATTCTCAGAATTTTGGATAACGCTAGCGCCAGTAGGTTATTATCACATTTTCACATACGGCTCATATAACTCGACAAACACCAAGCTCTTCATCGAGGGACTTTTCAATAAAAATGAGTGAGAGTGAGAGAGAGAGAGAGAGAGAGAGAGAGAGAGAGAGAGAGAGAGAGAGAGAGAGAGAGAGAGAGAGAGGACACACGATAGAAATTGAGAAAGAAATTTCATTTTAAAAGGACTAAGCTGAGATTCTGACCTTCGGTACCCAGAGTCAAAGCAATCATATTTTCTACTATCCTTTCAAACTGTAGAACTGCAACTTTTGTTTGAGACTTTTCTTTTCTTTGTACAACGCACTTCTTCTGCGATACTCGCGATTGTCATATTAAATGTCTTATATCATATCACAGATATATGCATCGTGCGTATGTATGTACGTAGGGTAATATGTGGAAAACTCGAGTAAAATACGTGATATTCTTATAATATGTCGTCGTCTTTCGTCTTTACATCGAATTGAATTGTATTATTATTATTATTTCTTCTTTTTCTTTTTTTTTTATGGACTTTACCCCATAAAATCTCGATGAAATCGCTTCTATAATTTACAAAATAAATTTTAGTCAGTTTCTTCTTTTGGGCCATCTAGTTTTTCAAAATCGTAACATCATTGAAAGGAGAGAATCTAAAGCAAGATTTTAACAATATAATTTTTGGAGGAAATTGTGAACGTAATATTTACGGTCTACTTATTATACGTGCGACGTATAAAGATCAATGTAAATAATATTCGAGCCATATTGAGCGATTGTTGAGTGCTCGACGTGACATTGATTGACCGATTTGGAACAATTATGCCGGCAACGTGCTGAAAAGCAAAAAAATAGTGTTATCGTTAATATTAATATGTTTGCATCATCTTCACGCTAAATCACGTTGCTTCGTTGCTTTTCTTTCCTCAAAATAAGGAAGGTCAGCGAGGATTATGTAAAGAAAGCGACTGAGTTACGTTGTACATGTGTATATCGGAATACAATGTAAAAAGCAATATCTACTGCACATCTACATATATGACTATACGAACATTTTGGTACACGCATGTACGTAAAACACCACGATACACCCGATCTGTTTTCGGCTCTCGATTACAGGTTTCTTGCAGAATGCGCTTTGCAAGGATGCAACAACATTATGCATATTGAATAATGACGAATGTGCAAGCAAATGCACTTGGAATCAAAAATATTATTCGAAAAAGGAGTGTTGTCCAAGAGAAATAATGTGTCTTGTATATGGCAAGTAAATAATAAGCAATATTCTCTTTCGCGATACAATACTCATACCACAATTATCATTTTGCGACATAATAGGTGTGTTTTTCTCACCTTGGAGGAGTTGGAGGTGTATAGTTTGATAATAATTTGAGAATAAAAAGGGGAGCATGTATGTTGTGTGTGTGTGCGTGCGTGCAAGTGTGTGTGAGATAGATGAAGTGCGAGAGCGAGAGAGAGAGAGAGAGAGAGAGAGAGAGAGAGAGAGAGAGAGAGAGAGAGAGAGAGAGAGAGAGAGAGAGATTGCAAAGTCACAAAATCTGCTTCGTCTTGTTATTATCAAATACTTTGTATTATGTAGCAGTTTGTCATTAAACGTATGAACAAATCTATATCATTAAATTCGCTTTTTACTCAACTGCTAGAAATGAAAACAACGTGACATGTCATTATGACATAGCCTGTATATCGATCTTACATTTTCTCGTATACGCAATGTTCCCCCTATTATCAAACAACAAATTCTGAGTGTGATGAATTTGAAGATAAAATTTCTCTCGATTATATTTTACATTCACTTTTCATAACGTCGCAATATCAAATATTTTGATCATTGAATCTCAGATGCTTTCACTCAAGATCTGTCCGAAATCAGGTATAAGTGAAATTTTGTCACTTATTTGTCTCTTCAGATTTTAGTTCTTGTATAAATTCTTGGGATTGTCATGCTAATTATTGTCGTAAATGTAAAATGAATATTATATATTTTAGGTAAAATGGTATAAAAATTATTTCTCTTTCGATTGTAATCATTGGTGCACCACGACTTCGCCTCCTTCCGCCGTTCATCTTCAACTCGTATCTCTGTCTTTGTATCTTCTTACGTTTCATCGGAATCGATTTCTATGATTGGTTGCCAAGGAATCGGATTTACGTACGCTGGCTTTGCTTTCTGATGTGCTGAGATAACATTGCGTAAGTTGACTTAAAAAGTCTGTCGCTTTTTTCAACCGTACGGACATATATCGTATCAATCATGCATTTTATATTCGTGTAAACGTACGGAGTAATCCTTGCGTAGCAGGCTTGGGTTTACTTTTAGAGGTCTGCATCCACTTTTCGTAAGCCTTCGAACACTGCTCCAATCTTTTCTCGCGCTCTTCGTTCATCTCCTTCTGCCTCGACTCCTGCTCCTTGTGCCGAACTGTAAAAAGAGAGAGGAGAGAGAGAGAGAGAGAGAGAGAGAGGGGAGAGGGGGGGGAGAGAGAGAGAGAGCAAGAGCGAGGAAGAGGGGGGAGGAGAGCGATACTCGTTCGTTCTTTGTGGATTTTTCTATTCGCAAACGGCACGAATTATGCAAAAAAAAAAAACGAAACGCACACCTCTCTGCTCTTCTTTCTTCTTGCGAATCCACTGGCGAAGGTACAGGGCCTTCACGACGGTGGCGTTCTCCTCGATCTTCTTTAGACGCTTCTGCAATTCCAATTCGTTCTGGAACATCACTTTTCTGTCGAGTTCTTGCCGCCTCTTGCCCTCCATCCATTTGAGAAAGTTCTCCTTTTCCAGTCGAGCTCTTTCCTCCTTCTCCTGTGCTATTTTCTCTTCCTCCTCCTGACGTTTCTTCGCCACTTGTTTCTCGTCTTCTCGCTTGCGTTGCGCAGCCTCGCGCTTCCTGCGTATCCATTCCGAATGACTAATTCTCCTGGCAAAGTCTGACTCTCTGGACATCTGACAATTGCTGACGTTCGGATCGGAGAGCAGCGATCTTGTGGAAATACGCACGACTTGGCGATTGTCCAGAATGTATCTGTGCGATCAATTATGGATCAATTATCTTTAAGGAACCTTAAGGACAGTGATATTGCATCCAAGCTTATCGTAAGCTCGAAAACAATCTCTCATATTACAGTCCATCCTTCTGAAAAATGTCTTGGAAAACGGCAAATTGTTTATTTCGTTGGCCATTGTGGTTGCGCTAGTTTGATTATATGCAATATATTAGGTAAATCGGAAAGTTCTATCCGTTTAGCGACAAGTAGCTATAGTTAGAACTGTCGTTAACCTGTAATGTCTAAACGAAGCTTAATAGTTTGTTTTGACATCTGTTAATAACATTCAGTACATAAAAGTATACGTTTGCATCAATAACATTGTTTTTCACTGCATCGAAAATGTCGAAATTTGAGCCAAATAAGCGTCATTTGCGCGAAGTGTTAATCTTTTGCTTCAATTGGAAGCTCAACATCGACGCCAAAGCGGAATATCCACGGAAAGAAGGCAATGCTCTGTGTTTGTTGGGATCAGAAGGGTGTGCTGTACCACGAGCTGTTGAAAAGTGATCAAACAGTCACAGGGGATCTCTACAGAGAACAAATGATCCGTTTGAGCCGAGGATTGCACGAAAAACGACGAGAATATGAAATGAGACAGCATAAAGTGATTTTGCTTCATGACAACGCTCGGCCTCACGTCACAAAATCTGTCAAGGAAATGTTAGAAGCACTTCGCTGGGAAGTGTTACTCCATGCGGCTTATTCACCAGACTGTGCCCCTTCCGACTACCACTTGTTTCGGTCGATGGCACACGCACTTGCTGAGGAATGCTTCAATTCTTATGAAAATGTCGAAAAATGGATCTCTGACTGGATAGCCTCCAAAAATAAGTAATTCTTTCGCCGCGAAATTTGCTTGCTGACCGAAAGATTGGAAAAAGTCATCGCTAACGATGGACAATACTTTGATTGATGTACTTTTTCATTTTGTTTCTTAAATAAAGCCATACGTTTTGCAAGAAAACGGACGGAACTTTCCGATTGACCTAATAATTGCCGCGACAGCCGGAGGGAAAACGCACCGTACCTCTCGTGTCTCACCACTTCGTCCTGACAAACATTCTCCATAACGTTATCAATCTTGCATCGTCGTTCTATTCGCGCAGTCATCCCGGACGAGGCTGTAGTATGAGCTGTGCAAGGTACAAGAGGCAGCGCAGCATCAGGGAGAGCTGTCGAGTAACATCTATAGGTGTTTCGCCCGGTGACTGCTTCTTCGCTCGTTTCGTCTTTCGTTGCGTTGCAAAACGGAACGTCAGCTACAGCGATATCCGAAGGTTTGCAATTGTCACAATTTATATCTATCCGCATTTTATAATCATCCTCTCGCTGCCGATCGCGATCGCTCCCGGATTTAATCTCGGTTTTTATCGTTCGGTCTTCTTGCTCCTCCTTACTGACGGATTCGGTATAAATAGCGGAGTTAACGTATCGGCGACACTCGGGATCAGGACTAGATTTCGAGTTTGTAGCACGACCATGATAGTGATTGGCAGCTTCGCAAAGAGCTCCTTCATCGGATTCCTTGCAATTGGATCCTGTTTGCGAACTGTCAATGTCGCTGTCACTAGCCATACTCGCTAACTTTTAAACTGGCAGTCGCCAAACGCGCGCGTGTCGACTGTTACTTATTACGTTGGACGTGAGACGTCATTATGGAGATGTTACGATTACGATTCAATCCCGCGTAAATAATTCGCAGATGGAAGTGTGCAAGTAATCTGACACAGAAAATGTAATACTCTCCTGAGCGGCAAGCGAATCGACTAATCACAATCGAAACATTCAGCACGACAGTCTTGCATTCTCGATCGTTCCCGGTCGAATGTGTTCAGTCAATCTGTTTATCGGTTATATTTTATCGCGCAAGTATCCGTCATCATTTTGATGTGCCGCATCTTTCGCAGCCTCGGTTTACCCAGTCGACTATTGGATATTTCATTCAAATAAGGTAAAAAAAAAAGAAGAAATGAATTTTTCCAAGCTACTCGATGATAACTTCTCTTTTGCTCTTGGGACAGGGGGGAGGAGAGAGGGAGAAGGAGAGTATGCGTTGAATCTTTAAAAAATATACCTATATAAATTATTTATATTTTCAATGTGCATGCACGTCTCTCTCTTTCTCTCTCTCTCCCTCCCTCTTCCTTTACAGATACAATTAATATACATTTCCATAACGAAAAGAGTAGTTTTAACGTGTTACAAATCTTACAAGAGTGATAAATTTGAATCAACTGTAACAAATTCAGTCACATTTGCGAATGATATAATACAATTTATACATATCTTAGTCATTCAGCTTGTAAGCACGGTACTAATTACATCTTGTCACGAACACTGGTATGCAAGTGTATTTTCGACAAAGATAGAGCTTGAACCGTCGAAAACGACAACTTGTCGAACATTAATTCTTGTCGTTTAAAGCTAAGAGCGAAAGAGTATCTAGCTACTTTGCTTTTGTACAAGTCTTCTCCTTCAGTTCCCAGCAAGATTCCCAAAACTGTTTGAGCCTGTTGTCTCCGTTGGAGCAGAAATGTCGAAAGTCCTGTATGATTTTCTTTTGAAACAACTCGTCTCCCGCTGATGTAGACAGTGATTTCCACTTACGACTGACCATGTGATTCCAGGACCACAAAAATCCCATCTGAACAATAAACAAACCCAATCGCGAACGATGCGACGCTGCGTCTCTCCTGTTCAACATTTTCCTCACTTACCCTCCTGTCCATGCTGTAATCATCCTTGCTCTTGCCACTAACATGTCTCGTAATATACGCCTCGTGCGGACTAGGCTGGTCCGGGTGAACCGGATACCTTTTTTGTCCCGTGTTTCGTCGAACGACATTGGTGCCGGTTCGTGGACGCGGTCGGATATTCGTCGTGGATGGTACAAGTATAAATGCGTTGCCGGTGATGTGAACGTACTGATGATCGTTCTCGGTGTTTTCAACCAAACACGGTACGAAGCCGAATCTTTGCAGGATCGTTTCTTGGAAGAGAAACAGTCTCTGCGCGTATGTGTCCTCCCGGAATTCTGGTGCACACATTTTGATCATTGTTATCGACGCAAATGTGAGAGTCGTCGATCGTCACACAATTGAGATTACAATTGGGACATACCTTCGAAGAGATAACGTTTATTTGCCATTAAACATTCCGTGTCGAGCGGTATAAAAATCGGTCCTCTGAGGGGATCGCTCTTCAGGGTAAATGGCAGTGCTAATAGATCGCTAGGAACGGGAACCATCTGTATCCCGCATATTTGTGCCTTGCGTTGCCAAACGAATATCTTGTGATTGGTAAACAAAGAAAAAAAAACAGAAAGAAAAAATCGATCACAATGTTGTGCGTCTTCGTCTTGGAATCGAGAAAGAAACAGACTCACCAGGTCGGCTGCTATACTACCGGATGATGCTACCCACTGTACTACGAGTTCGTAGGAATGATCCACCTTGTAGATAGACTGGTACCTCAAGTGACCCCATTCGATTCTGTCGCTTTTATTATTGATGTCGATATCCAGATGAGTGTGTTTATACAACGGCACTGAAAAGAGTACAGGTTGCTCGTTTCTTTTTTTCTTTCTCTTTTCTTTCTTGTCGTGCGTGTGTCTCTAAAGTAGTCGTTATAAATATAACGATCCATTTTATTTCATTATATATTCACTGTAGATTTACTCTTACGACAGGTTTTGTAGAAAACCCGAGCACTGATGAACATTCTCACCCGTCCAACTTTTATCGTCCATCGATTCTGTCAAGTCGATATTGTCTCTTAGAAAAGGCGGAACGTTGGATTCGTCGATGGCGTCGCAACTGGATATGGTGATGGGGGATGACATCGTCGGCAGTGTTGTCGGTGATGCTGGTTCGCACCATCCTTTCGGTGGTCTCATCTCCACTTCTACCCACTCGTTTTCGAAGCTCTCCAAATCACCGAGCGGAGCGGAGTAGTCTGCGGCTTTTGCCGGCAACAAGTCGAAATGCGAAGATAGAACTTCTCGTAAAATCTCGAAACCGGAAAAGCAACAAAAGTGCCGCCCGACAGTGCCGGTTACTTACCTTTTTGATTCTCTTTATCGTGCACAATATGATACAGATAAAATCCCAGAACAAATGGCTTTGAGAAGTCACCGGACGCATGACATATCAGTTTATCCTGAATCATCCCCTGCACAAAGATGAATTGTTGTCGAGACGTGTTATCCTGCCGATCGATATGAGATGTATAATATTTACCTTCATAATATTTATACCCTGCTCAACTCCCACGCCACCCTCTATATGATTGTTCAGCCACTGAATAGCGTCCGCGCTAACGAACGTCTGACTGGGAAGCGAAGGATGTTGCGTTAGGAAACCGACGCCAGTTTGAGGGTGCTTCATAGCCTCCAGAATTTCCACGTTTGTTGCATTGCTTTTTATCTTTGTCAGTTCCATGTTCGCACTGTAAGCAGATGTACAACTATATCGCACGATTATACATTAAACATACATTGCGCGTTTAACATTAAGAAAAGTACTATAAAAGACCGTCTAAAAAAATCTATCGTCTATACGGTGGAGCAGCAGAAGAAGAAGGAAGAGGAGAAGGAGGAAGAGGAGAAAGAGGAGGAGGAGGAGGAGGAGGAGGAGGAGGAGGAGGAGGTGGAGGAGGAGGAGGTGGAGGAGGAGGAAACGGAGGAGGAGGAAGCGGAGGAGGAGGCGGAGGAGAAACATAAAATATATTTATACTATATATTTAATATTATATTAAATATATTTTATACTATATTTTTATATTATATTTTATACCTGTCATCATTAGCATCGAAATGATCCTGTTGCTGCTGCTGTTGTTGCTCGATCGACAGCGGCAAAACAGCTTCACTGGCAGGCGATATACGTCCTCTGTCCATTACTTTCGAGCCTGACCTATATTATACGTAAAAAAAGCAAGAGCGTTGACGAATAATGATGGGAATGCAGCAGAAAGATGCTGAATGTATATGAAGCAACTTGTATCACCGAAAATATTTGTCATTACGCATCTTATTTGAACTTTGCGGCAAATTACAGAAAAAGTTTACAAAACGAAAATTCACGAACCATGCTTTTCTATTGCACATGAATACAATTCTACTTTAATTCATTATCGTGTAAATATCCCGAATATTACTTTTGCAAAACTCTCAAAGACAATAGATGTGCAGAATTTTTCTGATTCCACCGAGTATTAGTTGAAAATCTGTTCATCATCGTGTGTACATTTGTGTAAACAAAGAAGAAAAATCGTCTATTTCTATTTATTATCTGATTCCAAGTAACTTTCTATCTATCTGTGCGACAAATATTCAAAGAATTCCCAAGAAAATGGTACTAAGAAACTCTGTATATCTCTAACTTGTTGATTGTCAGTTTCGATTAATTCTTGACGTTTCGCACAAACAGCTTCATCACGTTTGTAAATTTGACTTGCAAGAAATAATGAAGAACGAGAAAATGAGAGAGAGAGAGAGAGAGAGAGAGAGAGAGAGAGAGAGAGAGAGAGAGAGAGAAAGAGAAATAGGTAGAGAGAGATAGAGATAGAGACAGAGATGAAGAGACCAACCTGTTTGGCACGTGACGAGGAGTGTCGAGGCACGTGCGGGCAGCCGCAGCGGTATTCACTACATGCCTCTCCTGTACAGAGAACCCCGTCACTCCCTCACTCACTACCAAAATGTTCTACGATGCGGATTATGGATACAAGCGTTTTGGAAAATTTGAGAAACCTTGCATTTCATAGCTTTTACTTCGACAAACGCTTATACACATACTCCGTTAAATATTAGCCAGAAGACAAAAGAAAGAGAAAAAAACATATATTATATGAATAAATGAATGTGTGTGTGTGTGTGTGTGTGTGTGTGTGTGTGTGTGTGTGTGTGTGTGTGCGCGTGTGTGTGTGTGTCTGTATAAGGAGGGTGAAAGAAGCTGTAAGGTATAAAAACTATAGTACAAGAGCCCTCTTTGTGGAACCTTCTCGCTTTTCTCCTATGCGTCGCACCTGCTCCATGTGAATGATATCGAAATAAATATTAATCGAGATATTCCGATATCGCGAAAGTTGTTATCAAAGCGCGCGATAGATTATGAGTAAAAGTTTGGTAGAGCAATATGTTGTTATCGCGCGCTCGAAAAGCATCACGTTTAACGTATGTTGTATAGCAACATTTAATACTAACACGCAAAACATATTCGAGTATGAATTTTGCACAAACATTTCGTAGATTAAACATGCATGAACGAATAGCAAAATGAAAGGAAAAAAGGGGAAGAAATAGAAAAAAATAGAAAATAGAACAGAGGAAAGAAAAATGTGTGTGTGTGTGTGAGTGTGTGTGAGGAGGGGAGGGGGAGGGGGAGAGAGAGAGAGAGAGAGAGAGAGAGAGAGAGAGAGAGAGAGAGAGAGAGAGATCAACAAACATCAATACGTTCATATAAATATACAATGTGTTCATGTCAAAAATATACCGTTGCGTCTTCTTTTAGTTATACTTGAATTAAAAAAAAAAAATTATTAATATGTTTTAATGCTGTCACCAAAAGCGCATCAAGTACTGAAAATATATCGTTTTAATATAGCCATACATCAACACGATGTATAAAAATTCCCAAAGGCACGCGGAGAATCGTCTACCGATCGCCGAGCGCGAGTCAATGCTCCATATCGTCGTCGGACATCTCGACATCGCGCGGATATCGTTCTCTGACTATTCTCTCTCACGTTGGCACCAGAGACGCCACATGCTTTCTATCGAACAAGCGAAACTGAATCTAGATTGGATCGCACGATGAGTACGTATGGAGCATTCTGGAGCAATAAAGTATGTTCTGCAAAATCAACAAGCTAATCAAACACGTTATGATGCAAGTGTCTTGCCCAGATAATGGAATATTTGCGGTATGTAATGAACCAAGCACAAGTGGATACCACCAAACATTAATCTCGAATATTCCACTGAAAACAAAAGAGTTCGCAAAACTACACTGTTAGAGATTGGCACAAAGCAACAATGCTGAAATCATCAACGTAGGCATGTTCAAACCTTGGTCTCGGTTTCTCTGGCAGTCGGTTGCTTCCGAGTCGCTCCCTGAAAGGAGAGCTGCCGACTAGACTGGTCTGGAAAGTACGATGATACGTATGGGTAATTGTGAACGATATGATTAAGCCGATGATAGTGAGGATGAATATCTGCCTAATTGTAATCATATTCAATAACATTCAAAGAAAATACGGCGTTCGTAAAACACTAAATATAAAAAATATATGTCGCATGTAACGATAGTGAGAGAAGAGTGTAAATCAAACATCGTAACATATCTCACGCATAACGGATAAGCTCGCTAAAATCATGGATGCACATTCAATGCAAATATCAAGCAAGATTACAATAATCGTGATGTACGGTATTGCGCAAGCTGCCTGATCATTCCAAGTAATACGTATCAAGGAAGCGATCGTATCGGAACTCGGATACATCAAGCAGCGTTCGTAAGATGGTGTAAAATTGCATCAGTTGGAATCATTCCCGCGTAAAGTAAGAAACAGATCTCAAAGTTATGAGTATTGAGAAACAACGAAAACGCTAACGACAACGAAAAAGAAAAGAAAAAGGAGATACGAAAAAAAAGGGAAAAAGAAAAAAAAGAAAGAACAAATGTGTATTAATCGCAATCAAGTTTTTTCTCTTTCTGTTGCAGCAACTTGACTATTGCATCCTATTCCCCGAACGATTGGATGCGACAATTTCAAAATTCTTTTCATCATCCTGCGAAATTATTAAATTTTCCTGCTGCAATCTTACTCCGTCCCGCGGTAATCGAAATTGCGAATAGCGTACGTGTTCTACATACACACACGCGCGCACATATATACATACACACCTGTATGTATGTATGTATGTATATATGTATGTACATATATATATGTGTGTGTGAATACACACACACACACACACACACACACACACACACACACACACACACACACACACACACACACACACACACACACACACACACACCCACACACACACACACACACACACACACACACACACACACACATGCGTGTGTGCGTATGTATGTGTATATATATATAGTTTGAAAACTAATTTATAAAATCGAAGAAACATTTTCTCAAGAAATTTCTCTTAGCGGCCTGCGCCCTGCTCTTGTATCTGAGTATCTAGTCAGAGACTCAAAAGTACGAGTCTCATGAATAGCTGGACTTAGTGTATGAGGCTAGAGGAGGGGAGGATGTACCTGGTTAGTGAGGAATATCAGGCTCGTGCTGTGCCTGCGTCTTGTCAAATGAGAGGCAGGATCTCTTGGGGGAACACCACCTAGAGCTGTGGGGCTCTGAAACATATCATGCTGAATACCTTTCCCCGTACAAACATTCCAACTACGAGTCTCTACTTATCGCGTGTATAATAACGGATCTTTATAGATAAATTTGTCGCGCGATCTATTTAATCTCAAATACGTCTACCTGCGTCTGCATATTGACATGTATTTCGGAATTATCGTATATCGTACTAGTGCAAGTATCGTATCGATGGTAAATTATCAAGTAAATAATATGTAACATAGACACACGCGTGCGCGCGTTTACAATTAATGTTAATGCAAAGTATTAAGAAAAGTTTTATAAAAGAAAGCCGTGCGTACTTTATTTAATTTTTTAATTAATACTCTAATTTACATGTATTTTTATACATGTTCGTATTTCTTTGAGTGATTTAGCATGACGCGACCCGCTTTATGTATAGATAATTGATAAAATAACATTGTCAGATTGTTATTAGTTGCCTCGATAAGTTTATATTCTATACTATGATAAATACACTGATAGGAAGGCTGTTTAATTTGAAAGTTAATAAGATGTAAATAATCAACAAAAGCATCGAAATTAAATCTGCGTAAATCAATCAAATATCATAGCATGCAACATTCAAGTATAATACAGAGGAGATATTCCAAAAAAGATATACCATATACTTTTATCATTTAGAAATGTAAATATAAAGTTTCTAGTGTATTCTCTCTCTTTCTCTCTCTCTCTCTCTCTCACTCTCACTTTCATTCTCACTGTCATTCCCTTTTTGTTTTTACTGCTGTATTACCTTTACGTACACGTCATATGGAACCAAGTATCTCATTTGTTTCATATGACACATTACAAAATATGGAATAACTCCTCGGAAATGGCGTAATTATAACGAAAACTATCAAGCAATTTTGAGTGGCACGTGTTGCAGAGATAAAATAAGATAACTACACAACTCAGATATCTATGTAATTATAATGAAATGGTCCAAAAAGAAATTTGCATCAGTAACACTTGTTCAATTTGTTTACGTAGTCTTTAGTGAAAACCTGATCTAAACCCTCGCTCTCGAATCAAAGGAATCAAGATTGAGCATCTCTTCCAACGAAAAGATGACAACGAATCTTTTGCTGGAATCACTTATTAATGATATTGTTACTGTCATACAATTGCTCGTTGGAACATAGTTTAATTTGTTAAACAACTGCTATATAGTCCTAATTGGAATCCTTGTCGGAGTAGTGATCTGATATTCAACTTCATTCTTGTGAACATGTATTATGAAAATTAGAATAGTGAGATTACCCAGTTTTTATTGGGGTTTGGTCGTCGTATTTTATTTAGCCATCCTTCGATGAAACGTAAGAAGCCATCCATCAGTGACGCTTGCTCGGCGTTACTAGGTGGAATATACATATCGCACCTTGGAGAACCTTCCAAAATTTTGCGAGTCGCCGAATTATGCAGTGGCAGTAGGAATACCCGGAATCGCCAATATTTCAGAGCCTTCAAAGAAATTATGTAAAACGCAGGAGGCATAGCAAAACTCACTTCAAGGAACACTATAGATCCAATTCACTTACCTCCACTAAAGCGAAATCGGTATGGCCTCGTGTGCATATATAATGGTCCAGGTAATTCCAATTATAATTCTCGAGTTTTTCTGTAGTAAAGGACACCCACGACACTTCGTACGTATCGTGATGAGGAGCGTGGAAGCGATATCGATAGTGTATATTGAAAGGTGGATAAGGATGTCTGCAAATGTAACTATTACTACAACATTTCTTATGCACAAGTTTGCCCGTCTAATTCGACGCGTTAGAACAACGCATAATTGCAATATATAATAGTAAAATTTACAATAGGAGATGTATGTTATGTTGTGCTGTACGGTGAAACGCGCAGCTCAAATTCCGTGCATATCAATCAATCAATACACTGTAACTTAATTTAAAACTTTTAAAAATTGAAGCTTTAAACTAACTGCATTATACAGGGACAAATTGTGATGAAATTTTGAAATTGTATTCCAACGCAATGAATTAGTACGGTACGTTATTCATCATGTCAATCAAAGTATTTACCGTGGCCGATATCTCGTGACTGTGATGGAATTATTAAATAGTGATATCTTGTGAAAGATTCTCCCAATGCTAAGCAAATATTCTTCCTTGGGTTCGGACTCGGTCTGTCTACCGCGCATTACCGTACTAAGGGCAGGAGTGGCATTGCCGCCAGTCCCGTTACTTTGATTCTTATTGACCGGTGGCAAGATGATCAGTTGAAAACCCTTAATGACACAGGATTCGTCATTGTCCCCGAACGTGTGCGAGTAGTACACGGTAGGAGGAAAAAAGAAAGAAAAAAAGGAAACAGCGTCTTGTCTGTACCTGAGCCAAGCGTTGCGAGACCAGCTCCTTGAAGACTTCCGTGGTTGTGAGCGGTTTCTTATATATCGCTCGCTGTTGTGCAAAATCGGCGTTAACGTCATCCGGTAGAAGATTGTAATCCGACACGACGTAGTCGTTTTGCAAACTTCGCTTATCCGGGAAGTAATCTGTAGTGATTGGTAAGCACGCGGGAATCGTTAGCGATTTCCAGTCGACACCTGTTTGAATAAGAATCGATATTAATTTGTAACGATTCTACTTAATTGCATTGTGGATCGGTGCAAGAGGAAGAAACAGATAAATCGTTGGACACTCGTTCACAGTTCACAGTGAGAAATGTATCTGTGTATGTATATTATCGTTTTTAGTATCGGCGAAAGTCTCTCTCTCTCCCTCTCCCTCTCTCTCTCTCTCTCTCTCTCTCTCTCTTGTTTCATTTTAAAATCAATGTCTTCTCTTTTAACTTTACGAGTTCTACTCAATATCCATTTCTCCGTTATTGTCGCGAAGAGTAGACACTCGATAATCCTGTGATATGTACTTCTTACGAATAAATGACAGTTATAGATATCGAAATACCAAATGACATTATTTCGTGTTATTAATGTCCTCAGAGTTATCATTTGTTTGCTATTATTACAATGAAACAAATCAATTTAAACCAAGTGGAAAAAATATAGATATAGAAAATAAGACATCTTCTGGATGTCTTATGATGATGTTATATATATAATATATAATATGACATCATATATATAATATACATGTGTGGCGGAAATTTCTCAAAACAGCTTATCAAATTATCGAGTATCTACTGCACTGATTTAATTTAATGCCCTTTAATCGAAAGAAACAATTCAATTTGCAAAAATTGTCAATAATATTCTCAATTACATAGAATGTCCTTAAAGGAAAAGAGGAAAAAAAATCAAAAAATAAAAAAAATATACACTTTTTTTCTTAAGCAACAGCATTGATATTATCTTTGGAAACTTGGAATTGTCTTCTGATCACTTCTAGTGAAAATCAAAATCTTTTAGAAGAAAATTTAAATTTACGCACATATAAACTTTACATCTGAGATTTTACGAACATTCTACATATTTCTACATATTCTTAATCTTTATCATACGTATCTCTTTCTGTTAATAAAAATTATTAAATTTACCGATATATACCGATGTATACATCAATGAATCAATAAATTTCATCATTTTGAGGAAAGAAAGTCGAATTATATTGCGCTTTCTTTCGCAGTTACATTTGTCGGATAGTACCATATATACAACTTGAATATGATAAAGATTAAAAATTATAAACATGCGCTCTCTCTCTCTCTCTCTCTCTCTCTCTCTCTCTCTCTCTCTTTCTTTCTGTTTGATAATTATTAGTGTGCTTGTAACAAATATTCTATGAATAGTGATGCCAACTTAGCGTTATTGAGTTATACAATAGAGTAAATGTATTAACAAGAACAAATATGTATGCAACGTGTGTCAGAAAAGTAAAGAGCAAAAGGCTAATAAAATTCACAGAAACAAATAAAAAAATTCTCAATGCACATAAGAGCTAAATGTTTTTGAAAAAATTTTCTCCGATAAAATCGATTTGGTTAGTCAGATCTATGCTCTTATAAAGACTTCTTCTTTGTAATTTTTTTCTTAATCTTGGAGTTAAGTCTTCATTTATGATGAAACATTTTGCATTGACGTTACATTTCATTAATTTCTGAAACACTTTGCATTGGAATTATTCTTCATTGATTTCTATGTAAGTGCAATAAAGTATACTCGGTCATTTTACCAATCTACGAAAAGAAAAGAAAGTATAATGTGCTGAGTTTCTACAGACTATTCTGTATTACAGATGCATTATAATGCGTAAAATCCGAAGCTAATATTACAGCTTACAATCATCCATCAGCGAAAGGAAACACGTGAAGTAACATAAAAATATGTAGATATAAGATTAACGATGAAAAATAAAAAGATATTTTTAAGGAACACAGTGGTATTGTAGGTCATAAGGTAATATGAGCTTAAATAGAAGCTACAGAACAGCACAAAGCAATATGTACAAAGCTATACACAATAAATGGCGAATAATAATATAACAATTGGAAGAAGCTCATGTGGAAAGAAGCGGCTTTCAATAGCAAAAGCATTAGATTTTAATATTTGGCTTTTTTAGTCAGTCAAAAGTTTCGGATAGATTTTTGAGTTGATTCAAACTCGATTTGCTTGTATTCAATAGAAACAAATTATTCATCAACCAGGCAATCACTGCTATTATATATTTGTGATATCTTCATCGATGTTTTCGCAGCGGAACATGACAGCGACATTGTTGCGCGTATGTAATATCATTTATCAACGACATGCAAGGAAAAAAAAATAAACAATCAAACCGAACTTTTTGACCGACCTGATATAAAGCGAAATCTACAAAAAAGAAAAAGAACACTTAAAAAATATACCAAAAATGTCCGTTTTACACTTTATCCGTTTCCAACTTTGTAGAGAATACAAAATATTTTTCTTTCTTTTTTTTTTCAAGACTCAACACACATCTATATATATTACACATATATTACACGTATATATATGATATAGAAAGTATATAGAGTGTAGAGAACAATTAAAGAAAAATGATGAAGAATTACCGATACAGTGACGTTTCTACTTAAAACTAAGGTCCCTAGTACAAACAAATGTATACCATAACCGGATCAATCCCTAATAGTGTATGGCGCTAACCTATGATTGCTGTAAAACAGCGCAAGTGACATCATAGTTGTACATCACACATGTATCAATGAGTCCAGCGTTGCATCCCAACAAGACGTACCATAGCATGGAAATAAACGTAATAACATTATTTGTATTGATGGTCAGTGGTATTGTAAAAATAAATACTGACGTGTTTATATAGAATGAAAATATATTTTGTAAGCTTGTCGTAGAGACATATGAAGGATATGTTGCCCCTGAATGTGTAACTATCTTATTATACACATATATGATTCTTGGAGAAGTGAGATTATGTTATAAGCTGAGCTATCAAAGATAATCTTGTTCGTGTGAATCAAGTATCAACAAATCAATATGAAAAAAAAAATAAACAGAACTTTTAAAAACACAAAAGAAAAAAAAAGAAATACGACAAGCATTGCCGCGGGAGAATTTTCCGTATATGTAGTTTTACATAGACAAGTAACATTATTTTGTACATTTTGGTATTTTTTATTCTTAAAGTTTTTATTATTCTTAGTTATTCTTAAAGATTTTTTTAATATTTTCATTCTTTTTGGTATCTTTTATTCTTAAAATGTGATTTTTTAAATATTTTCATTCTTTTCATTATCAAAAGTTTCGTTATGATCCTATTGGTGTTTGATATTAAACGTGCAAATATATTTAATGTTTCGCTAATTGTCATTATCACCGTTGATTTAAACAAGAATAAATTTATCATAAAAAAATCAATAACTTTATGTATTTATAAATGTTACTTTTGCAATACGAAACACAACAAGGGAGGAAATTAATTTTGATTATCTAAAGCCACACTGTAATTTACAGTCAAACCATGGGACCACTTTTGCTTATTATATAGTAGTATATTTGTGTATTAACGAAATTATATAAAAATGGATGAAATTGATTAAAAGCACAATATACGCAAGCAGCATTATATAACTCTCTCTTGTGGATATGGCATTTATCTCTCATCAGATACAATAATTATGTGATGCGAGTGTTTTATTATTTACTTAGTCAAATAAAGGTCTTTGAATCTCTCAGATCTTCAGAGTTTTCTCTTTTAAATTTACCTCTTAGGTTTATCAATAATCATAATGAATTGACAACCTTGTTGGACACTTTGCTTAAATTATACATATTGTGAGATTATTGAATCGAATAAGTAAAAAATGTACTAATTCTTTTGTAATTTCTTCATAAATTTGGCAGTAAAATTATTGAACAAATGTTTGGGCGTGATGTGTGTGTGTATGTGTAAAAAATAACAATTCTAGGAATATCTCTTTTTTTAGGAATCTTTTCTGCAAAATAAACATAAATTAGGCTCACTGTTAAAAATATATACTCGAGCAAACCTGTTGTTAAAGCGGGTGTCCACTCTTGTTCACCAGTAGCACCCCACAACAGAGTCAAACTTTTGTTTGCTATAGCTGAAGAAGTATTTGCAGCTTTATCCCCGTTAGTTATTGAGGAGTTGGATCGTAGCGATTTGTTTTTTGCGTCTACACAGAAACATAAACTTCGTTATCTTGGCGTATATCATCTTTACATAGCTTAGTGATGACTTAATTCCATGGCTGATCAACTACTAACGTTCTTGAAGTCCTATTTGAGACGCTGATCTTGAAATTTGATTCGTATTGCTTATCCCTATTTCCATCGGAGACCCACTTATGGTAGACGGGGTAGCCTCGTTTTGTGTTTCTGAGCATGTCTGTGTTGGGACAGCTTGATAATGATGTTGTTGTATCAATACGCCTGTTGGCCCTAAAATTATACTCATCAATTAGTCACACATGTAATTTGTTAATTTTACGTATAATTATATATATAAAGTCTTTGTTTCGCGACGCTCTCTTCTGGCATATAATAAATAATATTAAGTTATATACATCATATACAAACGTAATATTAAATAACATATTCATAAGTAGTATCCATATATCATGTGCAATGTGAATGACACGATTCCTTCATACATTTTCGAAAGATGAATATGATTTACTACACAGAATGAATCATATATAATACACATACATGTATGTAACTATGTATAAAAATTATCCTGGGGAACTCTGTGTATATGTGTGCATGTATGCATGTGCGTGCGTGCGTGCGCGCACGCGTGTGTGTGTCTGTGTATGTGTGTGTAAATTGTACACAAATGACATAAGGAAAAAGAAAAGAAAAAGAGAAATTACAATAGTTACCCTTTGGGAATATGTGAGTCCATCTCCGTCTGTTGCTGGTAAGTTTTATGGTAACGTGCGATGGATCAAAAGGATTGATCAGTGCTCTACTAGGCCTAAGTATATTAGTTGGTTGAGAGATTGAGTTTGTTGGGCTACCAGCGCTACCGACAATAGGTCTAAACGGCGGAGATATCTCTGAATCTGTTAAATCGCTCTTAACCGGTGTCCTAGATGTACCTAAATGTACAATAATTATTATTAGGTAGTTATTTTTAACAAATAGATAAGTCGTAACAAGATCGCTATTGCGTACGCTTACCGGTTCCATCGCCGTTAGACTCATTATTATCGTCGTCCGTTTTATGCGGTATCGTAATCGCTGCACTCCGTAATGCAACAATTGGCGGTGAGTGTGTCTCAGGCGGTGGATGATGTATATCAGGATCAGACATTTTACGTTTCAACAGTTTCAACAAGTGGCCATTGTTGTGAGTCTCGAGGCATGCCACACTTGTTTTCTTTGTTCTCGTACTTATTCGTTGTACGCTGAAAAGGAACAATTCAATCAACTCATCTATTTAATTTATAATATGCAGAATTTTTTAAGAATCTGCATATTTTCCTTTTTTTCAAAATTAGGATATTAGAGAAGACACACATTTTCACAACAGATACATTCCGTAATATCCAAAAGAGAGGAACTTAGCATTCAGCGTTTATTACTTGTCAGATAAATACATGAAACTAACAGGAGTATTTCAGGTGGTGTCTACCTTGAAGTATGAACTGTTGGCAATTGAAACACTTGCGCGTCATAAGCGTCATAATCGAATAAGGTGTTGTGCAGGCACTCTCTTGGATCCTCTTGTAGTAGCTTGCTTTTGCAATGTAACTTCCCATTATCCATCGAATGTTTCGCCACTCTTTGCGGCAGCTTTATTCGCGGTATAAAAGTAGAATAGGGAATCTTTTTATTTGTGGAGTAAAAACTGAGATTTATCCAGTGAGGCATGCTATAGTCGTCCGGGGCGTTTATAGACGAGTCTTTGTTATGAAACTAGAATCAATGCTTGCTATTTTTTAGCAGAAAACGAAAAGAAAAAAAAAAAGAAAACAGATAAAAGGAAGCTTTTTGCATATGCGATATATACCTTTAACAAAGGGACCGCATGAAGCGGTTGCTCTCCGACGCAGACTAAATCGCTGCCTACACCGTTGTCAATGATTCTCTGTTTTGTCACATTTGTCAATTCCCTGTCAACTTCAAATACTCCGACGCCAGGTGTGATTACTACGGATAACTGACCAGTTCTATCAAAACTGCGATCCAGATAATGTTTCTCAAACACTGCAATAACGTAAGGAAATGATATAAAATAATTTAAAATGGTTCTCTACACCTTAATCATTTTTTTATACTCGATGCTCACCATTCAGAGACATGTTCAATACTTCCAAGAAATTGCCCTGTGCAGCAGTGGAATTTATTGCCTTGGGCATAGTAATACCTGACTTCTGGTGATATTCCAACACGATCTTCTGATAGTCGGTGAATAATTTACGTAACTGCACCAGAACATTGCTCCAATCCTCAAACCTCTCATTTTGCACCGCAACTCTGTAAAAATCTTCATAAAATCTCCCTCTATAATCATGTTGTAAACACTCTCTCATATGATTTGGAAATTCCTCCAGGCTGGTAGCATTATAGAATGTTCTTGAGAAAAATACGATTGTCACTTCGTGATTACTGCCGTTCTTCTTCCACTTTTGAAATAAATCCGCTAAGAATCCATTGACTGCTTTCTCAAAGTACAAATCTCCATGTATGTCAAAATCCCACATTTCAGAGCTCATTTGAATAAAAAGATACACCATGCTTGTAGAGGATCGAAATACCACCTAAATATTATATCGTTTGTTTACAATAATAAAAACCAAAGAACAATATAACAGTAACTAATATGATTTTGCATAAACCTTAGTATCGTCAGTTATAACGCCGCAAGCTACACGGTCACCTTGTGACCACATTTCATATACTTGGCAACGTATGCTACCACCGCAAAACTCTATCTTCTTATTGATATAAACACAAGTATTTACCTGGGGCAAAAATATAAATATATAGATAAATAATGAGAAAATTCATTACAAAGCATTACCGTGCTATAATAAATATTACAAAATACCAAGCTGTTTTTTAAACGCCACATCTCACTACGTCCCATGTATTGATCCTTGAAAGTTAACTCTATAGAATCTAGAGCTACATCTTCTGGATTCACTATATTCATATATACATCTGCAAATGTTCTCAACTGGAACATTGTCGCTACATTATTTTCTACGCTGATGGTTTCACGTCCTTGGAGATCTTCCTTAAAGGAGGTGACTTGTAATAGCAAGCGACTAAACTCATCCTCAGGATGATAGATTTCAACAACATCCCCAGTTTTTATGCCAGGATAGTCCTTTGGATTGATTATTAAGTCCTCTCCACTAAAATTTTTCTGATGTACTATTAGCTTGAAGAGCTTCATGCTTCATCCAACATAATCTGCAAACTATCCAAGCAGTTGATACATATCCAGGATATATATGTACTTGTACACATGCAGACACACGCATATGTGCTATATAAGTCATATATTAAATATTAGTTTCTTTATACGCTTCAAAAATATATTGTGTTTGGTTAATAATGGTAAGAGAAAGTGTGTGTGTGTATATATATATATATATATTTCATCTAGTGATTTATCTAAATATTTGTTATTTTTTATGGAAATAATTTAGTCCATTGTATATTGTAACTATGAGCATATATTATATTATATATTATACTATATATTATAAAATAACACCAAGTAACACAAAACCAGTAACTTTGCATTTAATATATGTTTCATCCTAAGTGTGATGTAAATGCATAAGAAAGTTATTTTATCTTAACATATATAAACATATTGTATAACAAGGATTACTTTAACTTTTATCTTACGCTTTAAATTTGGTATATTGTGTGAATTCTCTTTTATCGATAAAAAAGAGTTTAGAGTACCGGTTCTTGTGTATAATTTAATAGTATCAAATAATATACATTGTTAAAAAAATTCGCACAATTATTCGGCACTAATAAATCTTTGAAGGAAACATAAGATCGATTAAAGATATTGCTTTACCTTAATAAGACGAAAAAGAACACTTTACATATTACTTGCCGTAAATTGCCGTTGTTGTTATAAATGTCTATTAAATCCCCGAACTTTTCTTGAACGCCAATCTCTAAAGACCAAGTAATAATAATTTTACTTCTCGTTTCGTGGGTATTTCTTTCGCGACTCGCCAGAATAGCGTACAATAACAGAAGATAAGGATAGACGATATTACCTCAGTATGCTCTCTCTCTCTCTCTGTCTCTCTCAATGGGTACGTTCAGCAAACACACAGTTGCACAACGGTTGAGTAATTCGTCCAACGTAACTGGTCCAAATTTTGCGGATCTAACAGTAAAGACCAATGATTGGTTACTGATAGCTCACTGATCATATTTATTTTAGTTAAATACAACCAATAATATCTCTTTGAGTTAGTTTTTTTAAGGATGAAACAAACGATAGGGGCGACCATCTACTACCATCATACTTCATGACAACTCAATATTGTTTGTCTTGCATTGAATTTGTAACAGATAGCAGATGTAGCGAGTATCGTTCCAAATACGATGTGAGGTAGCAATTTCGTAAAATTTTACTAATTATGAGAAACAAAATACCTTTATGTATGTGTGTATGTTTATATCATAGACTTATAAAAATAAACCACCTCCTTATGGACGCACTGAATGCACTGAAGGCAACATTAGAGGACAGAGATATTGCGTGAATGAGGCTCTCTCTCTCGCTCTGTGTTAGGAGAGGGGAGAAAAGGACATAAGGGGAAAGATAACGTCGTACTGCTCGTACAACTCTCCTACTCTCCTTCACCTCTTCGGCTTCCCCCACCAAGACACATGTTAGACAGAGACACACTCACTCAGCTATCGATTCTCTCACTTTAATGTTTTCCTCAAGTCCTCTCATTGAACACGCAGTCTATCTCTATAAGCTATGGTTTATATACATGTGTGCGTAAGTATACATATTAAACGTTCGCAACCAATGTCCATGTGACTAAATTTTACAGAGGCTGGTAAGTTGTGGTTCGAGTCTCGGTTAAGAAAGAAACAGATTTTTAATTGACACGAACCATAATTTATGGCTTCCATAAAAATTTATCCAAGACCGTACGGTTTTTTGGGGTTGACGTTTTTTAGAATTGTATTCGATAGTACTCGCCGAAATATACAAGACGACGCCACTCCTCCCCCTTTGCCCATCGTGGAACGTTAATATACTGGTTCTACAGTTGACAGAGTACACAAAATGAAGACACACATGTTTTTCACATTATGCACAGCACAGAGGAAAGTTTATTAAATATATTTTATAATTTAAATATAAAAGTATAATTAAATATAAAGTTATGTGTTCTTGTATTTTGTATATCTGCTAGACTAGACAGAAGCAGGTATAAATAAACATCATGAATGATTAATGAAAAATGTAATCTTTTATGATATATTTATATAAAATATATACAATATGACGTGTTGACTGTTTATTATATATTTGTAATTAATCGCTCTAACAATATTCTATAAGTCAATTTTATTATCGATTATCCTTGTGCACCTTGTCTTCTGTTTCATCCTCCACTGCTGAGTTCCCACCCAGCAAACAAAATATTACATGTAACGTGCATGTTAGTTGTAATTTCCTACTCAACAATATAACTGTTATATAACAGGTGTGTTATAACAGATGTGTTATGTAACAGTTATATTGTTGAGTAGGAAATTACAACTAACATGCACGTTACATGTAATATTGTGTTTGCTGGGTAGTATATTCGACGTTAATGATCCTCTCTTTCTTGTCATCTTGTCAGCTTCCGGCCTTTTCGGCACTATGATTGTTAGAAAGCCGTTCGATGAGAGGGTATTCGTTGCCTTTTTCAGATCGCATTGTTGCGGAACCATGTACTTTCTTACGAAATGTCTGGAAATCGTTCCGTGCTCGTCCTTCTTTTTTTCATGTTTTTCTACGAAATATAGCACGTTGCGTTTGTAACATACGTATACACGTACGGAAAATGTTATGTTTTACACGATATAAAACACATTTCTCTTTTTTCCCTGTTCTATCCGATGATATATCATCGTTCGAGTAATATTCAAATTCGAATTTATTCAATGAGATGAATGTTGTGAGACGATAAAGGATATTGATAAAGAAACTGAAACATGCATTTAAACGAGCGTTTTCAGTACGACCGATTAAATGTCCAGGCCGAAGGAGTGAATGAACCAAGCTTTAGTTGCATCAGTCGATTATTCCGTCATCGTACTAAAAAATGCACAATTGTAGTTAGACTAGGAAAACTGTCCGTTACATTATGAAATTTTTAAATATTTATACATCTTCTTTACGTTTTTAACGTTGAGAAATATTTTATATTTTCTTAATCTACTTAAATTCCTCTCAAAGTATTTTGTCCGTCATTGCCACTAATGATGCAATTCACGCTTGAAATGATAGTGTATTGTGATTTGATAATACGATATGTGATAATTTTCAAATTTCAAAAAAAAAAAAAAAAAAAAAAAAAAATGTTAATATTTCAAATTTCAACCGTTAATATCTTTATATTAATTAGGTTTATTTTTCTCAATTCCTTCCTCATACCTTCGACGATAACGAAATTGTCCATCAATCTGATACTGATTTCGTCAGGTTTAAACTCCTGCATGTCTAACCTAATCTGGAAATTATTCTTTTTGTTCTTCACGATGGACCAATCGTACTCTCGTACTCTTGCAGAAACTCGCTCCACGATCGAGAGAAATTCTCCAGCTATCTCTCGAACTTGCTATCCTGTCCAAACCTGTCAAACGTCGAACAAGCCTTGAACAAATGATCAGGATGTAGATTTATCGTGATTCGGTGGTCCGGCTGAAACGACCAGCGATGTGATTGTTCCAGAGTTTTCCATCAGGAGGAAAATAATTTTGGAAATAGCAATCCTCTGTATCTGCTCATTCCGTCGATTAAAGTTCACGCCAAACCGTTCAAGTACGACGCGTGTGAAGCAAATTTACGGTAGATCGTCTACGCTGCGATAATCAAATCAACCCCGACGATAGTCGCTTCTCTACTGATCGCGTCCGAGAGTTCCGATTTCTTTAAGCAGTGTTGGGGTGTTGGAGGCATTTATTCCCACAGACCACGGAACCTCCTACGCAAGCGTCAATTACGTCACAGTTACGTCACATATAAATTTTGATAGACTTGTGCTTAGATATATAATAGGGCGCTCTTGCGGCGAAATCAATGTAGTAATGTAGGATTATATAGAAAAACAAAAGAGAAAAAGTAGAAAAGATTCGGGTTCCACAAAAATTTCAAAAATTGCATTTAGGCGCGAGTAAAAAATTTGGAAAATTATCATTTGGAATGACAACACATAGTGATTTCAATTTGTGAAACGAAAGTATAAAATGACAGCAAGATAGACTAATTTGTAATTTGTAGCGAGAATACACGTAGCAAAAATAAGATTGGAATAAAACGGTGATTCATCTTATTAAATTGACCTCATTAAAAAATGTTGAAATTTTAATGACAACTGTACTGACGCACACGCATACATTTACACGCGCTCTTTATGAATCATCATTAACTCGACTGCACCTGACAGAACGGCTGAAACATATTGTGTGTTAGGGACAATATTTGTATTGTCGTGTACATACACGTTTCGTGAGAGACATGAAATTCCGTTACGACAATAAATTGCGCAGTCTATACAGATAAGAATATTCCGAACCGAACCGTATTGCTTTTTTATTTTTTTTCGTCTGAATGTGTTAACAGCGTTCTCCAAATATGATTGATTATTTCTTATTCTGTGCATTTTATAAAATTATATGAGACTTTCTTTTAGCATCGAACTTTAATATTTACATCGCACATCTTTGCAAGAGAATATCGCAACATATTCACATTCAACATACATATTTTCAATGTCCGCTTGTAAAACCGCAAATTAATATTTCCAAAACGAGCGACGTGTAACATTGTCGGCAATGCAATATTTCGATACACATCATCCAACAGCATTTATTTTGGGATAGCGTTGTACAAGAGACGGCCTGAAATTGCGGTATCATATTATAAAATGAATAGCTTCGTATCATATGTTATAATTATATTCTGATAATTTTCTGCCGTCATGTCTGTGCATCAGGTCCACGTCATTATAACTTGTCTTACTAATAAACAGCGTTAGGTTGCGTCATACAGGTGCCATTCCGTTTTGTCAGCGTTAACGTGGCCTTGTCTATTTTAGATGCATTACGATCGCCGAAACGTTCGATTTCGAATCTTTTTTCTTAAATTCTCAAACACAGACAGATCTCTCTCTCTCTCTCTCTCTCTCTCTCTCTCTCTCTCTCTCTCTCTCTCTCTCTCTCTCTTTCTCTCTCTCTCTCTCTCTTTCTCTCTCAAGAAGGTTAGTAAAGTTGCGTCTTTAGCAAGTGCGACATTGTGCGGATATACATAACATTGTATCGCAGCTCAACCGAATCGTTAATTTCTTTGAAAAGTTTCCGAGAGAAAGAATTGAAATGTGTCAACACACCGAAGTTTGGATCAGTAGTTATCGATATAAACATAAGAATAGGACAGTCGCCAGGATGCCAGCGGCTTCCTCGGCCATTGATCTTCGTTTAGCATTGAACGTTGATCAGACCGGTAGAGGGTTGCGTAGATTGGCGGAGATTCGTTTTAGTTGCAGCTGCAACTTCCATCCGCGGTAAGTTGTCGAAGTCATCATGTAGAGTACCACGTAGCAAACCGTATAATCGTGCTCCCCACCATGACGAAATCGGTCCGACATAAATAGCGGCCGCGACGACCCTCGCAGCAGTTGTAAAAACTACGTCCTGAATGAGTGTAACGAGAGGCATCGTTGCTTTTCATCCGCTTGCATCAGCAAGACAATAGCTCCGGAAAGAAACTAATTACTTTTCGAAGTGAGAAGACAAACACACGCACATACACAGAGAGAGAGAGAGAGAGAGAGAGAGAGAGAGAGAGAGAGAGAGAGAGAGAGAGAGAGAGAGAGAGAGAGAGAGAGAGAGAGAGAGAAAGAGAGAGAGAAAGAGAAAGAATCATGTATTTGCTGCCGTTGCTGTTGTCGGCCTGGTGGACCGATTTCGATCGTCCTCATCGTATGATGGATCAGAATCTCGCACTCGCAGGCTTTAACCCTGACGAGTCCATCCTATCGCGTCCTCTCGATCGCTATTACCCGAGCTTGCGAGATCAAACGATTTTGGACCTTTACTATCGCCCTTGGATGGATGTGATGCGTCGCAAGAACGGCGCCGCTATGATGGGTATTGCCTCTGACAATGATAACTTCAAAGTCATCATCGACGTGCGGCAATTCAAGCCAGAAGAGGTTAACGTCAAGGTAGTGGGTCGTTGTATCGTCGTTGAAGCCAAGCACGAGGAGAAGCGAGATGAACACGGCAGCATCTCTCGTCAATTTTTGAGAAAGTACCTGTTGCCGGATCGAGCGGACCTCGACCAAGTGTCTTCGAGCATATCCTTGGATGGTATATTGATCATCACGGCGCCGCTGAAGAAAGAATCTGAGGAGCCGAAGGAGAGGGTGATTAAGATTCAGCAGACTGGCCGGCCGGCTCTTCGTGGTGGCGGCACCGTGGACGAAGATCGCAGCAGCACCACCACCGAGTCTAGCGCGACGACCAGAATTGAGAAGGACAACATCGAGGACAACGAGATCCGGGAGGAATTGACAACGCAGGGCCAGGAGAAGGGTGCGAAGCCCGAGAAGTAGCGGATTCAATTATGAGTAATCATGCGATGCGCGTAGAGATGCGCGTTGCATTCATACTTTATTGTCACTCATGCGGTACAGAGGCTGACACAATAGCTTTCCCAACGTTTACTCTGTAAGCGTTGCAACGATTTTCAATGATGCATTTTTTCTTTTTTCTTTTTTTTCTTTTAGGCACGCATGCGCGTGCACACGATTGAAAATTGTAGTCGATATATGTTAGGGCTCATGTTTCGCCCAACTCTGTATAACATTTAATTATTCCATCGTCGCTGACTGATGACTATGTTCTTGTGGTGACGGAATCTCCTCGCGTATCTCGTGAATTATGCAAATTTTATCCTCAAAACGTCGAGCAATATTATATTTCCGTCGCGAGATCATTGTTCGCGTTTGATACGTTCAGATAACTGGATCTATACACACGTGAACGAGAAATTTGCAATCGATACTTTAACAAATTATATCGCATCTTCGCACTGATTGAATTTAATGACTGGTTGTATTTCTTATGATTGTACGAATTTTTGTACGAATGTTTAAATAAAAAGTCTTATTTCCAAACGTTATATTATTATTTTCTTTCAGAAAGAATCGCAAGATGAGTTTCATATCGGTTCGATAATCTGATGTCGTTAATCAATTGAGTTTCGTACATTTACGTGTAAGGTGTTTGTCGTAAAGTTTAATTTTTCCCACATTTATACAATTTATTTCTGAACACTTGAAGCAATAATAAAAGTATTGTACACACACACACACACACATACACACAAACACATTTAATTTGGTTTTTGAATTGGGACTGCATGCATCATAGAATTGTTTACGTTTCGCGAATACGTTTCTAGTTCACTTTTTCAGGGAGAGGAACAATTTGAAACTTTTCATATATAGTTCAAATCTTTTACGGTTTTTTTTCCTACTGCGCATAACCCTTGTGAACGACAGTTTTATCGGTGAATTTTCTTTAAGAAGATACTACTATATAGTTCTATATATAGCTCACATAAATTGACGTAAAAAGAGTCTCATTGCGCAGTATATAAGTCTTTATTACAAAACGAGAAGCTCGGATAAAAATGAAAAAGAGATATTATTTTTTACATTCTAGAAAAATTAGGATTACTTGATTATTGAATTTAATGAGATTGTACTATTCCCCTTACCTCCTCCCTCCACTTTCAGTCTTTTCTCTATATCTCACTCTGTAATATTGACTTGTGTAATAATTGCTATATATTCTGCGTCTGTGAAATCAGCTTACTCGTTGGCGGCAATTTGGAACCTCTGAGAGGGATTGTTCATGTTGGACGAAAATAGAACATACATAACGCGGTCCTTACCTTTAAATTCATTACGTTCTATAAATATCTATAAATCGTTCCGCCAAGATTGAGATTGCTTGCCGTGTGTAGCTGCTAAAAAAAAGAATGTATAATTTGCAAGGTATTTGCGTAAAACGAAATTAATTTCCGAAATATGTGAACTCCGTGAAAAGATCCTGAAGCTCAAGACGAGGGGAAGACGAATGAAAAAGAACAATGGATTTAATTTAGCAAATTTTCAGGAAGCTTTTAAGAAATTATTTAATCCTATCGACGTAATCTTTCGAGATTTTTCTTATATTCCGTTGTTATTGCCATTATTATTATTATTAATGTTGTTGTTGTTGTTGTTGTTGTTTTTAACATTGTCATTGCCATTGTTGTCGTCGTTGTTGTTGTTATATAGTCACTATTTATTATACAATTGTATTTACATGACTGAGAAGATTTTAGATATTTTTTATTTTTTCGTAAAATATGCAATCGTGCAGCGGTCATAGTGATCTCGGTCATCGTCGATTAGATTGTTTGTGAACGGTTTCTGGATTTTGTGTTACACGCTGTCAGCTCGATACACGTTATCAATCTGCGATGTATTACGCGCCGTAACAGCGCAAGGCACGATACACCTAGATATAACAGTGACTCACTCGATGGAAAAATCCAGAACGCATTGTTGTTGGTGGCGCGCTGGTGTTGCAGGACAGATAATGGCTTTGTTTCTATGCTCATCATTCATATCTGCGTGAAAAAAAAAATGTACGCGAGAAAAGTCGAAACAGTAATCGTTTCTGCCCCATGAAATTTCACTCCTTTTCGCGATTTTGATTCAATAATGTTCCACAATTTCAGATCAGAAGATATTCTCGCTTGGTGAATAAACTCGAAGTAACACGATTAAACATACATATCGAGAATTGCACTCATTTCCAAGCGGCAATATATTTTTCATGAAACTGTTCCATTGTGCTTGTAAACGTTCTAGAACGATGCGGGTTTCGCTATATATTTTGCACTCATAGTTCATACCTGATGCTTGAGAAAATGTACGAATGACGAGTGTCAGGTGTATTAATGCTTTTATATATTATAAAAGGGATAATTATCTTTCCTAACATCTGAAAATGCGCTGGTCGTAGAACGTTCTTCAATCGATTCCAATCGATGCTAATATATTATTAGCCATGTATACTTTTGCCGAATATAACGTAAGTAAATTAATGACGTAATTAATTATTATTCTCAATTTAGATTTTCATTACATATAAATATGTATGTAAACGATCGAAACATCGTTGAACGAAACGGATACCTTAATCTCTCAAACCGACTTTGGGATGGCTTGCTGTGTGTTCTCTCTCGCGGTTTGTTACGTTATTGTATGAGGAATATTATGGCTGTGTGACTTCAGAAGTCCGAAGTAGAATCCTATACTTCCGTAAACACATAGAAAGGGATATTTATTAATATTTATCACGACCTAGCGCATAACGTTAGACAAAGCGTCAAAATCGGTTAAATTAATGCAATCTTGACTCTTGACATGTATTTGATCGGTAACTGTGCAAACGCGTGCGAATAAGAATCGCACGTTCAACTTCTCCTATTACTGGCAAAGGCAAACTACGATATTTTATGAACGTGGAAGACGCATCTCGTAGCATCTCCAGTTTCATTTTTGTATGTGGTCCTTAGCCGAGAAAGAAAGAAGCAGTTGCGAAGCTACAAAGAAAACCACTGGCCGAGTGACGTGCGCTGCGAGTTTGTTCTCGAACGATCGCGAGCGACGCACGCGGCGAACATTCTTGACGTTACTCGATGCTGCGCGACGCTGCGCGCCGCTTCGTCGAATGTTCCGGCTCCGGCGTGATGCGCCCACTGCTCCGTGGCGCCACTACTATAAATACGCGACGCGTGCATCCATCGGCAACACTATACCCAGAGCGATTGTGTGAGAGACGCGCAAATACGAGTTTCGAACGCAAATTCGACTGGACGAGAGAAAGAGAGAGAGAGAGTAAGTGAGTTAATTCGTGAGAAGACTTTTCGTTTGTGAAGAAAGCGATATACATCATGTCTCTGGTGCCGCTGTTGTTCTCCGATTGGTGGGAAGATTTGGAACATCCACACCGGCTGTTTGACCAAAACTTTGGTCTGGGTGTCCATCCGGAACAATTGATAAACCCGAACGTGTTGGAGCGCTTCGTGATGCCGCAACGCGACCGTCGAATGCGATCCTGCCCGTGGGTCTACTATCGACCGTGGGGTGAACTATCGCGCAAGGATGATAGTGGCACGTCCACCGTCAAGGCGAACAAGGACAAGTTCCAGGTGATTCTGGATGTGCAGCAGTTTAATCCGGACGAGATCAATGTTAAGGTCGTGGACAAGTGCGTGGTGGTAGAAGCCAAGCACGAGGAGAAGCAAGACGAGCACGGCTGGATCTCGCGTCAATTTGTGCGCAAGTACCTCATACCGGAGCAGTGCGACATCGATCAGGTGTCGTCGAGCCTGTCGTCGGACGGTGTGCTCAGCATCGTCGCACCGAGGAAGGATACTCCGGAGACACATAACGAACGGTCAATCAAGATTGAGCGAACCGGCAAACCGGCTATCCAAGAGAAGAAGTCGCGAGAGAAGAAGGAGGAACAACCAAAGAAAGCTTAAGAGAGATCGAGCTTAAGAGACAGAGAGAGAGAGAGAGAGAGAGAGGAGGGGAGAGGAGAGGAGAGGAGGGGAGAGGAGAGGAGAGGACAAATTGCAATCGATCGACACTCTACCGTCTTATTCCCCTTTGCGCGTATTTACAGTGTCGCCCCGACTCTCTCCTCTTACGTCGTTTATTGTGATTTGCGTTTTTTTTTACTTTACAAGTTCAAGATACATTTGCCTGTTCGTTTTTCATTTCTTTATGATACAGTGTAACTAATCCTGAATAAAATGTTCGATTGTAGTTAATACGAGTGTCTGTTTTTCTCTGACATTCCCGATCTCTCTCGTTTCGATATATCTATCTTTTCGATGTTTCGAGCTTTACAACGAAATTGCAAAGGTTATAGTAGTAGTGTGAGATAAAGCCGAGTTAGATTAAATAGATAATCGATCAGACACGTAACGTACATACACTTCATAGGCATGCAAACATTCGAAAAGATATTCTAAATGTGGCTTTTCGAACATGCACGCACAGCTTAACTCTTTCTCTTCTGATTAGATATTACGTTGAGAATCAACTTGTGTCATCGAAAGAAAAGATCTCTGGAACTATCTCACATTCGATGTGAATCTTTGTTATACTTACTTACGTAATATGCTCTACCTATATAAGTTTATGTAATATTAGTGTTTTTCTGTCATTTCCCTCTTGTGTACCCTCTTATTTACATCAAGATCGGTCGTTAGTCACATATGTTTACGTATACGTAGAGATAACTTTGATCGAAAATAAACTTTTCTTTCTGTTTACCAGAAGATATATGTTTGCTGCAGCAATACCTTTCACGTTTAATATTTACATCTCGGTTATAGAACGGATTATAGAATGAAATGTAGAGAAGCTGCAAATGAAATGAAGCGAATACAAATTTGCGCGTTTATTCGAAGATAATATAACTGTAGAAATATTGTATTCTACGAACAAATAGCAATATATTGAATCAGTCTCGTTTTCAGTCAGCATTTTAATGCTTAATCAAATAATCAATATGCCCGAGCGCTTGATGAGACGAGCCATGCGCAGGATACAGAAAGAGATGTTTCGTGGTTCCATCATTGTGCGCTAGGTGGCGGTACTACAAGTTGCCGATACAATAACCGCAACATGGTAAACGTGTTACGTGGTAATTTCAGTTGTTCAGGAATTACAGTTTGGAGATATTCTGTATTATCGGCAAGAATTGTAGTAAAGAAGTGTGGAAAAACTAGCGTGTGACCGGTATAATGAGTGACCGATTGAATTTTGGAAGGAAAGTAGAAGAGATTGGTGTGGCTCGTATATACGCACGCACATATCATCAGATATTTGAATATACAGGGTGTTCTATAATTATAACACACGAACTCCATAGGGGCGTAGAGCTAAGTGAGAGGGACGAAAAAGTCCTCTTCCATTTAGCGATATCTTGTATAGTTGTATAGTTGGCGTCAAAGCTCCAAGACGCCATCGCGACAACGCTAACGCGAGACGCGTTATCGCTCAGCTCGCCGCGGAGTGTCTATAGGCCGTGCATAGACATAGGAATATAGGAACAGAGCATAACCCTGTAAGATAGGCGAGGGGAGTTGTGCTGAAATGCGGTGGGGGGGGACGACTGTGCCTAAATTTCATTGGCTACAATAGTGCGCATATTCAGAGCGTGTGATGCAACGACTTGGCTGTCACTGGCAAATAGTAAATGTAACAAAATGATAAGAACTATTTACACTGACAGTATTTTGCAGAGGTTATACATGTGTCTTTTTTTTCATAATTTCACTCACACACAACTTCATACACATCTATGTACGTATCGAATACTTACACACGGCACAATCACCAATTAGATTTGGATACAGTTTACCTCGTCGCATCGTCCCGCAATGGTTATCCCCCCGCAACTCTATGCTCTGTTCTTATATTCCTATGTTTATGAGGCCGTGATGGACGTGACAAATCTTCCAAACTTAACCAAACTTTACACGGTTATTACTAAAAAAAACTACGAGATATCGCTAAATGTGGAAGAGGACTTTTTCCTCCCGCTTAGCTCCTCTACGCCCCCTATGGAGTTGGTGTGTGTTACAGTTATGGGACACCCTGTATAATCCAGGAAATGTAGGCAGTAAAAGCATAAGCTTTTAGTGTGAATTGCATTGTTTTTCTTCCTATAAAATATATGTTGTAGAAGATACAAAAAGACACTAAAAATATATATGATATCATGTCACTTTCACACCCTGAATTCTCAATCCGAAGCAGTAATATAAGAGGTAGTTTCCACACATGCGCACATATTTTCTCACGCATCTGTGAAATAAATCTTGGTCTTCAATCTTCACAGCTACACCTTCCGCACATTCCAATCATAATTTCTCAAATTATTCGTAAAATATATACAAAGAAGGTAAAGAAATAACAGAGATATATGTTATATCAGTTATATCAGCTGATATATTATATTGTTACGTATACAATAAGTCACATACACGTAATATGACTGACGTTTTTAAATATTATATTCGCCAACGTTTCACATAAAGCGTATACAATTTTGCACATACCGATGTCTCTCGATCGTAATTGACTCGAAGATTTCCGTTCCGTTGGCCATGTGAACACAACAGTCCGATCTATAATGGCGCGAAAGAACAAACAATGCCACCTGACGTCGTCGCGGTCATGTGGATGGCGATGTTTATCTCGATGCGACCACCGTCGCTGTCATCATCTTTGTCGCGAACAAAGTAACAAGTTTCGTCGGCGATGTATAGTATGCCGAAATACACATAAGCAGCCATAAGAAGAATCCCTACGTCGGCAGTTGCACGACAATCGGCAATCGGTCGAAAATAATAGGCAGAATACGATGGTGTGAGTGGGCACTTGTCGAGCGCCGAGTCGAGCGTGCAAGGCACAGAGAGACAGCCTGAGGTCAGAGAAAGGGGATAGAGCGTGCTTATCGTGCATCGTCGTCTCTAACTACCTCGCAGAATCTGCCGCCTCTTTCTCCTCTTCTTGTTCCTTCACCCCGACACCGTTCCACCGATCGCGCGTCCCGCTCTCTTCCGTTTTCTCTCTTTTTCTCTCTCTCTCTCTCTCTCTCTCTCTCTCTCTTTTATGGCGTACTTCTTGCTTTCGCTGTACCGAAAGTGCTTCGGCTGACGTTTGCAAAAAAAAGCACGAGGACCTTGTCGGATCTGTCGCAAAACCTACGTGAGCGCTAGGGGTTACACGCTAGCTGAACCCTCCTCCCCTCACCGCCCCTCGTCGTTAATCTTTATATATTATTACAGAGATTATTATTCCAACGTGTGCGATTGACTCGAAGACGATCGAAGCTTTGCTGTCGCGCAATGTACTTTTCTCTGTACGAGACATGTCATTGTTGTTGTTGTTGTTGTTGTTGTTACTATTATATATTATTACTATCATCATCATCGTCATCATTATTAATATTATTTTACCATCATTACGACACGATTTGTGCAATGCAAAATTCCATCTCGTGTTTCAATGTAGTTTCAGTGAGGCCTTCTTTTCCACGAATTTTTTCCACGATCTTGCCATGATTTCGATCTTTCTCGCTGATAGAGACAGAGGGTGGTGCCAGAGCTCTCGGTCCAAGTTTCACCGCCAACGATGCTTCATAGATGATGTCATAGAACTTTTGACGTAATCGCTCCCTTGACCGAGCGATATCCGCCGAGAGCTTTCGCCAGCACTCGTAGCACTTGTGATCGATTTTTGCCTCGTCGTTCGCCAGGTCGTCGATAGTTCGCTACACGTTTAAATGCGATGACTTGATGTTCCTCTCGCGGTCGAATGAAGAATCGAATGAAAATTAAATCAATCGATAGAGACAACCCTTCCGCGGTCCTGGCAGTAAGTAGCTCGGGCACGTAAGAGAAGTCACCTCGAGAGCGGGATCCGTATTTTTGCACTTGCACTCTTATTTCGGCACGACCGCGTGTCTGCGTGATCGCTTCATAGGCGAGAAACATGACGCGGCATAGTATTTGCAGCAGCAACACCGTGTCTATTGCTCGCCTTTCAAGAGGCACCGTGCACGAGGCCAAAGTATCGGCAATATCGATAGAATGCAGTCGCCGCGCCGCATGAAGGTAACGAAATGCGCCGAGGAACGAGTTGTACGAGTGCACCGCATTCGAGTGATGCGGCACAATCTAGTATTCCCGCAGTGCCGTTGCAGGCCGAACCTGATCTGATTGTTGCGATTCGGAAAAATGTCTCCTCTACATCTCCTTCTTTCCTTCTCTTCTTTATTAAGGATTGTTCACAGAAAATTGAAAGTTTCGTCTACCGGTATCGCGCGAAGGATTGCGGGTATCGCTAGCATACTTGATCGATACGTTGGCGATGTAGACATCAGCAATAAACGCGGACATTCGCGCGGGTGTACCGATATTGCGATGTGCTGGAAAATCCGAATAAAAGACAAGAGACGAGATGATTTTGGTCTCGACGAAATTTAATTAATTAAGAACGAAATATGAGTAGGAGGAAATTATGAGTTTGTAGGGGCAGGGAATTAGTGTGCAATCACAACGCGATACGATTGCTGAGAGTAATTAATTGCGACACCGCTAATGAGATTATATTCGTGAGTCGACTTTCACACAGGCTACGGAGCAGAGAAGCATCAACTCCAAAACTGCATCGACCGAAATTATTATGAGGATTATGAGGAAGGAGAAAGAAAGCGCGAAAGATGCAAAAGAAAAAAAGAAAAAAAAAACACACATACATATACATACGTATGTGTGTGCAGATTGTCGTCTGCATTTTACCTTCAAGAATCTTACAACGCCGTTCTCTCTCTCTCTCTCTCTCTTCTCTCTCTCTCCCCCTCTCTCGCAGATTTGTCACTCTTTTCCGCTTTTCCCTCCTACTGCACACACGCGTCTGCGCGCGTGTGCATATACATCACACACACACACACACACACGCGCGCAAATTGCAGCTACATACATTCTTCGTACACATCGACACGTGTGTATACTTCCTCGATAAGTGGCCACTCGACACTGTACGGACGAGACGAACACGTAGTACCTTCCTATTCGTGGCACAATTTTTGGCGATCGATATATTGAGCGGCGTACCGGTGTCTTCAAATAGCACACTAGTTAGCGCCTCTCGGGAATTCCGACGTTGGTCATGAAGAGAGTCCAACGAGATGAAGAAACACGCAGGAAGACAAGGAAGGAAAGAGATCTGCGTCATCGCGTCATTGACATTTTTTTCCGAGATGCATGAACGTAATACATAATAAAGGTACGAACTGGTTGAAATGTCGAAATGTCCCAACATCTCTGTCGTATCTCTTAAGCTACTTAAAGTATCGCGCGTTAGGCTCGTTGGGCATTAAATATATTTTCGGAATGCATTCGCGGATGGAAAGGATCAAATTGCAAGACACGAGAAAATCAGGGAAGACAACTGACTTGAAAGTTTCTTCAGGAAATCTGGAGGAATTGAAATGGATCGAGGAAGCGATCTAGCGTCTGGCGTCTCAGGCGTCTAGCGTAGTCGCGTAGATTAAGAAGAAAAGAATATGTGAATGTGTGCGCGAACGTGACGACAATGACGACGCGACGTTGCTGATATGCCGCATTGGGGTAAATTCAAGCGTCGTAAACCAATGACACGAGTATCCCTGGGGGGATTACCATCGCACCTCTTTCCACTTCCTTTCGCCAACCCAGCGCGCGATACTCCAGATTTCTATCCACAGCCTGTCTTTGTGTACGTGCTACATGAGCGAGAGTTACCCCTTCTTCCTCCTGTTAAGTGGAGGTGGAGTTAGACAGCGGAGGTAAGGTATTGCCGCGCGCTGGTCCACCACCTTTACAGCAGCAGCAGTAGCAGCAGCAGCAGCAGCCGTCGTCGTCACTGCCATCGCCATCGCCACCACCACCACCACCACTACCACTACCACCACCACCACCACCGTTGCGAGCACCACCTCCACCGCCACTACCACCTGCACCACCTCCACGCTCGCCTCTATACGCAGCGATGAGGATTCTGCAGATTTGACAAAGTCGTTTCAAGAACTCAGTCGTCGTCTGTCCGTTCTCGTAAATTCGAGGTACCGATTAGGGAGCTTCGGTCTGCTCGCCCGAGCTCCGCTTCCGGATTACCGCGAGACACACATCCTCGCTCTTCTTTCTCCTTCTTGTTTCGAGTGAAGAGTGAACTTATCTCATCGTTCCCTTCCTTGTGCCGTTTCACTATCGTCGTGCGACACACGGAAATGCGTTAGAAAGAAAAAAAGAAAAGAGAAAAGAAAAAGGCGAGTACCATGTCCACGGGAGAGATACACGTAGGGGGCGGTGTGTCCCCCGCGACTCTTTCATCCGTCTTGCTCCTTTTGCTTTTCGGCCGTATGGCAAATGCCCAGTAAGTAAACAACGTTCATTATTATATCGCAATACTATCAAGTACCAAGCCGAGATGTACGTTCTCTCTTCTCTCAGCGCTGTTTATTTCTCGATAAACATTGCCCGTAAATCAGTTTCAAATAATCACACTCATAGAGAAGATTGTTCAAAGGAATAAGTGGAAATATCCACACACACACACACATAATGACGTTATATATACAACATAATAAGTATTAAGATCGACAATTAAAAGCTTGACTTGATTAATATCGTGGTAAGCAGAACAAGGGATTGAGAGGGGGGCTGACTAGAGCGTCATATTATCCGAACAATTAATTATATCTCATGTATTGCACCGCGCGGTGAGACGACAACGCAACTACAAAGATCATTCAGTTGCGCTCCTCTTGAATTTGAAAAAAATATATATCTTATGCTATGTAAAATTGCAGAAGGAGCTTAGAGTTCTTCGATCTTCTGCCGGAAGATCCAAAGTTTTACGACAAAATGCGACCTCCCAAGAAGGATGGTCAGGCAACCGTTGTGTATTTCCACGTTACCGTGATGGGACTCGATTCCATCGATGAAAATTCAATGGTAAAGGCAAACGTAATTTTAAATCGATTAAAATTTCGGATCTACTCGATGTCGTTTTCTCTTTGTATATTGTTTGCGCTTATCTCACGTTTCACAAAGTTGAAGAAGTGATTCCAAGTTAACAGGATGACTGTGCGTTTTATGTATGACGAATGTATGACGAATAATTTCTTACAGACATACGCTGCTGACATCTTTTTTGCCCAAACCTGGAAGGACAATAGACTTCGATTGCCAGAAAATATGACATCCGAATATAGGTACTTGAAACGCCATGTCTATGAATGTGAATTCTGTCGGTTCTACTGGTTTCGGCATTTATATCTTACTTAGAGCCTTACCTTATTGGTGCTCACATATTGTTCACGACTCGATTTCCCTTAACTTTCGATGAAATTTCATTAATGCTTTACTCTTTACAATTTGTCTCTCTCTCTCTCTCTCTCTCTCTCTCTCTCTCTCTCTCTCTCTCTCTCTCTCTCTCTCTCTCTGACTTCATCTATATTTCTCTACGAAAATTGAAGATTGCTGGAGGTCGACTGGCTGAAGAACATGTGGCGGCCGGATTCCTTCTTTAAGAACGCAAAGTCGGTGACCTTTCAAACGATGACAATACCTAATCATTATCTATGGCTGTACAAGGACAAAACCATCCTCTACATGGTGAAGTAAGTCTACACGAAGGAGCACTAGACATTTGCTCAAATGCGCGTAAATGTGCCTCGAGCCGATAAGACTCACAGATATTGGCGATTTCAGACTGACCTTAAAACTATCTTGCGCCATGAATTTTCTCATTTACCCCCACGATACGCAAGAGTGCAAACTACAAATGGAAAGTCGTAAGTCGTAGTTGCAATAGTAAATTGTGCAATACAAAAAGCGAATCCTCTTGAGCGTGCATGCATTTTGTATACCACGCGCAAACAAAACAACTCGGTCAACAGTGTCGCACACGACGGACGAAATGATCTTCCAGTGGGATCCTGATGTTCCCCTCGTTGTAGACGAGAATATTGAGCTGCCCCAGTTGCAGCTCGTTAAAAATTATACAGCCGACTGCACTCAGGTCTATTCCACGGGTAAGTGATCGCGTTGAATAAATGACTGTTTGTACGTCGAGTGTGACGAGTGTGACAGCTTGCGCGCGTTCCTCCCTTCCTCAGGAGAGAAGAAGAGCTTCTCTCTCGTGCAAACGTGCGACGGGTGCCCTTGATTATCTTGCATTTAGACGCAAGAAACGCAGAGATCCGCGCGTGCGAAACAATTGTCGCGTCGTCACACGCGCAATGTTCCAAATTCCAAGAGAAATCCAAGAAATTCCTCGTGGCCGAGCTCAGCTCTCGCCACGCGTTGATATCACTTGAGTTTAGGCACTGTATTGCAAGCGCAGGGTTTAACTGACGATTACGTCACGTTATTGCCAGGTAACTTCACTTGCCTCGAGGTTGTGTTTGTGCTGAAGCGACGTCTCGGTTACTATCTGTTCCATACCTACGTCCCAACGTGCTTGATCGTTATCATGTCGGTGAGTAAGACGGTATGTCGCGACGCGTTTGAAGCGCTTTTAACTTAACAGAATGTCATGCGACATGCGCGACATACGCACCTGTCAGCAAAAACAACATTCCCGGTACTTTTTGCGTATAGTGGGTATCGTTCTGGATAAAACCAGAGGCCGCGCCCGCCAGAGTCACCTTAGGGGTCACCTCGTTACTCACCCTGTCCACGCAGCATGCCAAAAGCCAAGCCTCGTTACCCCCCGTCTCTTACCTGAAGGCCGTTGACGCCTTCATGTCGGTTTGCACGGTGTTCGTGTTCATGGCGCTGATGGAGTATTGTCTGGTAAACATCGTCCTCGGTGACTCGGATGCGCCTGCGAAACCCGCGCCCCCGCCGCCGCCGCCGACCTCGAGTACCGCGGACTCGGCCAAGCTCGACAAGATCTTCGATATCGCTACCAAGGTAACGCCTGGATGAAGATCATCTCCATCTGCCTCGGAGGCAGCCTGAGGTCGATTTTTTCAACTCTCTCTCTCTCTCTCTCTCTCTCTCTCTCTCTCTCTCGCTCTCTCGCTCTCTCTCTCTCTCTCTCTCTCTCTTTCTCGCTCTCGCTTTCTCGCTCTCTCGCTCTCTCGCTCTCTCGCTCTCTCGCTCTCTCGCTCCCTCGCTCTCTCGCTCCCTCGCTCTCTCGTTCTTTCTCCTTCTCTCTCGCGTCGTGGACCGAGAGAGAGTCCGACTATTGCTTCGTACGTTCCGATCTATTGAACCAATTGAAAAAGTTTCCAATTTGAGATTTACATCTGTCTTTTCCTCTCACGTTCTTTTTAGCTACGGGCGCGGGGGTAAATACATTGCGAGAAATTGGCGAAAGCGAAAGAATGTAGTAGTGAGAGACAACGACGCTTGATTGTTTGATAACTGATTCGCGAATGCAGCAATTCTTTCAGTAATATAAATTAACTGAAAAATTTCCAGCACAAAATTTGCAACTGGATTTTATAACCGATCCAATTGATCTCGATTAATCGCGATTTCCTTCAGACAGGAGACAGACAGAGACTAGGATGGAAAATATTCGATAGAGAAATTGTGCTGTTTGTTGTTACACCATCGATCTCAGGCTCTCCCAGTTTGGACCACTCCTGTGCCTCGAATAGAGGAAACCGCACCGCGAACGGTGCGATGTCATTGGAAGAGACTTGAGTTAATTTCAACTTTGCAGTCGACGCGCCGTTAAAATTTGTAGATTATTGATGATTATACCGCTGAAATCATGACATCGCTATCGTATGCAATTTTGCGAATTTCTCCTGCTGAAGCTTGTACAATTGTCCATATTTGTCGCTGCCGTCGTGTCCAATAAAATGCAGTACGCAGTAAAATCCGTGCAATGTGAGGAAGAAGCTCCTTCCTCCGACGATTGCAATCATTTTTGTTTCCAAACGCCTCCGTAACCGCGCGTTTTGACGCGCGTAACCGTCTTCTCTCGTTGCATCTGAAACGTCCTCCTCTCTCCGAGGCATGGGAGATAGTCTATATGGTGGCGGTTCAAGTTGTGATCGTTGTCACGCAGGAATACGCAATGTTGTTATCCTGCCGATCGCAGAAGTCACCGGCCGCTCCACCGCCCGGACCCACCCCGGCACAAAAGGCGCGGATGCGCGCCCTCAATGTTGACCGTGTCTCGCGCGTTTTCTTCCCCTTTCTGTTCGCTGTGTTGAACGTCACCTACTGGATAATGTTCGCTGAGTACATTTAAACGCGCAGCGGCCGACATAGCGGGCTGTCAACATTTTGAGAAACGAGAGGAAGGGTTCTCTCTGTGACAGCGGCGGCGAAGATACGAAGAGTGTGCGGCGATGGAATCGACACACACATACACATAGGTATACGAAATGTGTCAACGGGTAATTCGATTTCTCCGAAACAACTTGTTCACCGTCTAACGCGATAAATAGTTTGGTTTGAGATTGAATCCCGATGAAATTAGCTGAGATTCGCAATTAAAACGTTGCAATATTGAAGGAGAGAGAGAGAGAGAGAGAGAGAGAGAGAGAGAGAGAGAGAAAGAGAGAGAGAGAGAGAGAGAGAGAGAGAGTTGCGCGGTGGGGAAAAAATATAACTAGTGCTAATAATAAAGGTAAAATGTTATAAAACGTGTTTCTCTCTTCTTCCTACTCCTTCACTTTTTCAGACTTTTCCTCTTTCGAATTTATTCTCTATGAGACATTGCAAAGAGACTTTATTATGTTGACATGTGATATTGATGCGTATAATACACACGTAAAAAGTCGACACATCAAATTCTAACTGTTGATTTTTTTCATCCTCGACAGTGGATATTTCGACGAACGTGATGTGAGGAATTTGCAAACAACTTGTATGAAAATGTTAAAAGAACATTTATTAAGATTACGCAATGTTCTCTGATTGCTAATTTGAGAACGAATTTATCTCTTTCTGTTGTTAATTAAAATTATTAATCATTTCGATTGCACAGGATGTCTGACGCAACACGTGCTTCTGCTGGTATGCACGTGAAATTCATTCAACTGAAGAAAAAAAATTCTTTAGCATTTTATCGAACACAACCACGATCATTATTATTTAGACGTTAATTGAAGAATATTTGCGAATAAATGCGCGTGATGCGACGGAGACGGGGAGTTTCTTATTGGACAATGTTTTATCCAAGATGTTTGAATTTATTAACAGTTTCCACAGGTGATGATGAATGATGCGTAATGTTAGATTACGATTAGATTAGAAGGCATACAGTGCAACATGGTTGTTTTCAAAATGGTAGAAGAACTTTTTTTTAGTTTAATATATTTTTCTTGCATGCGTGCGCGTATGCACACACACACACACACATACACACACACGTGCACACATTGTGCATGTTGCTTTCTTTATGTAATATTCTTATTTGTATGAGAAACATGTACAATTATTCGTAAATAAGTGAAAGGGAGTTCGTCCGAGTAGTGCACGTTCAACAATGTACGTTAAGATTACATACAAATCAAGTAATAAATTTAGAAAATGCCGTCGTGTTTACTCAGCTTCACACAACGCTTTGTTCATCATGTGTAAGACTTATGTGTTTTGACGCGAAGGCCTAATAGAAAATTCTCAGATGATATCGGACGCCGCGAGCAAATGTAACATTGTGTCTCATGTACAAACCAAATCTCGAGTCTTGTTTTTTAAATATTATAAGCTGAAGGGGGTGCAAGGCCGCAAGTATGTAAATCATGCGTTATCGAAACTTGTTGTAATAAGTAACAATGAATGTTTCACTTACATCTATTATTGTATATCTGTAATAACAAGTTAACAATGTGTATAATAAAGAGAAACAAATTTCTCGCCGATGTCGATTACGTCAATTGTTTCTTCAATATCGTGGACCTTCTTCTTACATGAAAATGCCTAGACTTTTCAGTCGCAATGACAATTTGAACAAAAATCAAAGATTCTCGACAAGAACAGCTGTGAATAATTTATCAAAAGGTGCCGATCAAAGAGAAAGGAGAATAGGTATTTTAATATGTTAATAAAGTTAAAATTTTTCTCGATACATTTCCTCCGATATATCAAGCCTTAATGGAATAAAATTTCGTGATTAAAAGGTGTACAATATTGGGTACTATATAAGTATTAGGAAATAAATTCTAAAATAAAAAATTACATTGTTTCTTTTTTTCCGACCGCTTACCAGCAGTTTTATTCTCGTTAATGTCACTATATATCATATATATGTATATATATTGTATATATACATATAACAATATATATATATATATGTATATATATATACACACACATATAATGTGTGATATAAGATATAATTAATTGAAAAATTCATCGTATGCTCGTACATTGCCATCTGTTGGTATTAAAAGAGACTACGAAACGAAAACATTGTCAGTAAAAAGGAAATCTGTTGGCTCTGTACGGCGTACCTTTATTCTCCTCTTACCTTCAATCCCCCTCCAAAGTAAACCGCAGGGTCGTAGCACCCACGCACTTTCGACCAAATTTTCTTCCGTTCTTCCCCTTTCTTCGGCTTATTACTTCGGCACAGCTGATGGCGCTAATTGAGAGGAATGAATTCCAAAGGACCGAACCGACCGAAGGAACGAAAAGCAAGAATATTTGAGTTATGATTCTTTATTGGAGTTGTGGATAGGACTCGTCGAGTCCTACACATCGACTCAGTACATTTGCGCAAAGAAACGGAAAGTGGGATCATCGCGCAGGAAGGAAGCACGTAGCGTGGGCTGCCTTATCTGAACAACGTACCCTGGGCACGATAACAAGATGCCATTGCCTTCTCTTCCTCGTCCCGTCTTTCCAGAGCAATTCCCGTCCTGCTTCTCGTCCTCTTCCGTCGTGCTCCAAGATACGCGTTATTGGAAATTTGTATAATTGATGCGCAAGACGGAGCAAATGTATTGCGTTCAAGTCAGTCATCAAAGATCAAGATCACTTACATGATCAGTATCATCAAAAAATGTCGTATGCTCCGATGCAACGAATATTCGATTGAGATGTTGAAACAACAATACTGTATAACACTGTACAGATATTTAAACTTGTGCAAATTTCAAATACAATTTTTGCGAAACTGACCCAAAGTATATATTAGTGACTTGGATTTCTGTCTTTCTGTCTATAATGAAAGAAACAAGAGATTTCTAGAGATATCGAAGATATGAAGAATATATTTTGCTCTGCAATATCTGGAAATATTTTTTATTTTCAGACAACGTTGCTATATCGATTTGGATGAGAAGATGGTTTGCTTTTTCGTTTTTCGATTATTTCGTCAGGGATGTTTTACTCGTTCAAGCAGTCTGATATCGGACAGATGCTTTATTAATTCTTCTTCTTCTTCTTCTTCTTTCTCTTATTATTATTGGGCAGTTGGCGAGTGTTGTTTAACCTCAAACAAGAACAACTCGTTACCTTAGATTTCACAACAGTCCGTATTGTTTAAGCAATATTAATTACGTTATATTAATTGAACGTAAGCGTCACTGTATACATCGAATTATGTTTATAGTTACGGAAACGCATATGTTTTACATGCTGGAACAGCAGGCTTTAAGAATCATAGGAGCAGCGTGCATATGTGCTGCACATGTGCGGCTGTATAACCATTGGCAGTGTAACGGGTGTGCGAAAGTCTCACGCGAGTCGCAGGTCGATCCAAACAAATTGCAGCTGCGCTGCAATGACTAGATTTGGAGTTCTCATTTCTCATCACGCGATAAATGTCTCCCGCAACAGCGTGGAACACGACGTGTATTATAACACGACGCGTACTGTGCGCATAAAAACTGATATCAGGCGACAGAACGTTGACTTGTGATAGAAGACCTATTTACACGCGAAAAATATTCTCTTCTTGTGATAATTTCATGGCCATTCGCCATTATGTGTGTATAATAATATATTTGAAAGATTATCCATAAACATCGGAAAAGAATACGTGCAATGTTCACGAAACATAATATTAATATTACAACAGGATTGTGAGGATTGAGGACCTTTAGCGATCTCGAAACCTCTTCTCATGATTTTTTTTCAACAATTGCACACCTTTTGTACGCTTTGTGTAAAGGAGACATGTGTTTATACACACACCAAGTATCGACGACACGTTCGACAAAAAAATCTTTGACTCTTGAAAGAAAATCTCTTGAAAATCGCACTTTTCGCACTTATACGGCGTGGAAAAAAGATTGATGCTACGTGTATCGGAGAAACTATAACTAATCAATCTGTCTATTTGAATCTTTACTAGCGATATCTTGCAATAAAGAACGAGCTTTTCGGGCGGTGATTGATAACGAAGAGAAAATAATATTTAAGCAGGCAACTTTGAAGATAGGTTTCGATTTGTGAATATGAGTTTTCTCCTGGAGCCTGCAGGCCGTTCCAATCCCACTCGTCGCCTTTCAATCTGTCGATTCCCTCTCCTCTGCTCGTTGTCCCGAGAAGCTTCGTATGGACCCTTTGTACGGCACTGACGGGCACCTCGAGCAGAGTCGCGCGACTCGACAAGCCGAGACTCACTCACTGTGAGAGACGCGTCACAAGGCGCGTCTACCACGTTTTTTTATTTGCCATTGTTGTGCATTATCTTCCGGCAGTGTTGCTGTATACTGTGAACTGCTGTATATCGTGTACCTGTCAGAGAAGAGTCGATTAAGCGAACTTTGCTGTTGTGTGTTGCACGTGGATAACGTAACGTAACGGGTTCAGTGATAGAAAACCGACGACGACGACGGCAACGACGACGACGACGACGACGACGACGACGACGACGACGACGACGACGACGACGACAACGAGGTGAACCTCGAGGACAGTTTTGGCGAGAGAATTCCGGCCGTGTCGAGATCTTGCAGTGTCACTCGGAGCATAATTTAAAAGCTACGCTGTGTCGAGGAAATAAAAGATTTCTCGTCGATTCGTGTGGTAGGCAACACTGGTTTTCAGCGTGTGCGTCAATAGGTGAGCGCAGGTAGATAAAGACGGCATGTCGACTGCAACGAGAATCGTTTTACCTGTTTTACAGCTGCGCGGAAGTGACTCTCGCGACGTTTGTTATTTATATTATTGCCTAATCGAGAGACATTCAACTCCAAAATTGAATACTCTCCTGTGTTTTTGTTTTACTTGAAATACAACATGAAATTATTCTGACGCCATTATGTACTCTTTAAGTTTAAGACATACAATTATTTTCATTTTCGGAATATAAAAGAAAAAAAAACTGTTAAAATTGGAAATCGTTCGTTTAAAGACCTGCTCTGATTGTCTGTTTTATTTGATATTGCTGAAAAGTGAAACTCTTGAAAAGCTAACGTGCTACTTGTGATAAATCTCCCTTTTCCCTTCATTTTTCCTTATCCTATTTCACTTCATGTTTCTTTATTTCGAAGTTTCGTAAATTTTTATTTTTATACATTTAGTTGTATTTTATAATTATTATATTTTCAATTTCTACATATATATATATATATATATATGTACACACACATGTGCATATATTTATGTAAATATTTCCTGATTTCATCTCTCTCTCTCTCTCTCTCTCTATCTCTCTCTTTCTTTATTCTTTTTCATCAGCATTTATAATTTTAGCAAGGTAGTAAATTTCTTTAGTGCTTTTTTCTACGGTACCGTAAATGTATTACAAAATCATCACATGTTTGTATAATCGAGTTAAAAATACGAAGCAAAGAGAATTTTCTTTGTAAGAATTTCCTATTATTCCCTATTATTCCTATATTATTCCTTATTATTTCAAGATATTACATTTCCATATAGATTCGAACCATCGTCGATGGCTTAGCACCGTTACGGAAAAATCTATACAAACAGGGGTAAAGGAAAAGGAGGACACACAATGCACCGTATTCATTTTAGGCACGTGGCTTTCACAGCTTTAATTATTATACTTAATATTTTAACAGGTACGTAATCGCGTTATACTTTATACTTTCAATTTATACGTTAATTCAATGCAAAGCATCATTTTACATTTCGTCAAAATTTGTAATGAGCATGTCGTATTTAAACATACCATTTCTAAAGCTATGTATCAAAAATGTATTCTCTGAACATTTGCAAATTGTCGCTTTTTTCTTTCTTTTTTCTAATGCTGCTTACACTTTCACGTTGTACGCTTCAACGCTCGGCTAGTAATTGAGATTGCAAACATATAAAAGGATATCGTAACAAAATTATTTCTTTCTTTAGTGGACATGGAATGCTGTTTGGTCCACATATCGTTCCCTTTTAACGAATAAACTCTTTATCTGCCACGATTAGATAGTGATATGACCCTACGACCTGCCTTCCTTTTGAAAGCAGCGGTTTATTTCATCTTCTAAAAGCGAATCGCCTTACAAATATAGATCCTCATGTCGATATTTATCGACCGATTTTGAGAATGAGGCATGATCATGTCGTAGATGTATGTGTCGTAGATACGTGTGTTAATTTTTGCAAGTCGCAGTTGATCGCTTTGAGAAAGAATATACCAGAACGTATCAGACTTATTTGTTTTTATCTACAAATCTTTCAATCGGCAAATTCCGACAATGTCTTTAGGCCTTATTTTCTTACTAAGCAAAAATATCCAAGTGTTGACATGTCTTTTTTTTCGAGTTACAAACCTTTGCAATTTTTCCTGCAATGCTTTCCTGCAAGAACTGTCTTGTCTAATAAGCATCCGGCTGTTCTTCGCGATAGCCTCCACCGGTAGTAGAACGCCTCTTGATAACTGGCTGGCGCTGTTTGGCGATGCTTCAGCATCGTTTGAGCGAACATTTCTGGAAAAAATCACTTGGCGTTAGAGTTAACGGATGATTACAGTTTTGAAAATATGCGTCACGTACGAAAATTATATTTTGTATATTTTCTATCGGACACTTTTTCTTCTTTCTTCGTTTCTCTTTTCTTTTCAAGCGACACAAATTCGTTTCGTTTGACTTTCGCTTCGTTATGGCTCTTTGAGATTTCATCATTGGCTCCATTGTTCTTTGACCTTTTCGAAAAATTTCTCTCATCGTCCTATTTCAATCCTTTATAGGACACGCGAATTTTCCTCAACATGGACTAAGAGAATACAGACCAGTATCCAGAGGTAAGAACGTTGTCACGTTATTTATTTAAATAAGATTATTTGTTGTGCTTTTGCGCGTGGATTGACACGCATTTTTGCTGCATTTTTGTTGCATGAAAGAATCGTTTTTCCGACAATTTAGAACTGAGCCATCATATTATATACATATACTTACTTCACATATCACTTATTATAGCGCCACTCACTATCTATCGGCAGTATATTATCACGAAAGCATGTCGAATGGCGAGAAATATGAGGAAACATTTTAGGAAGACTCGTGCTGTACAATACGAATTATTTGCTAGATAAAATGCGAATAAAATGCAAAATTATGCAAAATAAAATGCGGGATAAAAGTGGGGTTCGGTTCGAGGGTAGAATCGGTGCAGAGAGGGGACATGTCACCTACGGAGGTGATAACAGAGCATCATAATCGGCTAGGGCTGATCGCTGCCAAATCAAGAGGTAGCGATCAGGTAGTAAAAGCGTAAATTTGTAATACTTAATATCTCGGGAGATATTGGACAAACTCCTTGTAGTTAATTCGACACACATACACACACACATAGGTATACATTGCTGTGTCCACGGAAAGATTCTCCTCTACGGAGATTACAATTTAACAAGGATAATACTTTTAACACGAATAAGTACTTCACATCTCGTGTTTGTCAAGAAGACGGTCGAGAGTTCTGTAGTTATGTATAATTCCTTCTCCGCGTGCAGTATTCCTCCCCGTGTATCTAGATCCTATATTGTACATATGCGCACCAGTAATGGAAACTCATTATATGACGATGCTGTCGTACATAACGCCAGTCGACGCACAAACCAACTAGCAATAAGTGATAATAATTGGAAAAGCAATATTCTCCTTCGGTATAATGTATGTTGGTGTATTATAATGTCGGCGTTTGCGGTGATGTCGTAGTGTCCCAAAGGAAGGAAATGATTGGACACATGTGACCAACGACATTCATAACGGCAAGATAGAGAAAGGATAAAAAGAATCTCTTTACACTCAGGTTCACATGCGAAAAGGACGCACCCGTGCGAGCAGAGCTCGTGTTATCCCGCGACTGGAAACTTGCTGATCGGTCGGAAGGACAAACTGAGCGCTTCATCGACGTGCGGCCTGAAGGGACCCGAGAGATTCTGCATCGTTTCCCATCTGAAAGAAAGGAAGAAATGTTTCTTCTGTGACTCGTCGTTTCCCAAACGGCAGCATAACATCGAGAACATTGTCAGCGGGTGAGACTACACTTCGCGCTACACACGCACACATGCTGCCGCATTACGCTTTATCGCATCGTCGCTTTATCGCAAAATAAGCGCTCCATCGCATGAGACGTCGTTGCGATGTGATAAAACTGAAACCGAAACTGAAAAAGAGCTATAAAGTTGTTAAACCATGTTAAAATGATATATTGTACAGATCATGGTGGCAAGCCGAGAACGGGGTGGAAAACGTTACGATACGCTTCGATCTCGAGGCGGAGTTTCACTTCACGCACATCATCATTCACTTCCAAACCTTCCGGCCAGCCGCCATGCTGATCGAACGATCGACCGATTTCGGACAGACCTGGCAGGTGTACCGGTACTTTGCTCACAACTGTGAACACTATTTTCCCGGAATTCCTACCCATCAGCCTCAAAGATTAACGGATGTCATCTGCGAGACCAGATACTCGGCTGTTGCTCCTTCCAGCGGCGGTGACGTGATCTTCAGGTAGGTGACACAGAGAAGAGAAAAAAAAGAAAGAGAAAAGAAAGAAAGAAAGGAAAGAAGGTAGCTTTTTTCGCGCTCACACGTCCGTGTGTTTTTGAAAAATATTCCATCGCGTCGCTTGCTTTCATACGTCTCTCTCTCTCTCTCTCTCTCTCTCTCTCTCTCTCTCTCTCTCTCTCTTTGTTCTCTAAGATTATTTCTATTACTTCGACTGTACTTTGACGGTACTTTGCTCGGACTCGGTTGCTTACACTTGGATTTTTGTTTCTATAAAAGCGGAAGACGATCAACAAGATATCTAGCGTATAGTGATCAGAAATAAATTGCATTTTGCAATTGTGACATTTACACACACACACACACACACACACACACAGTTAACGATAACTACAATTCCGCTGACGTGCAAATGCACATTTCCAGGGTATTGCCGCAAAATCTGGACATTGACAATCCGTATTCGAAAGAAGTGCAGAATCTCCTGAAGGTTACCAATCTCAGGATCAATATGACGAGGCTCCACACTCTGGGCGACGATCTACTCGACGATCGAGCCGAGATACGCGAAAAGTACTACTACGCCATTCAGGACATGGTGATACGTGGCTCCTGCTCCTGCTATGGACACGCGTCCAGGTGTCTACCGTTGCCTGGGGTCATCGACGAGGAGAACATGGTGCACGGCAGATGCGAGTGCACTCACAACACCAAGGGCCTCAATTGCGAAAAGTGCGAGGACTTTTACAACGATCTGCCGTGGAAACCGGCGGTTGGCAAACAGACAAATGCCTGTAGACGTTGCAATTGCAACAATCACACCACGTCCTGCCACTTTGACGAGGCGGTTTACGACAGATCGGGAAGAGTGTCGGGCGGAGTCTGCGACGACTGCCAGCACAATACGCGAGGGCAGAATTGCGAACAGTGCAAGCCGTTCTTTTATCATGATGTGACGAAGGATATCTCCGATTCGGCAGCTTGTCAGCGTAAGTCCTCGCTCGAGTCCTCGAGTCCTCGGGCTTGTCTCGGCTTGATCGCTCTCGCGGCCGTTTAGTCGGTCTGTCTAACGTCTACCTTACTTTACATGCCTTAACACGTACGTTGTGGTTTTGCGAAAATTATTCGATAGTATGCTGAAGTTGGCGCGATGCGTGTCCAAGTGTCGTTTCATCGAATCAATGTCAAATGTACAGTCGACCAGATCGATCGACCGTAAGCTGACCGTAAGATTAATCGTAAGACTAACCGTTATGTTCGCGAAGCGTTCGCGCGAAGCGACGTAGCAAACGGAGACAAGAGAATCCCGGGGGTTTCTCTTCTTCTTCATCTTCCGCCTCTTTCCGCAGCGTGCAACTGTGATCTGGGTGGATCCTTGGACGACGGTATTTGCGACTCGAGAACCGATCCTCTCAGCGGTGACGAGTCAGGGCGCTGCCATTGCAAGGCAAATGTCGAGGGGCGTCGTTGCGACCGTTGCAAGAACGGCTTTTGGAACTTTAATCCCGATAGTCCCGAGGGATGTCAAGGTAGAGGAGCACTCGCCAATTGTGTGATGCGACGCGTTTGACGGACGCATCGCATCCGATCGGTTTGACTACTGAATCGGTAAATTACCAATTACAGCCTGCACTTGCAACACCCTCGGCACTGTTGACAATCAGGGCTGCAACACGGTGACCGGCGAATGTACGTGCAAACGTTACGTCACTGCGCGCGATTGCAACCAATGCCTGCCGAATTATTGGGGACTCTCCGAGGACCGTGACGGATGCAAACCCTGCGATTGCGATCCCGGCGGCTCTTACGAGGATTCATGCGACGTCATCACCGGCCAATGCAGATGCAGACCTCACGTCAGCGGGAGAACTTGCAATCAGCCGGAGCAGAGCTACTACACCGGCTCGCTGGATTTTCTCATTTACGAAGGAGAATTATCGAGAGCTAGCGATGTGAGTCGATTGAGTTGGCTCGATTGAGACGGCTCGAAAGAGTCAAAGTCAATATCAAAATGTACAGTGTGAGGAACTGTGAGATCGATCGGTGTCCGTGTTCAACAGCGCGAAACAGCGCGTACTACATTTTCCGCGTCCAAAAAAGACGAAATTTACCACAATGAGAAGAGCTTTGCGCGAAAAAACGCGAGAAATTATTCTTCATCATTATTATATATATATATATATATACGAGGGCAGTCTGAAAAGTTCTCGGCCTAGCAATGAAAGAAAATTTCTTTTCTTTCGTGAAATATGTTTTATTTTTCAATATAATCTTCTGAAACTTCAATACATTTATTCCAACATCTTTCCAATAATTCAATACCATCATTAAAGTGTAATTCTGGAAGGTTCTTTTCGCTCTGGTGTATAGTGGTGGATTCAAGTTTCATCAACAGTTATGAAACTTGAATCCACGTTTGAGGTTTGACGTTTGAAATCCATTTTATTTTGCTTAAAATGATTCAAATGTGCCAAATACGCTTGAGAAATACGCATTCGAATGCGTTTTTGGTCAATTGTTAGCAAATGCGGCACTCATTTTGCACAAAGCTTTTTCAACTGGTGCTACTACTCGAATGATTTGACAGATCGAATAAAATTTTACATGGGTTTATATCAGGGATGCCACTTTCCAATACAATTATAGTTTGACAGTTTCTAATGCCATGTATATGTCAGGTCGAGAACTTTTCAGACCGCCTATATATATATATATATATATATATATATATATCATCGTCTTTCCATTATTATTTCCATATTTATATGTCACGTAGGCAATATCATCATTAATTCGTAGAACTGTCAAGTGGTGATCAAAGAGCCTTATCGCGACGGCAGGAACAGCACGTGGACCGGCACGGGTTTCATGAAGGTCCTCGAGGACTCGGTACTAAACTTCACCATCGACGACATACGCAAATCTATGTGGTACGACGTGATCGTGCGATACGAGCCGGTGCATCACGGTGTCTGGAACGACTTGCAGCTTATTCTCGAGAGGGACGATCCGCCAGACCCGAACGGTCCGTGCGCTGAATGGACGCCCGAGTACGATCGCTTATGGGCGCAATTGCCGATACGATCGAGAAGCTCCGTAGCGCAGCCTTCTATATGTCTGGAAACGGGAAAACGATACAATCTTGTGCTGCAATTTCGCAAGTTTAACGGCCAAACTGACGTACCTTCTGCTTCGATCCTAGTCGACTCGGTAATGCATCGATTAGATTCTATCGACTATCCATCTATTTTATCTAGCGCACCTAGAGCACTCTACAGACACGTCGACTCGTCACTCGCGAGTCGACGAGATTTGTTGTATGTATATAATAGATAATTATATGTACAACAAGTAGAACAAAATGAGCTAACTACTTACTGCTATACTTTTCTTACTTGGCGACTGCAACACTTCCGAAAACTCTCCATGGGAGCATACTATTTTTGTATGATGTAGATCGTTCTGAAGCCGAGGATAGACGTGATACCCTTCTTCAAAACGCCAGGTGTGGGTGAACTGCGTCGCCAGGAATACGAACGTTATCACTGTAACGACTTTTTCAACGACGTCAATGTCATGTGGAGCGACATACCCGAGATTTGTAGAAAGTATCAGAACAGCATCGGTTACTACGTCTTCGAGGGTGCTCATTGTAAGTACTATGTGACTACACATCACAACTCTACATTCGATTTCGACTCGGATCACTCGCAAGTTTTGTCAACGGCAATTGCAAACGTTCTATTTCAGCCTGTGAGTGCAATCCGACGGGATCTCGCAGTCTTCTTTGTGAGAATTACGGCGGAATGTGTCCGTGCAAGCCAAACGTGGTCGGCAGACGTTGCGATCGTTGCGCACCAGGCACGTACGGATTCAGTCCCGAAGGTTGTATCCCTTGCGACTGCGACGGGGTCGGTGCTCTCGATAACTTTTGCGACGTCGAGACCGGTCGTTGCAAGTGTCGTCGCAACACCTACGGTAGAACCTGTGGTCAGTGCGAACCCGGTTTCTGGAACTTTCCGCACTGCCAACGCTGTGAGTGTAACGGACACGCGGACAGCTGCGATCCCAAGACCGGTGCTTGCATCAATTGCAGAGACTACACCACCGGACATAATTGCGATCGTTGTATCGACACCTTTTACGGCGATCCGCGAATCGGCGTCGATATACCTTGCCGAGCGTGCCCGTGTCCAGGTGAGAGAAAAGTGGTGATTGTAATAATTGCATTAAATTATATATTTTCATTTTTCTTTTGTTTAAGCAGAAAGAGAGAGAGAGAGAGAGAGAGAGAGAAAGAGTCTATTTTCAACGCACTTCAGACATATAATAATTGCATACTAAAAATTACAAAGCTAACACATTTTTCTGACGCTGATAAACGCTCAGTTGTGTTTCTCGCAATTTTTTCCATATGCTACAAGTTATAAAATTGGTTATATTGTATATATGGTTTTTCGCTTTTGCTTTGTCACTATTATTACTATTATTAACGTTACTTCGTCGTAACAGGCACTCTCGGTTCCGGCCACTCGTATGCCGATGGCTGCTCGTTAGATTCGATAACGCAAGATGTGGTCTGCGAATGCTTCGAGGGTTACGCCGGGCCCCGGTGTGAACATTGCGCCGAGAATTACTTCGGCAATCCTGAGATATCTGGCGGTAGCTGCATCCGCTGCGAGTGTAATAACAACACGGATTTACGTCAACCCGGTAACTGCGATCCGCACAACGGTCGTTGTCTCCAATGCTTGCACAACACCGACGGTTTCAATTGCCAAATCTGCAAGCCTGGCTTTTACGGCAACGCCCTGCGACAGGAGTGTCAGGACTGCAGCTGCAATGTCTTGGGCACCGACAAGGCTGCGGGACCATGTGACCACCGTACCGGACAATGCCCGTGCTTACCGCATGTCATCGGACAGCTTTGCGACTCTTGCGAGGAGAATCATTGGAGGATAGCCAGTGGAGAGGGTTGCGATCCTTGCGAGTGTGATGCGGTTGGGAGCGTGTCGGATAGGTTTGCATAAATTTGAATAAACGTTGAAACTTATCAAGATTCACAATTATTAATATACATAATTCTTTTCTCGGTCTAAATCTAATTAATCCTCTCACGTTGTTACGTGATAGAAGCGTACGGGTTTCCAAGTTTTTCACTGTACTTGCGTCCGAGTTTCCAAGCTTTTGGACACAAACACAAGCACAAAAGATAACTGGCGGAAAATGTCTGTGCAGGTGCAATCCATACGATGGCACTTGCGAGTGCAGGCCGGGATTCGGCGGTAGACGGTGCAACGAGTGTCAGACGAACTTCTGGGGCAACCCGAATATCGAGTGCTATCCGTGTGAGTGCGACGTCATCGGCTCCGCCAGCCAGCAGTGCGACAGAGAGACCGGAGTGTGCGTTTGTCACAAGGGTATCGGCGGCGAGAAGTGCGACCAATGCGACCGCGGCTATCACGGCGAGGCGCCGCAGTGTAGTCCCTGCGGCGAATGCTTCGACAATTGGGATCTGATATTGAGCGGTCTCAGGAACAAGACGGACGTCGTCATCGATGAGGCCTCGAGGATACAGAAGGTCGGTACGAGCGGCGTTTACAGTCAGGAGTTCGACGACATGGAGAAGTCTCTGAACGAGATCAAGGCGCTGATCAGCAACACCACCATTCGGGGTCAAGATCTGGACGCATTGGACATCCTGGCCGCGGGGTTGGAAAGAAATATCTCCGAGTCGGCGCAGCAGTTGGAAAACGTGAACAATCTCCTGGAGAATGTCAGCCAAAGGGTCAACCTCGGCGATGTTGCGCTGAAAGGATTGAAGAATCGTACCAACAGCCTGCACGAGGCTGCTGCCGAGCTAAAGGAGAACGCCACTAGGTTGCAAGAGGAGAACGTGCAGGGCGCGTTGAATGTGACTCAGCAGATGGCCGAGCAGTCCAGACAGGCCGAGAGAATGGCGAACGACACCAGCAACGTTCTGGCTGACGCCGAGCGATTCCGTAAGCATACCGAGAATCTTCTGGCAAAGAATCGCGCTACCGTCGACGAGGCTCAAGAGAGGAACAAAGAGTCCTTGGTGAGGTTAAACGAGAAGCTGAGGGCCTTCGGCATGACCATGCCCGGTCTGAATCTGCAAATGTGCGGCGACAACGTGACGGATTGCAGCACCGTCTGCGGTGGCGCGGGCTGCGGCTTCTGCGGCGGATTGTCCTGCGACGTTGGCGCCGTCACCAAGGCCAATCAGGCTCTGGATGTGGCCAAGCAGCAGGCTACCAAGATCAAAAGTCACAAGGACGAGGCCGAGCAATTGTTGCGCAACGTACGTGTTCCCTTTGCGTACGCGTCTTCCAGTCTCGATGAAATTAGGTTCCTTCTTTACAGGACGCAGGCATTTTTTTCGCGGATGTCGCTCGCCTGTATTATTCTTAGCTCTTCTTCCAGTTTCTTCGAGACAACAAGCGCGGTTGCTTGTTGTCTCGAACCATGTCGACCTATTTCGACATACGTCAATCGATGCGCGGGTAACATGGCTGGTGAGTTTCGATTAAATTGAGTTTCGTCTTTCCAGATGATTCAGATGAAGCAAGATTCAACAGCAGCGAGATCCAACGCTCAAGACGCTTTCAATTACGCCTGGGATGCGCGCAACCGTTCAGCAAACGTTTCCAAGGAGCTCCTGGACATAACCAATCGGATCTGGAGTAATCTGAACGACGAGCAGCCCACACCGGCTATGGTGAGGGACCTCGCGAACAAGGTTCTCGAGAAGAACATACAGCTGGAGCCGGACGAGATTACGCGGCTGGCCGATCGCATCAAGAGTATCGTGGGCTCGCTCACCGACTCCGAGAAGATTCTCGCCGACACGAAAGACGACCTCGAGCTGGCTCGCGAGCTCGAGCAACGTGCCAATCGCGCCAAGGAGGCTGCCGTTGAGAAACAAGATTCAGCCAGGCAGGTGATACTGCTGTTGAACGACGCGCAGGAGGCGCAGGAGAAGGCGCAGAACGCCATCGACAAGGCGGAAGCCGACGTGCTCAAGTCGCAAAAGGACTTGGCCGATATCTCCGATGTGACGACGGCTGCTCAGATCCAAGCGAACAACACCACCCAGTCCGTGGAGGCTCTGGACACCCGTCTGAAGCAGTTGCAGACGCAATCGGTGAAGAATGACTTTGTGCTGACGAAGGAGATCAGCGTGGAGGCGAAGAAGGTCGCCGAAGAGGCGCGAGTGATCGACGGCAAGACGAAGAAGCTGTCGGAGGTGTACAAGAGAGCGGACGAGTCGCTGTATCAACGAGTGAACAAGAGCAAGGGTGATATACAGCGGGCGAAGAGGCTGTTGCAACGAGCCTCCGAACTGACTGCGGACACGTCGACCAAGTTCAAGGATCTGGACGGTATGGAGAGCGTGTACAGGGACAACGAGAGATTATTGAAGGACCTGATGAGAGACGTGGACGCGCTGACGATGGAGATGGAAAGACATTTGGAGGAGATTGAGCAGAAGTCGCAGTTGTACAGACAGTGCTCCGCTTAAGATCGTTCGCATTACGATACGCATTACAGCTGATCGTCGTCGTAGCTCTTCCGCAGCGCGCTTCATCTTTAAAGTTGCGCGTTCTAGTTCTTACGTGTTAGGCATCGCTGAACGCGATAAATCTATTCTTTCTTTCATCGTTATTTTGGCTGACACAGAAATATCTCCACGATATAGAATAGATGTTTGCTTCGCGAATGAGCGCGCGCGCGCGCGCGCGCACACGTGCGTACGCTGCATCTCGCTGCATTACTGCGAGAAATATCACGTCTTTGCGAGATCGGTGCTTTATACAATTGTGCAATAGCTGCGGTTCTCCCTTTACTAATCTTGTAGTAGAAAAAGTGGATCTGCGTATACATATACTATATCATATATATAAATTTATCATTTAAAATTTATTCCCTAAAAAGTATCGCGAAAAGCCACTAGATTCTTATTAGTGCCATAAATAGTAAATGAAGAGGCCATTAGTAGCTGTAAAGAGAATATACGATACATATATATATATATCGTATATATATATATATATATATATATATATATATATACATTGTATTTCGGTTCGATACTGCCAGCGAGACGCTGTCTTTCCTAGATTTCAACTACGTCGACATTTTTTACTCTTTTTTGCAATTTTATACTTTTACTTTTTTTTTATATCATAACATACACATTTCTTTTCATTTTTATAATAAGAATATGCATTAGCTCTGCCCGCTAAAATTTTATGCCATTTTTTTACGACACCCGGTACTTAAAGGTAGTACACGAGAAACAGCGTAGCAAAGTATTAACGCTAGATGATACAGTAAAGATAGGTCTCACGCGTAATGTGTAAATAACTTTAACATAACTAAATAATACAGGCTTAAGATGTTAATATATAGATATTTCGCAACAGATTCTCTATATCGAAATTTCGAATGTTCGATAATATCGCTGAGATACCATATGCATATGTCTAATTTGTGTACGAACAAAATTTAAAGTGACCTTCTCTCGATCACTGCAATGCTACATGCAGTTTGCGTATTTGTAAATATCTAACATATTATCTGCGTACAAGATCGTTGTATACCTTGTACGCGACCCATCTCGCTATTCTTCCTACGAATCTCTCTCTCTCATTTCTCCTTTCAGAATCGTAATTTCTTTCCTTCCTTTTTTTTTAAATAAGAATGCGGCGAGAATTCTGCGTAAATGAGACTTTTGCCGAGTGCCGAGAAAGGCTGACAATATCGATGCAATTGCAATACGACTTGACTTGACACAAGACAGGAGATTCATCGTTTACGTGAATGATTGCACACAATCGATTTTCATTCATTCATGTCATCGGATGTCGTTGAGAGTTTTGCTTAAATAAACGGAACGATGCTATAATAAAGCCAAAAAGAAATCAATGATATTTGATATTATATTACATATGTGTAATATGTACACAATAATATGTAATATTAAAGAAATAAATGAGAGTTGCTAAGAAGGAAGAGGCAGCAATTAGACAGCCTGCATGACTTTTCAACTTAACATGACATTTTCAATAAATGTATATTTATTGCCATTAAAAATGCGCAATTTGAAGTAATTGCTTATCTATACAGGGACATGCATATCACGTCCCGCGTTTTGCTGCGGTATCACTGGCGGAGCGGAGAGTGCCGGAAATGCCGGATATCCTTATACGTATGCATGATTAAATAAAACATTTTCTCTTGCGCTCTTGCGTGCCTCTCATTAAATATGTAATAGAATATTATTTGTTATATTGTCGAATTCATCGTGTGTACATTTGTCAAGTAACTGTTGCCTTACGATACATATGTATCGGCGCATAATGTAACGACGCTGTATTTTCTTAAACTTTCCCAACGCGTCCTCAGAGGCCCGAAACAGATTTCATCGTTTATTATTATAGAGTCTGGTTACGTCGAAGCCACGTGCGCGCGATTATATTTTCCCTCATCAAATGACGCCGTGACGTCCGACGATGTAATGAAGTCCGATGTAAGAAGCCAAGCTTCGTTCGGGTCTGCAGTCAGCGGTTTTCCTAGTGCTCCTAACGCACCGAGAATGTTTGTCGTATTTGTCTCTCTCATCTCTCCGTTCCGTTCCTTAAAGTCGCCCTCTCCCTTTCGGTCTTTTAGAGTCTCGTACACGCGCGCACGCACGAATATTTCGTGAATAGCGCACTGTTGAATTCAAATAGCACATGCCGCGCTCAGCAAGCCGCGCACAATGGGTTCATTCAGTACGCGAATCAGTGGTTCTCCATGGAGGTGAGAAAAATAGAACGCGAACAAGAGCTTGACAATTTATACGATTATAACGAACACCGATTCTGATATATCTGTGCGGGAAGTGCGCGGGAAGAAATATCTGATAAAGAAGAACTGTTATTTTTAACGAAATATTCCGACCGCCTCGGCACTCGGAGAACCAGAGTCAGAGAACGCGATATTATCACGGTGACTCTTGTGAGATACGCGAGCACATACGAACGGAATAAATAATACAGTTATCCGAGATAACCGCTTTACATCTTGCGGTTAGTTGAAGTTCTAAATGTTGGTTCTAAAGTTAGGTCTAAATTAGTTGATTGAAGTCGTCGCGTAATAGCCTACTCTTACTCGTACTCTTAAAACGTATCTCGTAATCTCTGAATTCAAGTTTTTAACGGTGCGTAACTCCAATCGAAAGTGGAGGCACGGCATGTCATCTCAAGATGAGACAACCGACGTCGGCGACGGCCGACTTATTATGTACACAATGATTACGCGGACCTTTTAACTTTGGAAAGTATTATATTTACTTTACGATAGTTGGCGTGCCTGTCGTGCCTGTCGTGAGGAAACATCTTTATTCTCAACTTCGCGAGCATCCTCAACCCGTCGAACGATTCGACGAGCGTTGGTTAGAAGCTGGAGTTTATTGTGTAAAAATTTCCTCGACTCTTTTCCCGGGATTCCGGGACTAGACGAGAAATTGTCTAGTAGCTGGAAACAAGGAAACAATACAGCTAATTTGAATCGCGTACATTTTCTTCCACGTCATTTTTGTGACTAATGTGGCTAACCACGTAACTTATCTATCACACACGTGCAATCTTGAGAACTTGTATATTATCTCAGCGGTTATCGCTCGTCACACAGAATTTGCAAAGAATAAAATGAAATCCGCTCGACTTGAAAGAAAAATATTCCTTTAAAAAAAATAACATGTAACGGTTGTGTACACACACACACACACACACGCATTTCGATCAGATCGGCACAAGTCAAGTTGAATTTTCACACATGTGAGTAATCTTTTCAAATGTCTTAGAAAATGCGTAGAGAAAAATCTGCTCGCTATTATTTTACTGGGCTCGTGCGGCGGCGTTCGGAGTATCGCGTCTCCTCGCGCGACATTTACCCCTGTTGCTGTGCAGAGGCACAGAGTCCAACAGTTACCTTTGATTCAGAGTAACCTGAGCACAGCCGGCACGGAGCACGGCACCGTCGTCGTTTGCGGAGGGGATGAAAAAAGGCGGTAGGGTGAGAGTTGTATTTGTCAAGGACCACTCCTTCCGATTGTTCGGAAGACCCTTTGTAATCGTTGACAGCTGCTGCTAGCCTGCCCAGCGGAGGTAAGTCACATTCGCGGTTGCCGATCGTACAGAATTCCGAGTCGGAAAGAGAGCTCGTTATAATCGTTCTCCGAGCGCTCCAGTTCGACATTTATCCTCGTGTAATAACGATTATTCGTCCGTCATTAGTCGTGAAGGTAATTTGAAAATAAACATTCGTCCAAGTAAAGGTCTCGACATCTCGGCATCTTCTTGCGTGTAAACAATAATATACGTATCTGCTGCTCATGTACTCGTAATGGAGTGTATGCGCTCCAGAAGGAGGAGCAGAACGCGCGCGACCACACCGACTTTAACTGAATTGATAAAAACGAGATTGAGTGCGTGCGTATCTCAACGTGACAACGTGTTCTCAATAGCCATGTGCTATCGGACGATCGGGAGAGGTGAGGTGTACGGTGATGATCGTTGCACGACGACAACTTCACGAAGCTACATGAAGCTTCGAGAGACACGCAGCAGTCTGCTATTTCTAAAAGAACAACTGCTCTGCGTTGCAGACGCACAAATAAAGCAGCAAAGAAAAGATTATACAAAATATAAATACTTAACAAAGGGTAAGATATTTCTCGAGCCCAATTATTCTTGGCACAAGTTAGCCAAGAATGGCGCACTTGATCGATTACGCACAGTAAGCAAGCACGGTAAGTAAAATTGAAACAAAATTAAATGTGACAGATATAATTAGGATAGTTTAGTACGGTTGCACGGTTGCATGGACGATGGTCATATAGAGAAAGTATATGCAAAGTCGCTGGAACTTGATGGACTTATTCCGTCCGCAGCAACTATTTTTGAGCAAGCAACTGAGCGCACTGAGGTTCACATTCAAGATACAGCGCGTTATTAAAGCAGCTCGTTGGGCACATCAGTGTGAAAGAAATTCACTGAAAAACACGATAATTTTTCCATGCCACATGGCCGTATTGGCGTGGATGGAATCAACGGGCAACGGCTAAGCGCGAAGAACGGCGGCAAGCGGAACAAGTATAAGAAGACGAGGAACAGTAGGAAGAAGTAGGGGAACGAAATCGAGTGAGCTAGATAAGGAGACATGGATGGTACACTCGTACCAAAGGGCGTACACGCGCGTCAGTGGAGTTCGTCAGTTCGCGGACGAGCGTCTGCTGGGACAATAGGAGCCGTACACGAACCGCCCGTGGCCGATTGTGGCAGAGAGAGAGAGAGAGAGCACTTGCGATCTTCATTAATAAGCGGATCGGAAGGATCAAGTGGAAGGAGAGACGCGAACCGCGATCAACACATCAGCAAGATCAGCGGCTTCATTATCATCCATTGATGTTTCATTGAGGAAATCATGGGAGAAACGGCGATAAGTTGGCAGTAATAACGGTCGCCGCTCACAAACTGTGAGACAAACTGTGTAATATTATAGATAACTCATTGCGTGTAAAGAAAGAAGGAAACAAAGAAAGTAACGTTTATTAATGCGATAGAAGATCGTGATAGAGGAGAAGAGGAGAAAAAATATATGAATATTTTCGCGCGCGTAACGCTTTGTCGTCGCATGTTCAATTACCAGAAAGAAAAGAAGAAAAAGAAAAAACGGAATTGAAATCCGAAGAGAAAGCTATATAAATTGGCGTGACGTGTGTGTTGGACGAGTCGAGGATCGGTTTCGAGGAAGAGGGAAGTTAATTTGCAAAGTTAATTGGCGTAAATTACTCGCAGGATAACTCAATTGAATGTGACAAAATACAAAACACATTCTGATATCCAAACGAAAAGTTACTTTCGCGGTAATAACAAGTAACAGTAATATCAACAGTAACGTACGACACGACTCGAGAGATAATTCTGCTGAGCTCTCTTTCATCCCAAGAGAGGTCGAAGTTCGCGCTCGGTCGGCTGACAGAGATCAATATTCCGGGAAGGTCGAAAAAATTTATCGACACGACTAACTCGGCGTGCTTCAAATGGGGATGCGAGCGACGAGACGAGACACGCGAATGAATTGATGCGTCTTGTCCGATAAGGAAACACTGAATTATATATCTTGAGGGGTACGTTGTTGCTTCTCTCCTTCTGGATAGCTCCGAACGCGTTTCTCGCGAGCGTCATCGCGAGAAAATTGAGAGAGTCAGCGGGACAAATAGAGGCTAATGAATTAAGGAGAAGTAACGAGAGGGGGAGGGGGGGAGAGAGAGAGAAAGAGAGAGAGAGAGAGAGAGAGATTGTATGCGCGAACGTATGAGAAGAAGAGAACCGCAGCGATGTGATCCAATTCGCACGATGTAAATTTCGTTGGACCACTCAGCGCGATTGTTCCGCAAAAATGGAGAATTGAATCGGAGGAAACAAGGAGGAACAGAAAGAGAAATTATTCTCACCAAATAATATCGCCGAAATAGGCGAAATTTTATAATTACTGGCTTTCCATCACGATCATTTCACCATTCTTCGCTTCCGCATTACGCGAATTCGGACTAAAAATACGAAATTAAAACCCTGAGCAGCAGAGCACTCGTTAATTCTTAATTTTGTTCAGAGCAAGAGTTTTCCTCATCGAGGCAGAACCGACATCTATACATCATTCGTTCGTTAATTCGTCATTCGTTGGTTGAAATGAAATCAATCAATCGATCGTAATATATCCGTACACGCTGTGATTCTAATCTTCTTCTTTCATTTCTAACAGCATATTCGAGCTATATCAGCGAGGCGCTGATTTCGCGCGTAGGATGAGGATTCGCTTGTTTTGCACTCGCTAAAAGATGGGGAACGACACTATCCTCGAGGTCGCTTCGGATGACGGATACTTTAAGCCGTATGCACGACCTGTAACGATCGCCACTGCCGTTTGCGCTGTCATATTCAGCATAGTTGGAGTGCTAGGTAACGACTTTTTATTCTCTGTTTCTCTCACCGTTGCGAGATCTTAAACTTTTAGCATGTTTTGAAACATGTATCTAAATTCCAGGCAATTTAATAACGGTAATAGCATTATTAAGATACACGAGATTAAGGCGACACGCCACCACGGCATTCGTCATAAATCTTAGCATCTCCGACTTGATATTTTCGGCGATCAATTTGCCTTTAACCGCCAGCAGATACTTGAACGAGGCATGGGTTCTAGGCAAGACCCTGTGTCAAATATTTCCTTTATTTTTTTATGGGAATGTCGCCGTATCCCTACTCAGCATGGTGGCCATTACTATCAATAGGTAAATTTCCTTAAAAATCAATTTTCTTTTCATGAGGAGTGGAATGGGGGGGGAAGAGGAGTGTGCGTATATTTCGTGTTATGTTTAAAAATATAATTTATTTCTCTCTCTCTCTCTCTCTCTCTCTCTCTCTCTCACTTCTACCTGTGGGAAAAAAGAGTATAGATGATTTTACATGATACATTTCTAAGAGAACACAAGGTAAAAAGATTCTTTCAACACGAATTTGAATATTGTTTCTAAGTATGCTTGAAACAATATATTCAGTTTTCAATTATATTCGCCTTGTGCACGCATGTGATCATCATTCGCTCATGATTGGAAATCCCGATCACTTTTCAGATATATATTGATCTCACGTTCGGACATCTACGCTCGTTTATATACCAACCGCGGTATAATGTGGATGTTAATAGCGATATGGATGCTAAGCTTCTCGCTCTTGCTGCCACCATTGTTGGGTATCTGGGGTACTCTAGGACTGGACTCGGCCAGCTTTTCCTGCACCATCCTGAAGAAAAACGGTTCTAGCCCGAAAAAGTTCTTATTCGTTCTGGGCTTCTTGTTACCGTGCGTGGTGATAAGTGTTTCGTACCTCTGTATATATTGGCGCGTGCGAAGAAGTCGGAAGAATCTCGAGGCACACGCGCCGAAGGAGCGACGGGGTGGCTTCCAACGTAGGGAGGACTCTAGAGTAACCAAACTAATGCTCACCATCTTTCTGTGTTTTCTGATTTGCTTCATGCCGCTGATGCTGATGAACGTGATCGACGACAAAATGCGAATTCCGGTGCTTCATATCGTGGCGTCTGTGCTCGCTTGGGCGTCCGCGGTGATAAATCCATTTATTTATGCTGGTACTAACAAACTGTACAGAGAAGCATACAAACAGGTACTGTGCCCTGCATCGAGCAGAACTCTTACGGTCGGCCCCAAGCCGACACACTCCCATTCCAGTAAAGTTTCGTCACCGCATACAACGTAAGCGTTTAACGTTTGTTTCTGTACAATAGCGTTCTTGTCGGAGATGAAAGCGAACGAGAAAATTCACGGTCAATTCACAGTGATATCGTCCTTTCTTATTCTTTATACAGTAAGCATATTGTAAGATTATAATAAGAAATGACAAGAGCGTAGAGCTTCTTATTTCGCGAAATTCACATTAAACTAGTAAATGGAGGATTATGAAGGTGTAGATTACTCGCTAAAGATGCGAGACTGTGTGTGTATATGTATGTACACCTTTCTTTGATTCAAATAAACAAATGATCGCGAGGAATAATGAAGAATTCAACGAACTTTGAGAGATAACTATTCGTCAGGTATGGAAAATATGAAAGATAGAATAAAGTGCATATAAAAATGTATTTCTTGTATCAATACACAGATATCGCAATGTTACAATATAATGATACAATATATCTCTGCGTAATATACAAAATATACGTACATCTTTCCCGCGAAAAAAAAATTGTCAAAAAAAAAGAATATTATCGGATAAAGTAGATGGATAAAAAAGAAATCAGCATTTTAATTGAAATAAGTTAAAGCATGATTCGTGCGACACAAATCGCGTGAATAAGAGATTCATTGGATCGCGTTAAGTACTTGAAAGACAATCACATTCTCTTCAACTTTTGATATCTCTCACGATATTTTCTCTGTTCATCTTGTTCACGCCAAGAAGATATATACACATAATTACACACGGATATCAATAATGTAATATATTTGTACTTGAAATGCGTGTGAGAGTATCGCTCAGTAGTCAGTAGTATAATATTCGTATCGAGTGTGAGTGATAACGTCTTGAAAATTCTGAAAGCTACTATCAAAATCATAACTCTCTCTCTCTCTCTCTCTCTCTCGGAAACAATATTTTGCAAATAAATTTGCAATTTAAATTTAGGAATTTTTTCTAAGCTTTCTATAAAAAAAAAAAGACGGATACACATATATACACATAAGATTGTTACGAGAGATTCATCTCTTCTCCTTAAAATTATAATCGGCTGAAGCTGAAATGTGTTTTTCTTTTTTTTTTAAAGAGAAAACGAGATGTGAAAATACGAAGAACAAAAGCAGTCCACTTTCTGACGCGTGACACGTTGTGTATCAATCGTAATATGACTTTTCCTTAATCTTCCTATCGTTGCCTATCGTTAAATGTCAATTAAAATTTTATTGCTGCAAAACATGGACGGAAGTAGCATCGACGCTTTTGTAGCGTAATCTTGTATCGCTTAGATCCTAATGAAATTTAAGTTTAAGATTATCGGCTAAAATGCAGATATGCCATTAAAATTATGTATACATTGGTAACGATAAATGCATATTATATCCGTAAAATGTATGAACTTTTTTTACGGACACTGTGAACGATATTTACAAATTTTGGAAAAATCGTGTGATTGATGAAACGCATGTGTATTTAAAATACACGTAAAGATACATTGATAAACAACAAGTTAATTCAGCTCCAATTCCGGCACGTATGGTTCCGTGATTGCGGTGATGGGACAAATACTCAGAGTATCCTGAAAGTGCAGAAAGATTTGTGAAATATGAATTGTATACGGCAAAAGTTAGTTCGAAGGGGCAACGTGTAAAGTGTCTTACAAGTAATGTCGCAAACGCTCGAAGCAAGTCCAAAGCTTTCTTACCAATCGCGTGAGTTCATCGAATGTTGGTCGCTCGTCAGGATCGTTTCGCCAGCAGGACGACATAACTTCGTAGATTGGATCCGGGATGTCCGACAATTGCGACAACCGAATTCCTCGCGTAAGCGCGTCCTCCACTTCGCTGTCGAGCGCAAAATTGGAGTACGGTGTACCACCCATACTGAACATCTCCCAGAGAAGTATTCCGAACGCCCAGACCACGCCCGGCTGGTGTTTCTTCTGACTGTCGAAGCACTCGATCGCCGTCCATCTGGCATACTTGATGTCTTCCATGCCGTACTTGGAGATACCGTGACCCATGAGCTTGGGTGTCCAATCGCTGGTCAGACCGATGCTTCGCGCGCAGAGATGAGTGTGCACGACTTTGTGACTCGCGAGATATCGCAAGGCGGCTGCAATCGAGGCCGAGATGGGCAATATTTGATCCACCGGGAAGAAACTCCCAGATCGCGCGCCCAACAAACAGTTCTTGAGGGTCTGCGGCGGTAATTCATGCACGACATATAGCGTGTCGGGAGTTTCGCAGGTTCCAATGAGAGCAGCGATATATTTCATAGTGCCCGTTCGAATGCACATATCGAGTTCCCGCAACATGTGCCTCTTTTCAGATCCCCTCAACGCGCCGTCGGCTATGACGTGGACCGTCACCGAGCGAGAAGAATCGTCGTCGTCTTTGAAGACAGTTCCCGTGTGAACGGCGCCGAAACGTCCTCTACGTATGATGAAGTTATCGACGGTCAGAGCGTTTCGCGGTATGCTCCAGACTTTCTTTCTGAGCTCCTGATAGTGATTCACTCTCTCGGGTATCTCGTCCGGGATGTAACCCATGTTATCCACCTCGTAGACAGGACCTTGTAACGTGAGTTCCTGTTGCTCCGGCAACTTTCGCATGTGGAATCTCTCGTGTCGGCGGCGTAGCACAAAATACAGCAATATCGAGGCAAAGAGCAGTATGCTAAGGAGCGTGATCGCTATGCAAAGCACGAGAGCCGTCGAATCCATTCGACTCGTGGTCGCGGCGTCGCGATCGTTGGACGCGTCGTTGGACGTTAGTTCGGAATAAGAACGCTGTATCTCTGTTTGCACTCGCGAGATGACTACCAATCCGACTCGCGTGGAGAGGAGGTGATTCTTCAACGGAGCGTTGTAGTAGTCTCCGATGTGTTTGCCGTCACCTACGGTGAATCTCTGGTATCTATGGAAATCTGACGGATCGAACTGCGCAGTGACGTAATAATTTGAACCCTGCTGCAAGGCATTGTTGTAGCTGGGATACTCGATATCTGCGCCGACCGGAGGTATAACGCCAGCCAGAACAACCACCACTTGATATGCGCTGATCGGTCCGTATTCGCTGTGACCCTGAATGAGCAGGACAGTTATAGTACTATCGTCGTGTCGCACTATTTCAGGCACAGCTGGTTTGTCAGGTGGCCCTATCGCGGTCCACACCACAGTGTACGCTGCGTCGCTGAGTCCGTGCGTATTGTTGGCGATAACCGATATGTTGTACTTGGTGCCAGGTTGAAGACCTCTCAGAGTCGTGCCATTGGATGTTCCTCCTTGAACCTGACTCTCGACAGGTGGCAAGACATTAGTCGCGTGTGTTTGTACGGCAACAGCACGAAGAGTATAAGAGTCAACTTTGCCATTAGGTATATCAGGCGGTTCCCACGTTACAAAAAGTGCGTCTATACCTTCACGAGTCACGCCTATCCTCCTCGGTGGACTTGGTCCTAGAAAATACGCATGTGTACACATGTGTACGTACATATGTGTACATATGTGTGGGAGTGTGTATCCTCCCTCTCTCTCTCTTTCTGCTTTTCATATACATATATTGTATATACGCTTGCATGTACAAACAATAATACAAGAATATAATAATACAAGAGTAGCGTAGGTAACAAGGATCAAGACGAGTCAGTTTTCATCAGAGAAAGAAATAGTGTAATCATAGTGCGTAGCACAGTTTCAACACATATCACACACACACTCACACACATATATATATTAGCTCGGTAAGAATGTTAAAGAGTAAGGGCCAGAGCACAGACTTTTGCATAACATATAATATATAACATATATAAGAGAATCAACCAATCAGAATTCTTCATTTCTGTCCTGAGGAAGGAAATGAAGAAAACTAATTGGTTTATTCTCTTATGTGTTATGTATTATGCGTTATGCAGAAGTCTGTGCTCTGACCCTAACAATCGGTAACCTTTTTATCAGTTAATTATTTGAATCATTTTTATTCGTCGTTGAAAAAGTTGCGTTTATTTGTGATGTAAAGATTCATGAGGAAAAAGTACCTTGCTGACCGGTAGAATAGACACTCATAGCTTCGAAACTGCCGCAGTAATTATCAGGGTCATTAACGCAAGGAGTATCGCAACTGTTTGAAAGTCCATTTTTGCCGAATCTACTGATGCAGTAGCATTGTTGCCCATTCATCAATCCTGCGAATCTATCGAACGAAAGTATCGAAATAAATCGAAAGTGTCCCATGTTTGTGTACTATTGGATACTGATTACTTACATATAATACAAAGAGCGACATTTCTGGACACACATAGCAGGTGCAGTCGGATATGCCAAGACCGGGGAGGGTAATTCAGGATCCGACGTAGAGCTGCGGAAACAACCTTCATACTTTAGACCACATGCGAAATAAACACCGTAGGAGGATAAGAAGAGGAAGAGAGACGCGATCATTGTGACGATAGATACGGAGTTGCATCGGCTAGTGATTTCGTACCGCAACAGAATGAAGCATTCGTTCGGAATTCGAAATGTATGAGTCAACAAGTACTACGCGACGATGACACAATGGGGAAAAGGCGTGGACAGATGAGAATTAGGTTATGCGTTCGATAACATGGTACTTGTCCATATCGACAAGTCGTAGAACGGCTTTATTAATTTTATGGAATCTTTGTAAAAGCCCATCTTTGATATTACGGACAGTAGCGAGACCAAAGTGCTTGCGTCGAACGAAGAATCAATCAGTGAGTACAACAATGTTTCGACTTGACACATACGTATGTATAATCATTTGGTGTGGTCTGTTCTTTGTAGCTGCACTGCTGAACTAGTGCAATAAGCTAGAGTGAGAAAACCTATATTTGTCTCACTTTAACTTATTGCACCAGTTCAACAGTGCAGCTACAAAGAACAGACCAGTGATTCGCACGTTACACTCGTTGCACTCAAGTGTTAAGCTTGTTTTTGTGCTGGATTGCTTGCTGGATGAAAATACTGCGTTCTGATTGGTATATTTCCAACCATCTTCGGAAACGTACCAATCAGAACGCAGTATTTTCATCCAGCAAGCAATCCAGCACGAAAACAAGCACCGTGTGCCGCTGGCTTTATACTTCGTCTACAATAGAAGTCAAAGGCCGCGTTCAGTAGAACAAAGTGATCAGAGAGCGCTTAGTGATTATTGTCTGTGATTGGAGATTCTTTTAGATTCTTCATAGACCCAGAAGTATTTACCAATTAGAAGCGAGATTCAGTGGAAAATCTAGTAATGTTGTCCAACTGTTGAATCTGCTGAATGCAGCCATAGAGTCGTAAGTCGTACAAATTGACCAATCGCGGTCGATCATTTTTCTCTTACCGGACTATGATTGGTCAGTTTCTACGACTTACGACTCTACGACTTCTATTGTAGACGAGGGGTTACAGGTTAATTTAGGGTGCGTTCACTCAACAGTTCCGCAACTGCTGAATAATTCATCAATGTTATTGGTCTGAATGTAAGGATCTAACAGTAAGGAGTCTAACAAAAGGAGGATCTAACAATAGTCGCTAATCGCTCACTGAGCAGTTTTCTCCGCTGAACGTACCCATAGTCTGTGTCCCAAAATTCACTGCGAGTACTGAAAATACATAGTTTGTGTCACGTATATTATAGATTTTCAGTGCTGGCAGTGAATATTGGAACGCAGCCATTGGATGTTTCGTAGAACTAGATCGTCGGACGTTTTGGTTGGCTGAATTTCTAGCGTGTCTAATTTTTTCTCTAGGCATCTTAGAACTTTTCTGTCTGACAGCCAATTGAAATGCACGATACCCTTGTCGTATGATGTACGGTCGTGGACATAAAGGTTGTCACTTTTTTTTAATGACTTTCAGGACGCATCCCGACTCGAGAAAAATGAGTGCTGCTGCTCCGCCTGCCCCGCGCTGCACCACGTATATCTCATTTCTCTCATTTCGTTGTGAGTTACTGCGCAGGCGTGCTCTGCAGGCGGAGCAGCAGCTCTCATCTTTCTTGAGATGGATGCGTCCCGAAAGTCATTAAAAAAAAGTGACAACCTTTATGTCCGCGACCGTACATTGAAGAAGAAAGAAAGATTCTTACGTCGCACATGAAAAAATGTCTGCTACCTGTAGATTTAAACATGCCATTATGTTAGGAAAACATCTATCATATTCGTGGAATAATATTTTTCAGAAAAAATTATTCCAAACGCAATATTTACGATTACCAGGTTGGTATATTGTTTATTTTGCTTCATGTGTCTGTCATATTCCCTTCCTCTCTCTTTCTCTTGATAATCATATCTTGAAATTATGTATATTTAATTTTATATATATCTCTTTCTATAATAATTTTATATATTTAAACAATTGCTAGCTCTACTTTCTCGATACATATCAAAGTATACATTTCAATTTTCTTTTCATTTAGTAATTGCTACTTATAATCATGTGAGGTATTGGTCCTCGCAACCAAAAGTTCAAACTACAGAACATCACAATATTATAAAAGATATAGAAAAAGCGACAGGTAAGTTGTTTAATGCAATCGCATCCACATATTTCACTCTCCTATTAAATATAACTCTATAAATATTTTTAATCACAGGAACAACTGCTAAACATGAGTTTCAATCAGAGACACAAATGTTACTGCAAATTGTGGCTAAATCTTTATATTCAGACAAGGAGGTGTGATATCATTTTTTCCCATAATATACTGTGTATATATGGATATACTTTATTGATTTGGTTATTATTTAGGTATTTATGAGAGAGCTCATCTCAAATGCTAGTGATGCTTTGGAAAAGTTACGATATCTGCGATTAAGTGACAATGAAGCTGTGCAAACTGCTGGTGACAGAAGCTTAGAGATACATATAGGTACTGACAAACAGAACCGTACTCTTACCATTCAAGACACCGGTGTGGGAATGACTAGGGAAGAATTGGTATCCAACTTGGGAACTATAGCTCGATCTGGCTCTAAGGCAAATATCAATGTGCTTGTATATTAAAAGAAAAAAGAATTTTTTGTAATTCTCAAAATTTTTATATTTTACAAAATATCAAATCTAAATTTATCAAAGAATTGAATTAAAACAGTCAGCTATTCTGCAGGCATTTCTAGAAAAATTGAAGCAAGATCAAAATTCAGACGACACCTCCAAAATTATTGGTCAGTTTGGTGTAGGATTTTACAGTGCTTTCATGGTTGCTGACAAAGTCGAAGTATTCACTAAGTCATTTGCGAAAGATGCCGAAGGTCTTTGTTGGATTTCCGATGGGTAAGTAATGAGAGAATATGTTGTTTGATGTTGTATCACGAGCACACAATATATCCACCCATTTGTAGAGCAGGCACATTTGACATTTCGAATGCTACTGGTGTGCAACCAGGCACGAAAATTATTATACATCTGAAACCAGACTGCCGTGAATTCAGCGATGAAGATACAATCAATCGTAAGTATATTAACAGATAGATATATGGAATCTCGATTATTACCGCAGTCTATTGAAAACGCACAGCAGAGAATTTTTTCATCTCCATCGCTTCTATAAACTTTTCCTGCGCCCAAACTCAACAAATCCAAACATCTTATATGCGCATCGACGTTTACATCTTTGCTTCGCAATCTGTAAAGCTTGATTCTCGTTCTCTCACAGGTGTCATCAACAAATACAGCAATTTCGTCGGTAGTCCCATTTTCGTTAATGGGAAGAGAGCCAACACGATTCAGGTATCACTCTAAAAGAAAAAAAAAAAGAACATTACAGTTACCTCAACTGCCATGTTCCTATTCTCTGACACAAAATATCCTCTCTTGTAGCCACTGTGGATGTCCGATCCGAAAGATATCACGCCGTTGCAGCATGCCGAATTTTATCGATTTGTAGGAAATTGCATCGATACACCACGCTTTATACTGCATTACTCAACGGATGTACCATTGAGCATCAAGGCTCTGTTATACTTTCCGGAGGAAAAGCCGGGACTGTTCGATTTAGCGAGAGACATCAACGCCAGTGGGGTGTCGCTCTACAGCCGAAAGATCCTGATTAAGAGTAAAACGGAGAATATATTACCGAAATGGTTGCGCTTCGTGAAAGGAGTAGTCGATTCGGAAGACATACCGTTGAATTTGAGTCGTGAACTACTGCAAAATAGTGCATTGATTGGGTAAGAACCGATACTCAATGACGTTCTTGTCACTTGTTATTAGAATGACGAGTCAAGGTAAGATAAATATATACGCGTGACTCTTGTAGAAAACTACGAGACGTATTGACAGCGCGGATACTGAAATTTCTGCACGAGCGATCCACGAAGCAGCCCGAAGAGTACAATGAGTTTTACAAGACTTATGGCTTGTTCCTGAAAGAGGGCATTGTCACGAGTAACAGTCAGTCCGAAAAGGTAACGATTCGTTGCATTCTACATGGATATCTGTGATCCGTCATCATCAATCGCGAGTCAATCTCGTGTTTCGTTGCAGGAAGATATAGGTAAACTTTTGCGCTTTGAGTCTTCCGCCGCCGCACCGGGTGAGCTCATCAGTCTGCCGCAATATTGCAGTCGTTTGGCGCAAAACCAGAAGGATATATATTACTTGTCAGCTCCTAGGTAAAAGAAAAAAAAATAAGAGGTACAAATGAATGTTTGCGTGACTGAGGCTGACCGGTAAACTCGCGTCTTCGTCTTACAGTCGAGCTTTGGCCGAACAATCGCCCTATTATGAGTCTCTGAAAAAACGAAATGTCGAGGTTCTCTTTTGTTACGAGCCGTACGATGAATTGGTGTTGATGCACTTGAGACAGTACAAATCAAACTTCCTGACATCCGTGGAGAAAGAAATGCGCGATGATGCAGAGGCGAACAAGCCAGAAAATTTAGGTCTTACATAAACGAATGTCGCGTGTAATTATTCGGGTACTTGATGATGTCTCTATTCGCATCTTATCCTCCCAACAGGTCTTGTGAATAAAGATGAGTTGGATGCTCTCGTAAACCATATGAAAAAAGTCCTCGACAAGAGAGCGTACGACGTTCGGATGACGAACCGCTTGGAGTCACACCCATGCGTTATAACTGTACAAGACATGGCGAGCGCGAGGCATTTCATTCGCACGCAGAGCCATCAAATGGAAGAGGAGATGCGTTATTCGATTCTTCAGCCGCGCTTTGAAATAAATCCCAATCATCCGCTCATCAAAAAGTTGTGCAAACTAACGACTACTGATGCCGAATTAGCTGATCGCTTGATACAACAGGTACATCGCGTGTTTGCGACATCGGAGCGCGTTTTCAAGCCGTACGTTCCCGAATGGCGCTTGTTGTACAATAATGTTACATCAGTAACACGAATTATTTATTATCGCAGTTATTCAACGGTGCCATGGTTGGAGCTGGTCTGATTGAGGATCCGCGCATGCTATTGATACCAATGAACGAGCTACTTACATTGGCTTTGCAAAAATATTAATATTTTTTAATACAATATTGATACGATGAGGAAGGGATAGAATCGTACCGATGCTTGAGAACGTCGGCACTATTATATTACGGCGGATATTCCGTGGAGGAGAGAGAAGAACGAGTTTTTCCTTCATATATTTTCCTGGCGATATCTCTTCTTCCCGCCATTGTTTTATATATTACAAAAACATTAGATATTCCAAGATTTCGCACTAAATAAAAATACCGACGAATCCACATTCGTCACGTATAACGATAAGATCGCTATATGTTAATAAGGAAGTATAACTTACTTGGTATAACTTATTGTAGGCAAGATTGGTTTCTTTATTACAATAAGTTGATCTTGTACAAATTAATTATAGCCTTACGATAATAACAAGTCGAGTTCCTCGCTTCTTTTTCTGAAAAATTCCATGATATCGATATGTATTCTATCAGCAGGGCTAGATGTTATGGCGAATTTAGAAATTGTACCCACGTTTCCCGTGTTGTATTTCTTTCCACGATTTCTTTTTCTTCTTTTTTTTTCAAATTATACAGTTATCTCAAATTGTACGCAAGTCCCAAGCAATAAATAATTTTATAAAATTATCTATTCCTCACTCTCTGTTGTCCTAAGAGAGCTTATCTTCCTTTCATATTTTCAATGTAACCCGCGTCTAAATAGGTCTAAAGCGACAATTTAGAAGAAATTGTTGAATCAATCGTCTCTAAGGATCACGCACACATGCTTTCAATCAATTCCGATTGCCTGTAATTACGTACAAATATATATATATATATGTATATATATATATATATAAATATATATATATATATAACTATAAAAAATTAATAATTATCGCTTTTACTGTTGTGCTAATTTATTGGTAGGAAATCCTAATAAGATGAGTTCACGCGGTTTTCGTAAGATCACTAAATGATCCGTACGCTATGTGTAAAAAAAAAAAAAAAGAAGTTAGTCCGCTGTCACATCCATCCTACTTTACAGTCTTTGACCAATGTGCTTCATCGTTCCCCTCCTCCCTTTTTGTTATTTTTACATAAAATTAAATACATTAAGATTTATGTCTGTGCTTCGTTATTTCGACTGAAATGTATTCGTCCATCGATATCGAATCCGACACGGCCGACAACATCGATTGTAAAATTTCATCACAACGCCCCATTCTAATATAGAATGAATCGTCAACGTGTGTCATCAGCACCGGCGCAATTTCACATTTCAGAAAGCAGAAGCACAGCCAATTTTAACTTTTACAAGGACGAGAGACATTGGCTGTTGCTCTTGGTCAACGTAAAAATCACCCTGTTTAGCGTTTATTATTAATGCGATTCGCTAGTGCATCCTACAAAATAGGATGGCTGGCATCCTTTATGGAACAGGAACATAAAATTCGATCCGTCAACGAAATTCTACACATATAAGAGAAAAAAGAAAAAAGAACGTGTAAACCTCACCCCAGATAAGCTGCCGCTATATATCGAACGTTATAACGAACGTATGCTAAACGGAAGTGACAATGAGAGTAAAAAACCTTAGGCTTGTAATGGATCGTTCTTTGTGATCCTCCTCGGTCTCGTTTCTAAAAATTAATCAAAAGAAATGCATTGCTTTATATGGCATTACAGAATTAATTGGCAGTTTAGAAAATATCTCGTTACACATTATGGACATGTTTCTATACGATGAGAATAATGATACACATGAGATGCGAGTGGCGGATGAGAAATGAATAGCGACGATGAATAGTGAAATATATACCACGTGCCGCTGAGCAGTCTTATTAAGGAATAGATGGAAAAGCGTGATGTAAATAGTGTAGCACCATGTATACAAATAGATCGGCCGTACTTGATGGTGACTGAAATGAACAAAGAAAGAATAAGACAAGATGTGTGTGAGAGAAAAGAAATGAAAGCGAGAGACAGAGAGAGAGAGAGAGAGAGAGAGAGAGAGAGAGAGAGAGAGAGAGAGAGAGAGAGAGAGAGAGAGAGAGAGAGAGAGAGAGAGAGAGAGAGAGAGAGAGAGAGAGGAGAGAGAGTTAAATAAACGGAACGTTGACTTAGCTTACGTATACGCGAAGGAGGACATCGCATCCTTTCGTGTTTCTCTCCTTTCTTTTCTTTTTTAATTTCCGTTATAAAACGTTGGATAATTAACATTGCAATTGTTATAATACAAGTCATAGTTATTTGATCATCGTATAAACATTATTATCATCACAGTAAAAATATTTCATATCTTTTTAACTATTTATCTGTGCCTCATTGTAATAGACGCGCACGAGCGCGCAGCTACGCACACACTTGCCCTCCGGAAGTTTTAAAGCGGAAGCTCTTCCACTTCCTTTCACTAGAGTCCATTTACTTATGTACTAAGTCCTACTGTTTCTTTATTTTCCTTTACGCGATATATGCATTATTAAGTAGTCCGTCGGTTCATTTCTCTCTTTTTTTTGTTCTTTTTCATACGTAATCAAAATAAAATCGGTTAGCAAATAGTAAAAATACGTAAATGTACCTATGTATGTGTATCTTTTGCACTGGAATTATAGTTGCGGATTAACACGTTAAACGTTTAAACGATAGGTCATTAAACAATAGTCATTGGTCTGACGATGCGGTCGTGATTAACTTTTGCCTTTCTCGAATAACAAATCCCCCTTCTTCATCGAGATAGTTTCTTGTGCATGTATATATATATTCGTACATTCCACGCGCGAAGATCTATCTCTTTTTCTCTAGTAAGCCTCATCCCCTCGGTAGAGTAAGAAAAATCGCATTATCGCGTCTATAAGATGAAACAATACAGACTAAAGTATATCGATGTGTATGGCGCCGTTGTCCTTTTAACGTACAATTATACATGTATAATGTATATTTCTGCTTAAATAGACAAATGAAAGAGAGAGAGAGAGAGAAAGAGAGAGAGAGAGAGAGAGAGAGAGAGAGAGAGAGAGAGAGAGAGAGAGAGAGAGAGAGAGAGAAAGAGAGAGAGAGAGAGAGAGAAAAAGAGAGAGAGAGAGAGAGAGAGAGAGAGAGAGAGAGAGAGAGAGAGAGAGAGAGAGAGAGAGAGAGAGAGAGAGAGAGAGAGAGAGAGAGCACTTTCGTATCGCGGTGTTCCACAAAAACTGAAAGAAGAAGACTTGGTCGCTTGGTGATAAGAGTGCAAAAATGCTCATACGTCCTGTCCTTTTATCACCAAGTTGTACAACTGTTGTTGTAGCCGTTACACTTTAAGGACACGTGTTACCGCAACGAAACGCGCGTACGATATGCCCGGCAATGTAAAAATACAACCGAAACGTGAAACATTCACGAAACAAGAATACAAGTTCCGTTCCTCTGGCGTTCCTATGGCGTTAACGTGACCTATGCTAAACACGATTTGCAGAAGACAACGCAAGACGACTATTCGCGACGCGACAGCTTTCGCAAGATTAAGTACGCTCGAACTCTACCTGTAGAGTAGGAGGAGATTTGAGGCGTGATGTATTCCCGTGACGATAATACATCGTACGTGCGTCGACGCCCTTCCTAACTTCGTAGCTGCCTGTACAGACTGTCCCCTACTTATGGCGATATAACACCTATATACAAAATTGCATATTCACAGACATCCGCTCGTCTCGGTCATAGAAGCACAGAGAAACACGCTCGCACATTTCAGTTTGAGTCTATCCTCAAACTTCGACACCATCGTTTGTCACACTGAGGTCTGCGTGATGCCGTTGCCCGAAAGCCATAGACGGCCGTTGCTCTTTTGCTCCGCGATCTCGTATTCGGAATCGTCGATCTCGCATAGATTCGTCGAGAGATCGCTATTGCTGGTAGCGCCGCCCAATAGCGAGTTCCTCTCTTCTAGCGTGGTAATGACGGAGCCGATCTCGTCCACCTCATCCACCGCCTTGTGGCATCGGTTACGGCGACTGCTTGGAAAACCATAAGGCACTACATCGTCTTCCTCCTCTTCTTCCTCCTCCTCCTCCTCCTCCTCTTCCTCCTCGTCAGACTCCAAAGTACTGAGACGACCATTCAACGGGTTCGTCTCGTTTTCGGTGTCGGTGTGAATGTTATAATGCGGTAGGTACGAGTTCGGGTGCCGAAGGTAGCTCTCGGAGCTCTTGTACTTGTACTCTCCTTCGCCGCCGCTGTCGAGAGGATTGAGACGCTGCGTCTCCGCGCAATGATACTGCTCCGAGAACTCGGTCCCGCACTCGGAATCGCCGACATATTCCGACTCCTGATCCTCGTTCAAGGTCTCGATGTCTCTCGTCGGGTCTACTGGACCGTGTACTGCAAAGGAATGTTATTTACGAATTACAGAAAGATGCATCTCGTGTGTCTGGGTGAAAAATTATCTCATTATCGTGTGTAGCATTACATTTCTTCCATGCACATAACATCAAACGTGGTTACAGGGACGATCCTGATTGAATGTACGTGCGAAAGTTTCGTCTTCTTTTTTTTCTCTTTTTTTTTTCTCTCAGCATTCCAGTTCCCAATTCTTTCAAATATTCTTACGGAAAGATTCGTGACTTACTTCCACGACTGAATTATTACTCGAAATGTACTTCAAATACCACGAAAATAAGGTAGAAACTCGCAAAAGAGGGAAAAACAAGGACTAAAACTTTTACACGCGTTCAATAATTGGTTATTCTCCGTCGTATTCATTGGCGTTGAAACAATGTTAATTGTATCATACAATTTCAGTCAGCGACGATTCAACTCCAACGAGTTTAAAGAATTCAACAACTAATGAAAACCGGAAAACACACTTTAATATCACACGTTGATCACATGCAAGAAGCGGAAAACCAATGCGCGTGTATTTTCAAACTTACTCGATGGTAACTGATGAGTATTGGATTCGTTACTCTCGTTGCTGTGGAAACTGGACGAGTCCGGGACTTCGCTGCCGGGTACTTCCGTGATGTTGGGTAAGGGATTTTGACTTCGCCTGACCCAGTCTGAGCAGTCCCAATGATACCCTAAAAGCATTGCAGACAACGACTGTACTTCGACACGCCACATGCGATGCAGCATAATGTGCAGTAAAAAGGAGGAAGACAGAATTGAAAGGATAACGAAGGAGTACGAGAATAATAGTGCACAATTGGAGACAGGCAGTGCAAGCGAAGAAGCATTGATTCTACAACGTGCACAGAGAGTCCGAGAAATCGCGCACGTTCGATCACGGGATTTCACGCGGCTCGCAATCCAGGCTTTTTGCCTATGGCTTTATGCTCGAAACCTATGTCGCGTAATTTCTAGCAAAAGGTGTTGCCCGCGGACTTGGGCTAAAACTGAGCTAAAGGCTGAAAACTAGAGTCACCAGCTAGGTTTAGCGTTACATCACTCGTAATCGTACGTCTTTGTACGTCTTTCGATATATCGAGATTTAATTTGTAGTTGACTAAACTCTTTGTATCCGGTACTTTTTAAAAAAGAGATATGCGATTAGCTAGACACCCTGTATCTCGTGATATGAGCGGACTATATCTCAACTTACCACCAACGATGCGAGGATCATCCTCGATGGATGTCACGGAAGCAACGGAAGATCCGATCGCATGAGGCAGACGTCGAGAAGAGTTTAGTAGAAGTCCTCCAGTGGTCAGCTCTGGTACCACTGGGCTCGCTCGTTTCAGGTCTGTTAGTGCACACAATACGAATGCGCCAGCGTTAATAGAATTCGCTACATGCCCGGATCCGAGCATACTATGGAAAACGGAGAGAGATCGCCGAGGGAAGGAGGTAGAGCCGAGAGAGAGAGAGAGGGAGAGAGAGAGAGAGAGAAGAGAGAGAGAGAGAGAGAGAGAAGAGAGAGAGAAGAGAGAGAGAGAGAGAGAGAGAGAGAGAGAGAGAGAGAGAGAGAGAGAGAAGAGAGAGAGAGAGAGGAGAGAGAGAGAGAGAGAGAGAGAGAGAGAGAGAGAGAGAGAGAGAGAGAGAGAGAGAGAGAGAGAGAGAGAGAGAGAGAGAGAGAGAGAGAGAGAGAGAGAGAGAGAGAGAGACGGAAGGAGAGGGAGGAGGGAGAAAGACAAAAAGTGAGAAAGTGGGAAAAATTTATCAGAGGAAAAACTACCGATGAGAATGAACAGCGGGGGCGGGGCGCCAACTGCTCCACCCCTTACGACGCATGCCACAAGCGAAATCAAAAAGTAAGAAGCTACCGTATAAAGAGAAAAAGAGAGAGAGAGGGAGGGAGGGAGGGAAGGAGGGAGAGAAAGAGAGAGAGAGAGAGAGAGACAACAGGGAAAAACAACAAGGATACACAAGGGGAAGGGTGATGCTCATCGACGCGTGTCCCACTTACCGTTCTTGATCTTGGTGGTATCGGTTATGAAGGAGGCCAGCTGCATCTGTTCCTGCCAGGTGGGCTTGTGCAGACTGTCCGTGTCGCTGCCAGTTGCGTTCCCGCCGACCGGGTTAGTGAGAGTCAAGGACGGAGGTGGTACGGGAGTGCTGCGATTTAGGTTTCTCAGATAATCCGGTGGAAAGTTCTCTAGCTCGTCGCCTGCGCTGCCGTAGCTGCGCAGGGTATCCAAATTATTTAGAGCCGCTGCCGCCGCCGAGTTACCGTATGCGGCCGGCTCATTGTTCGAACTGGGAGTGTAGGAGGCGGGTCTGGGAGGACATTGGGGAGGTTCTCTCTGTAAAAGAAGAATCACACAAAAACCTTAAACAGGATGCGCCGCGATGAAAGCGTGGGAGGGATCCTATCGTGTCGGTGCCGACACGATTGCAAAAGAAAAAGAAAACAGCACCGAGAGATCGATCGATCGCTAGCAGTGCGAAAAATGCAAAGATCGATGAAGGCATTAGTCGTCGAATGTGACGAATAAAGGTTGTCACCTCCTTCTTACTTCGTACGTGCCACACGTGGAGAAGAAAGACTGGTTCAATCGACGAGCCGAGCGAGCATGAGTTAGTTAGCGGGAAGAAATTTCACACGGAGCAAATTCGCGATTCCGAAGGCGGTTAGATATATTTGCAGCAAATGTTCGCGATCTTATGTTCACAGTTCAGGGTTCGGTCGAACAAGTGAGATAGCTCCGGAGAGCTGAGTGGTAAATAACGGATCGCAGAACGATGCCCGCCCTGCGACTATGCTGCTCGAGCGAGTGGCCGAGCGACCGATTGTCGCGTTTATTATTACGTTTCTAATTCGCGCAATCTTTCTCCTCCATGAAATATCTGTGTGATAACAATGCCTTCGAACGAACGACAATGCCTACGACGACCTGTGCTCCCGAGCTTCTTTCTCATGCCTCTACAATGCAATACAACGATTGAGACAACAAATCGATACGAAAATGTAAAGTGTGACAGGTACCTGTATGACTTCCAGGTTGCTTAGCTTTGAGCTGCGCTTGAACTCGTGTTCGGACGGTCTCGCGGAATTCAGGACGATCTGTTTGCGCGTCTCGTTGTTGATGTTGTTGGCGCGAGCCCTGGTCCGCTTCAAGCGAATACGCCGGAAAGCGACGAACACAATGATGACGAACACGTTGAGCAATACCGCGACCCCTATCCACATCATCTGCTCCCAAGTGATGTTGAAGTGGCTGGATATGATCGGCGTGGAGTAAGCGGGATTACCGCAGTTGAGACCAGTCATGTTCGGCGGGCAGATACACCGGTACGTGCCAATCTCGTTGACGCAGGTGCCGCCGTTCGTGCAAGGGCTCGCGTCGCACTCATTCACGTCGGTCTCGCAGCGCTCGCCGGTGAAGCCTTGGCACTTGCAGATTGGACCGTTGTTGCCCTCCTCGCACACCCCGCCGTGGATGCACGGATTCGGGCTGCAATACCTGCCGAATTCGCAGCGTTTGCCGCTGAGGCTCGGCCCGACGCATTCGCAGGTATAATCGCCGCCCTCCGGCACGACCTTGCAACGCCCGCCGTAGAGACAGGGCGAGGAAGCGCACGGATCGGTGTCGATCTCGCAAGCCAGCCCGGCGAACCTGCTGTGACACTGACACTCGTAACTGTCGCCACCCGAGTCCTTGCAGGTGCCGCCGTTCTGGCAGGGCTGCGAGCCGCAGATGCCGGGCGGCACCAGAATGGTCGCCGTGTCGCAGCTGAATTCGACGTTGGCGAAACGCTTGAGAATCGCCACGCTGCTGGCGCCGCTCATGTGCAACGGCACGGACACTCGGGCGATCCTGACGTCGTCCATGCAGCCGACGAAACCACGTTGCACGTCCTCGAAGCCGATGATTGATGGATGTTGCCTAACCTCGGCGCCCAGGTAAAGATCGTCCGACTGTAGATTAAGAATGTCGTTGATGCCGGGCGCCGAGCCGTGCGCTATATGCGTGCCGTCGACGGTCAGACGAGCGTTGTTGCTCTCCCGCTCCAACTGAACCTCGTGCCACTGCCCGTCGCTCACGTACACGCTGCTCACTCTGACCAGGCCCTCGCCACTGCCAAGGTCGAATTTGTACTGCATCACCCCGTTCACTATCTCCAAGATATTGTAGTCCACTTTGCCGGCTGCGTACATCAAATTGCCGGTGGGCTGCACCGTTCGGATCCTCAGGGACAGGCTCAGGCGGTCCTCGATCGTTTGCCGTATCAGCGCCTTGTCGATCTTGTAGCGCGCGTAACTCTTGCCGCTGAACGATATGGGATTGCGCGGTATGTAGCACGACTCGTCATGGCACTTGGAGATGTCGATGTCGCAGATCTGTCCGGCGAATCCCTCGGGGCACTGACAGGAGTAGCCTTGAACGGACGAGTCCGGCACGCAGACCTTGAACGATGGACAAGGATTTCGGGCACACTCGTTCACCACCACTTCGCAGTGAGTGCCGGCGTACCCCTCCTTGCAATTGCACTCTATCCTGTGCTTATGCCGCGGCGACACAAAGCTCATCACATCCGTCGCCACAGGCGTGATCTGCTTGGGATCGAGAATGATCTTGTCCTGACACTCGCCGTAAAAGCAGAAGCCTTTGTTGCACTTGAACCGGACAATCTCCTCGACCACCAGTTTCGTCGACTCCTCCAGCTCCTCCAAGTGCTGGTTCAGCAATTCGCGCACAGCCTCCGACACGTGGTAGGTCGACGGATTCGCCGACTTCTTCACGGCGAACAGAAGATCGAGGTCGTTGTGCACCGCCTGGCGTACAGCTCGCGATTTAATCAGGTTCGTCTCGTCGCTCGACGGCTGCACGCTGATGATGACAATGTCTTTGAGTCTGCAGTTCATCGCGTTGCGAACGGTCCTGACGAAACCCTTGCGGTGACTCAGGATAAAGTCCTCCGGGCTGACCTCCCGAAATCTCACGATCACCGAGTTCTCGAGCATCTTTTCGGTTACGAGATCGACATTGACCTTGACGATGGAATGCGAGTGGAACTTGCCGTCCGTCACGCTGACATTCACCCTGTACTCGCCGACGTCGAGTCTAGGTAGGGCCACTAGTGTGCCGTCCGCCTCGTGTATTTGGAAGAGATCGTTGCTCGGGATCATCGCGGACGACGGCACTAGGCCGAAGAGAAGCGTGTCGTACTGGTCCTGGTCAGTCGCGTGGACTTTCCCGATAACGCCGCCGGGATACTCGTCCATGTAAGAATTGATAATCACCTCGAGGGGCGTAATTACCGGCGGGTATTGCGACTCCTCGATCACCTTGATTACAACCCACGCGTCGGACCATAACGGCGGGCTGCCATTGTCGAACACTCGGACGTGCAATACGTACTTATCCTTCACTCTGTTATTAAATTTCGTTGCTGTGCGCAGAGTACCGTCCTGTTCTAGCCGGAAGGCGTCGCCCTCGTTCCCGGAGCGAAAATCGAAGGTGTAGGGCTCGGCGTTCGGCTCGGTGTCCGCATCGGTGACCACGAATTGCAGCACCGTATGGCCGAGCGACTTGTCCTCCTGCACGACAGCGGTGTAATTTGGCAAGGAGAACAACGGTGGATTATCGTTCGCATCCATAATCTCGATGTTCACCATCACGAAACTCGAGAGCATCGGTATGCCGCTGTCGCGTGCGTGTACCTCCAGCACGTAGTTTGCAATCTAAAAGAGAAAGTCAAACACGCGGAGTATCAAACTGGAGCAATTCGTACGTGTGGTACAATCCGTAACGAATACCAACTTCTTCTCGGTCCAACGGCGCGGCGACGGTTATCTGTCCGGTCTTTCTGTCAATAGAGAACTGTTTCTGCCTGTCGCCGCGTTCAATGTAATACGACACGTTACCGTTCTCCTCGCTGTCCAGGTCGTTTGCGTACACCTAAAATATTGATGAAAATTTAAATAACAGATGTAATGAGGTTATATACATATATATATATATATACAGCTGAGCCAGAAAGGTCTGAAAGGAGAAGAAGCTCTTATAATATTGGCTTCATATCGTCAAAAGATCATCAGTAGTATCAGTTGTATCGGTATCGGAGAAATCCATTAGTGGCTTTTACCAGCAGTTTGGATGTACACCCCACCCCAGGTATCATCGTATCTTTGCATCACGATTGTTGCTCTCGAAAAGAATCAATCAACAAGCTCGACAATTGTGCAGTAATGGTGCATTCGCCATTGCGTATATTATTGTTATCGCACGAAAGTGTGACCGAGTTGCTGACTCCCATCCTAGAAACGACGGTCATAATGCGTCGAAAGAAATACGTAGAGATACGACGTATCCGAGCCGAAATGCCCCAATCGCGCGAAAGTGGAAAGAATCGTCAGAGTTATCTGCAGAAATAACTCAACACGCATGCACGCACGCACGCACATACGCACGCGCGCACACACATACATACACACACACACACACACACCTGTGCAACTTTCTCCCCGATCTTTGCGTCTTCTCTCACGGCGGCTCTGTACGAAACCTCACTGAAGATCGGCGCGTTATCGTTGCTGTCGGTGACAGTAATGTTGACGGTCGCGTGATTACTCAGTGGTGGGATACCTCCGTCGACCGCTTGAATGGTAAGGAAATAATCACGAGCTCGCTCGTAATCCAATAGCTCGGCAATGGTGACGACGCCCGTCTTGGCGTCTATCTGGAACTTTTTGTGCTCGTTACCGCCGACGATCGAATAATATATATCGGCGTTCACCCCCGTGTCCTTGGAGGTGGCGAGAACTCTGGCCACCTCGGTGCCAACCGCGTAGATCTCGGGCACTCTCGCGAAGTAAACCTTGGAAGCGAACTCTGGCGGATTGTCGTTGATGTCCTGCACGTTCACGATGAGCGAGGCGACGCCCATCAGTTGTGGGGTGCCCTGATCCAGCGCTTGAATAGTCACATTGTACATGGCCTTGGTTTCTCTGTCCAGTGGTTTACCCAGCGTGACTATGCCGCTGTCTGCAGCGATGAAAAAGTGACCATCCGCGGAGTCGATAAACTCGTAACGAATCTTCCGGTTGATGCCGATGTCGTCGTCCGTGGCGTGTACTTTTGTCACCAACGTGCCGACCTCCACGTCCTCGGGCAGGGTGCTGCTGTAGGTCTGCATGGTGAATCTCGGTGCGTTGTCATTGAGATCAGAGATGAGAATCTCCAGCTGCGAGGAACACTCCCACATCGGCTTGTCACGGTCCTGCACATGGGCGATCAGCGAGTACCTGGCCTGAGTCTCTCGATCCAGCTGCCCGACGGTTTTTAGCACGCCGGTTTCCTTATCCAACGAGAACTTGTCGTTATTCTCGCCGGTCAGGTAGAACCGTAACTTGGCGTTCGGTTCGTCGTCGTAGTCGGTGGCCAACACGGTCAGAACGTAGGCGCCGGGGTGTGAACCCTCCGAGAGCACCTCCCGATAGCGATACCGCAGGCAATACGGTGGATTGTCGTTGACGTCCAAAACTTGTACCGTCACTCTCGTTTCAAAGACGTACTTTCCATCGGTACCGACAATCTCGAGTTCGTAGCGATCGATGGTCTCTCTGTCCAATGACTTTGCGACATACACCTCGCCGGTGGATCTGATTTGAAACTGCGATCTGGGATCGCCAGACGTTATGTAGAATTCTATCGGCGTGTTAACGTCAGAGTCTTTGTCGACGGTGATCAACTTTACCACAACCGTCCCCGGCAAGGCGTCCTCGTTCACCGTAGCCTCGTAACGATCGTCGACGAACGCGGGCGCGTTATCGTTGTAGTCCTTTAATTTCACGTGTACCGATGCTCTCGCGAAATGCTTCGGATTCCCATTGTCTGTGGCGACCACCTAAGAAACAAAAGAGAGAGAGAGAGAAAGAGCATTACATTATCGTCGTCTCTTTGTTCCACTTTGATATTAAGATACTTAGTCTCTTAAAGTAGAATCGGTAGAAAAATCGATTTGCGATTTAGCCAGGGGCGAAAAAAAGAAGTGCTTCTTCGAGATAATCAGTAGGAATATTCACTGCTCTCCCCGTTAAAAACACTCCCTACTCCGCCCTCTTTACCGCACCGTCTTGTATCTCATTAATTTTCACCAGAGTAGGATTCTACCGCGAGATGTCTGACAGTACAGAGTGATTCGTTGTATCCTCTCCTACGCCAGCCGAATGTGACTTTTCGCGTTTGTGGCACAGTCGGACGGCACAGCCGTCTTGCCTTTTGCAAGTTGCATCAACAACAATTAGGAATTGGCCGCAGACTGTCAACTGATTTTTTCAGTCTCAAGATTTTACTGATTGCAGCAACGTTATACTTGCGCCCGAATCACTAGTTACAAGTGTAGCGTTTGTAGCAACGGAGGATACACTCTGACTGTACTTCAAAAAGCAGCGCTATTTTCGTTACGGTTACCTGAAATTTATACTCCGGTTGCTTCTCCTTGTCGAGCTGTACCAGGGTCGATATCCAGCCGGTATAAGCGTCCACCGTAAATACATTCGCCAATTCCCCGATGTCGGATCCGAAGGAGTAACGAACCTCGCCGTTGCTACCAAGATCCTTGTCGTGCGCGATGACCTTCAATATCGACGTACCTTCCTCGATGTTCTCCGCTAAGCTGATCGCGTACGGGTTGCTCTCGAATTTCGGCGCGTGATCGTTCTCGTCCAGCACCTGAAGCGAGATCTTGGCGAGGGCCGTGAGTGGCGGGCTCGAATCCGTCTCGGCGAGGACGCCAATTAAATGGCTGTCTTTCAATTCCCGGTCTAATGGCCTCGCCAGAGTAATTTGGCCGTGAGAATCGATCGTGAAGAGCGGGTTATCCTCGTCGCCAGATATTATGCGATACGTCACGGTACTGTTAGTGACGGTTTTCAGTTTCGTGATTGGCGTGCCGATAGAAGAGGCCTCGCTTATAAAGAACTTATCTTCTTTCCGTTCGAACAGCGGCGGGATATCGTGAGGACCCATTATGTAGATGCTGAGCGGCACATCGGCGTGATGCGTGGTCGTACCTTTGTCCTCCGCGCGGATAAAGAGCTCGAATAATTGGTTCTCTGGAAATAACAAACACTCGTCGTGACGTTTGTGAGGTAGACACGTCAAGGGAGGAAAGAGGGGCGAGAAGGACAAAGGGAAGAGAGTACAAGTTGCGTCTTCTCTGAAGACGAAGACGCACACGCGCGCGTAGATACGCGAGGGAAACGGCTCCACTCTTACCCCACGGCAAGGCGCTCTTCTGCAGGAAGAGAGCTCCCGTGTCGGGATTGATGCCGAACAGCAACCTGGCGGGCGCCGTTTGCGTCTCGTAGATGGAGTAAACGATCTTGGCGGCCTCGTCCTCGTCCGCGTCTTGTGCCCTGACCTTCAGGAACGGCGTGTTCAGGGACAGGTTGCTCTGAATGGTCGCCTTGTATTCACGAAGCAGAAACACCGGCGCGTTGTCGTTCTCGTCGCCGACCTTGACTCGCACCATCACGAATCCGGATCTACCGCCGCCGTCCGTCGCTATCACCGGTATCTCGTAGCGCTTCAGCTGCTCCCGATCGAGTTTCTTGCGCGTCACGATCTCGCCGGTCAACTTATTGATATCGAATATCTCCTTCATCGTCTCCGACATTATCGCGTACATCACCGTGCCGTACTCGCCAAAGTCCTCGTCCACGGCTAACACGCTGGTGACCAGCCTGCCGGGCAGTTGGTTCTCCAGGACCGTTACCTCGACCACCGGGTTCGGGAACTTGGGATTGTGTCGGTTCGCCGGCAGAATCTCGATCTTGACGCGTGCGAAGCTGGTGTACACGCCGTCGGTGACGGAGACGTTGAGCATGCTGAGTTTTTGTTCGCCAAAGTTTTGCATGTTTATGAGCGAGATGATGCCGCTCGACTGGTCAATGTTGTATGTCTGCTGCTCGTTACCACCCACGATAGTGTATGTCAGCTTTTCGTCAACGTAGTCGGGATCGCTGGCCGATACTACCGTGACGAATTGACCGCGCTCGGCGTGCTCCGAGAGCGAGCAGGTGTACGATGGTTGCTCGAACTTGGGCGGGTTGTCGTTCATGTCGATCACGCTCACCCATACGTGCGCCGTGCTCGACAGGCTGGGCACTCCGCGATCCATAGCGATCACCGTGAAATGATGGGATTCGCGGGTCTCGTGGTCCAGGGACCGCTTGAGAAATATTACACCCTCGTCGGGATCGATGTGGAAGAGATCCGTGCTGTTTTCCGTGTCGTTTTGTATGGCGTAGCGAACCTTTTGATTTATGCCTGCGAAAGAGGGGAAGCGCGAGAACTTGATGAAAATGTGATAATGATGATGAGATGATAGTAATATATAATTTAGAGATCGCGCGAATCAAGGATGTTGAATCGAATCGGACCAAAAAATGTCGAATCGTCCAAACTCTGCTCTCTTTTAACAACAACGTAATTAGTAAATGACCTAGTACAAGATGCTGCGATTATTAATAATAATCGCTGAATATTAAGACGAATAATTGTAAACTACGGGAAAATGGTAATGTTTGAGCGCGCGCGTGCGCGTACGACATCAGACACGCGCCGAAATGTTTCTCCAGATTTAAATATAACTTTTCAAAAGTGATATTCACGCCTATTCACCCGAAGAGAATTGCAGCAATGATTACAACTAACGACACTGCAGAATTTTTGAGACGGTAGATAGTTGGTTACGGTAAAGAGAAACGTTTGAAATGAAGATGCAGAGCGTGGATATCGAGTTCGAAGGTACGTTCAAGTTTGACGAATAAGCGGCGAACAATATCAGAGATGCAGTCAAATTTAATCTCTCTCTCTCTCTCTCTCTCTTCATTTTCTTCGTCCTTATCTCCATTAATTTGAATTCATTCGGGCAAAAGGACATTCATTAGCGCAAAGCTCAAAATTAATGATCTGCTTTACCCGTGTCATTGTCCCTCGAGCTCACTCGCAAGACGGAGGTCCCGAACGACGCCGCTTCCGACACCGAGATGTTGTAGGAATCCTGCGTGAATTCGGGCGGGCAGTCGTTTACATCCAGGACGAGGATGCTAACCAGCACCTCCGCGTAAACGCCCGACACGCTGTCGGTGGCGCGTACGGTCAGTTCGTACTGCTTCTTTTGCTCATAATCCAGCTCATCCACCACATAGATTACACCTGATTTATACGAAGAGAAGATTGTAGACCCAAAGCACTATGCAGCGGAGTGTCTACGTATCCGTCAGGGGCACGTGTGTACGCGTTGTTCGATTCAATCACGATGGGAAGCGAATACGCACGATGCACACGCACACGCGAGAAATTAATGCACGATGCACACGCAGTCTACGCAGTAGTCGCGTTGCGACTCTTCTTTAGTGTCGCTGCCTCGACGATTGCCTGCGATCGGCGCAGTTTTGCGGCGGGATTGTTGGCGTTCGATTTCGGAATCGGGCACGCGCGTGACATTACAAGCGGAAAAGCCACACACGCTCATGCGCGAAGCCGAGCCGAAACGGATCCGTAGACACTGGAAAACACTGGTGAATGAATGCGGTCGCGCGGTAATCACGTTTACGCAAATTGTCGAGATCCCGAATGTGGAATGATGCTGCGAATGGCATTACGAAGAGGTGCCTGCACCTTCGGCACTTGCATTACTCAAATGCCAAACGAGACCCGGCCCATCACAGCCGGACCGGATGCCGGACCCCCACAACCACGACAAATTCGGCTGTCGTCGAATTGACTCTCCGGTTGAAAATAACTGACAACAGTGTGCTGCCTTAGGTAAGGTAAGGTAAGGTAAGGTGCAGGCACGTCGTGCGAGCGGGCAGGATTGAAGCTACTGAAAAACTTTCACGAAGAAAATGGAAATGGGCTGCGCGTTTTCAAATCTAGGAGCGATATGATGTGATGTGATGTATGGTATTTATTTATGACGACGCATCTAGAGAGCGGCCTCGCGCGGAGTGACGAACGACAGTGCGCGCGTAAGTAAGTAGCAGCGTTGTGCCGAGCAGCTCCGAGCTCCGCTTTCGTGTGTATTGTTCCATCGGGATCGGGACAAATTTCACGAAAACTGCCCAGATTACAGATCACAGATCGTAGAGAAAAGATCGTGCAAAAAGAGGGAGAAAATTAATTTCGCGAAATGATGTAGACGCGTGAGCGAAAGCGGATTACAGGAAAGTGGAAGACTCTCGGAAGCAGATATTACAGTCTTTTTAAATTAAGAAGACTCCAGGAAACTCTCTTCCTCTCTCCCCTGCCCCGTGAATGTTAGTCTGTTGCGAGAGCGTGCACAGAGCAGCAAGCTTACGCCACAAGCGAGAGAGATCGTAGCTCGAAACTACGTTCGTTATTACGTTCACCGCGGCGGCGTAGTACCGTGCATCATGATTACAATTAATTAAGTGTATAGCTCGAAGTATAGGATTGCAATGGAGTTATTCAGTAAATTTTTATCGGAATGTGAACGTAAAAACGTAAAAATACAACAAGCACACCGTGCTATGATTTGTGAAATCTGATGAGATGCGTCTTGTGTAAATTTGATAAAAACGATTGATACGCGCGTTCGTGTGGACGTTCGCGCTGTTAATTATCTAATTGGAAGTATAAATGAGAATTCGTAACGACACGAATGTATTTAAATTATACACATATTGACGAGGGGAGCAGGCAGCTATACGCGTAATATTATGGTAATTGCACGAGATAATTGAATAGTTTGCATTGAACACAAAATGTTAATTGGAAATGTAATCCAGCAACGCAAGAATTGACAAGTGCATGCACGTTTCGAATTGTTTCGATCGAAACGTCGGTGTAAAAATTCAAACGCCCATTTGACACCGCATCGAGACAAGCGCGACGTTAAGACGATACCCATTGGACCCGTGAATGCAGAAAAACGCACGGTTTTGTTGTCTTCAATGATTTACAACTTACGAAAGACGCTTCTGAATTGAGGAGTAAGCAAGAAGGAATTCAAATCCGGCAGTTTTATATTGTAGTCGACGTTATCGAGTCGGAACGCGGAGCCGAGAGCTCGCGTAGTGAGCAATTATCGAATCTCAGATTTATCCAAATTGAATTTCGTCGACCGCGCCTTATTTCAATTCGTTCGACCCTCATTGCAGCGACTCGTCTATGATTACATCGTGCATGAACATTGAGCATTGTATGTGCGACATAGCCTCGTAATACAGCAACACAGCACAGACCGATAGAACTAGTATTGTTTTTTTTTATACTCACAAGGACCATTGTTACTGTCGGGGGCTGCGAAACAGGCAGATACAACAAAACTTTAATCTCTAGTCTTCAGACAAGCAGTCGTAAGAGATACATACGAAACGAACATCACGATTCGAACACAACTAAATGATCTACTGTCAAAGATAAACGTAAATACGGACAGCCACTAAAAATACGTAATCAGAAAGTACATTCGCTGGAAAAAGCGCTCAAAAAAAAAAAATATATATATATATGACAAAGATTTGAAAGAACATAGTAAAACTTTGGCAACGGCGCGAAACAATATCAGTCAACTGAAATAAAAGTGTCGAATCCTTAGTATTTAGTAAAATTGTAAGATTAATTAAAATTACCAGTGAAATTGGCATAGAATCTCGCGGACACTATCGCTCGAAATATCACATGTTTTCTTCGACTTTTCCCGTTTGCCCAATTTCACCAATATACTGTTGTCTCTCTCTCTCTCTCTCTCTCTCTCTCTCTCTCTCTCTCTCTCTCTCTCTCTCTCTCTCTCTCTCTCTCTCTGTGTGTGTGTTTGTGTGTGTGCGTGTGTATGTGTGTGTACGTGTCTGTGTGTATGTGTGTGTTAAAACTCAGCAACTAAATACCATAATGCAGCAAAATAGTGACGAGTATACCAAGTATATATTCAGACTTGCATCATGTCACAAGAGTCTTTTCATACAGTTTAAATAGTGCAAGTACCATAGCCAAATTACGAAATAAAAACGGACATGTTTTACTCGAATCCCGATACTTCCGACGCGATAACTTGTTGGACATTGTAGCGAAAAATAATTGTCCCGAAAAACAATGTATCAAAATTTAACAAGTGTGGAACAATTTTGCAAAAAATTATAATAAATCCGACAATCCGAATACCGAGACAATCTCTCGAAATACAATTTTATCGAAATTGGAATTTGAATTCTCGTTGCATAGCATCAATGATTCACTGATATTTGAATACGGCAAGAGTACATAATCAAATTGGTGAGTATTAAAGTACATTTATCTGTATTGTTTCCTTTTTTTTTTCAGAGTAACAGTTCCTCTCTCTTTGGAAGACACACATGGAGCACAAAATTATACACTTTGGCAGAATTATATTTCGGGGGATATATTGTTGTCTCGACGTTTGAACTGATCGTGACTTTACTTTTCAGGGAATTTCGTGCAAATTTTCAAATTTCAAAATTTTGATTTTTCGGACAATCAGACAGATCCGATTACTTCGACAACTTTTGCGCACGTTTCCGATTTCGAAAGAGATTGAGATACGATAATAAAAGGCACTCTTGATTATCGCAGAATGGAAAATTTTGGGAAATTCGTCTTACGTAAGTACGTTTGCTGCAAAACGAACAAAGTTCTGTCGCTGTTACGATTTTTCACATTTTACCATATAATTTTGAGACGACGTCACGCTACGATCGCACGACAACATTGTTTCTCATCGACAATGCGCGAGTGAGGTTCGCGCTTGGCATCCGCGATAAACGAATACCGGGGAGGGGGAGTGGAGTGGGGGAGGGGGGAGTACGTGTCGCGTGTCAACTTACCAGTGTTGAAGTCCAGGGCGAACTCTTCGAAATCGTTGCCCTTGGTGATGCTGTATATGAGTTTGCGACTCAACGGTGACTCAGCTTGGATGGATAACGCCAGGGGTGAATGTACTTCTATACTCTCGAGCACGCTATCCGTGTAGAATTGCTTGTCAAATACTGGCATCGAGCGATCTATCACCTTCACATTGACTGGCACCTCAATGGAGCAAGGCGTTATTCCTGCAATCATATTTAGAAGCTCATTTAAAGTGGATCAAGCGGAAAGCCGTGAGCTATTGGCATGAGAGCTCAACAAAACTCACCGCCGTCGTACGCAGCGATCGTAAGCTGATATTCACGATTGTGGCCCTCGAGATTCTGCTTCAACGATATCTCGCCGGTTTTCCGGCACACCTTAAAGAGCTCCCCGTGACCCTTCTTCAGTTCGTATCTCACCTCGCCGTTGTCACCGCTATCCATATCTACCGCGTGCACTTTCGTAATAACGTCGCCCTTCTGGGCATCGACCGACACGACTGCGTAATACGGCAAATTAACGAACATTGGGCAATTGTCATTGATGTCGAGTATCGTGACATTGACTATAACGTGAGCCACTCGGGGCTTCTCGCGGTCCGGCGGATGGCTCTTGGCCTCGACGATTAATTCGTAATGATCGCACGTTTCCCGATCGAATCGTATGCCGGTGGTTCTGATCGCGCCCGAGGTCGGTCCGATTACGAACATGTCGGTGGGATTAAGAATGCTGAAGACAATGTGCTCGTTCAGGGAACTACCGAGGACGTTCACCACCATCACGGTCGTAATTTTCGTGGAGTTCTCTAGTATGGCACCCTCGTAGACGTTCTTCTGGAAGATCAAACCGGAATTCTCCGACTTCTCCACCATCACATTCACCTGCGCTACGCTCGAGTATTTGCCGTCTGACACTCGCACGTGGAGAAGATAGCTTTTCTTCATACGTTCTGAATTGTGGACGGTAATGATGCCGCTCTGGGCGTCTATGTCAAAGGTGTGAGCTTTATTCCCGTCTATAATGTCGTACCTGTATCAAAATAAAATGCATCAAGCTATCTGCCAGTTAGAAATAAATTCGTCGATACGATGACGATCAATAGCTGAGTAACGGCTACTTCAACGGCGATTCTCACGCACGTGACATCGCTAGTGAGCGCGACTTGAATATAATTGAAAATTTCGAATAAAAACGGACGACAGATGGCCAGGTAGATGGATTCACATAGAAGAAGCGTCTATTGTCGCTGCAGGATTAATCACGCGAGAACGTTGCGACAAGAGACTCGAAACACGTGTACTTGAATACAATCTATCATCATAGAAATTGACAAGATGTTTAAAGAAGTCATCAGAAATTAAATGTGAGCTTCGAGCGGAAGATTGCAGTGCGCGCGCGTGTGTGTGTATGTGTGTGACGCTAGTAACGTACGTACGCCAAGAGAATGCGCCACATTTTTAACACCAACCACAAAATACGAAATAAAATCACGAAGCAACCGAGAAGGCAAGTACGAAAATGAAAAGCGAACGACGAATGACGACCTCAGCGGATCCCACGTACCTCAAGGCGGTTCCCTCGGAGCTGTCGGGATCTGCAGCGTTCACCCGGATGACGGCGACGTTTTTGTACGTCGGCAGCAGGAGCGTGACGTTGTAATCAGTCTTGGAGAACTTGGGCGGGCAATCGTTCACGTCCGTCACGGCGATCATCACTTTGGCAGTGGTCTCGGAGGAGAGTTTTGGCTTGCCCAGATCCGAGACCTTCACGTGGAACGAGAACATCGGTATAGTTTCGTGATCGAGCACCATGACTGTCCTGATGGCGCCGGTGCTGGAGTCAATGTGGAAGTACTTGCGCGGCAGGTCCTCGACGATGTCGTAGTTGAGCAGAGCGTTCAGCTCGGAATCGGCGTCTTCGGCCTTGATGACCAACGGCGCGCTCGTGTTGGTCAGCACGAGCGAGCCGATGCTGGCACCTTCGCTGATCCCTCCGCTATACAGAGCCTGCAGGAACCGCGGCGCGTTGTCGTTCCTGTCGAGCACGTGGACGATGACGTTGCAGACGGCGGACGCGCCGGCCATATTCGTCGCCGAAACCGACAGGTTGTAGAACTTGGTCTTCTCGTAGTCCAACTGATTCTTAATGACGATCACACCGGTGCTAGGATTCACGAAGAAAGTATCGTCGCGGTTGCCGCGCACGATCTCAAATTGCAGTGACGACGTGCTCCTAGCCTCGACGTGCTTCACGTACGTGCCCAGCTGCTGATTCTCGTAGATCTCCGCGGAGAGCTCCTTCTGAACGAAGCGCGGCGGTGCGTTATCGGCCATCGTGACCATCACGTGCACTGGCACTGTGTTCGACAACGCCGGCGAGCCGTGATCCGTCGCCTTCACGAGGAGTATGTACTCCGAGGTGACGCCGAGGTCGAGCTCGCGAGCGACGCGAATGAAGCCCAGATCCGGATCGACCGCGAACACGTTGCCGACGTTGCCGGATGTGATCGAGTAGGTGATTCGCGCGTTCTCGCCGCGGTCCCGATCGATCGCGCACACCTGTACCACTGCCGTGCCGACCGGCGAGGTCTCGTACACCTTGCCCTGGATGATCTCGCTGATGAACTCGGGCGCATGATCGTTGTGATCGTGCACGGTGACGATGACGCGGGCGTAGTTGCGCTTGGCGGGCGTGCCCTGATCCTTCACCATCACCGTCAGTACGTGCCTTTCGATGGCCTCCCGGTCGAGCGGCTCGTTCAGAGTGATCGAGCCGAGCACCGAGTCCACGTGGAAGATCTCGAGGGACGCTTGACTCTGCGCCGCGTGCAGGCTGTAGAAGACCTTCTTGTCCTCGTCCCGGTCGGTCGCGTGCAACTGCAGGATCCTCTCACCCTTCTCGACGTTCTCGGAGATGTCGACGTGATACGTGCTCTCGCTGAACTCCGGCCGGTGATCGTTGATGTCGATCACCGTAACGAACAGCTGCGTCAGCGCGGTGTGCACACCGTCCGTTACGCCGATGGTGAGGTTGTAAAAGTTCTGGCTCTCCCAGTCGAGCTGCTTGGCCAGCAGCACGTTGCCGTTGTCGCGACCGATGAAGAATTCGTCGTCTTTGTCCCCGTCTGTAACCGCGCGTGGATGGTTACGCGACTCGAAATGACTTGGTTGCTCTGCTGTTGCGCAGATTAAACGTCGACGTGATGCGTCGTCGCAATGGTCAATTCCGTCAGTCGAGAATAATTCTATCGCATTGTTCAACACTTTGACGGCCGCTTGACACAGCCTCTGTGTCGCAGCCGTTTTCTCTCTATCGCAGCGCTCTTTTATACAGAAATATATATATATATATATATATATTTATAGTATATTTTATATATAAAATGTTATAGAAATATATATATATATATATATATACGTATATACATATTTATATAACATTTCCTATACACCGTGTAATACACGGGCTCTCGAATCTGCCGACAGCGGTCAGAGATTTCTCCAAAGTAAGTGTGGCCATCAAAGTGTTAAGAAAACCGAAGAAGATCGAGTGTATAATTTTGCAAGAAAATACACAATCGTGTGTGTCTCTGCTTTATGCGAGAAATCATATTTCTATGCGCGTGTGATCTTTACAAATTATGAAAACACAGAGGGGTGGAGGGGGGCGGGGACAAGTGGTCTTACCTAGAATATCGTACCACAGAGAATCACCGTCCTTGTCGGTGGCTTGCACGAGAGCTACTAAAAAGCCCACCTCGTCACTTTCTGTTACATCCACGCTTTGATTGTTCGTCTTGAACACCGGAGAGTGCTCCGATTTCTTCGGTGTTTCGACAACTTGAACGGAAACTCGAGTCTGATGACTACGCTGCGGTTCACCGTGATCGGTCGCTCGTATCTGTAGGATACGTTGCACACGTGACAATTTCGATTTCGAGTCGAGTTTCAACTGTGAAGATATTAGCACTACACAATGCTGACACCATACGCCCACATATGGTGCCTACCTTAATGACACATCTCCAATTTTCAATCTTACGCGTAAGAAAGATGTTCAATACATTCGTACAACAGAACGGGCACCAGACGAAGATTCGATGACGAGGAACGTTGTCTCTGTTAGGCGCAATCGAAAATATTCCTCCTGGGGCTATGGAAAATCAATTACACGAATCGAGCCTGCTTCCGTGCATTATTATTCTTTCATAAATTAACTGTCGATATGACAAAATTTTACAAGAGCGACGGATGCCGTATAACTCGAGAGCTTTTACGTTTCATCAGGTTAAGTGTAACGGAGTGGTGTTACTTTTATTGAATATTGTATTAGGAGAAACGATTTTCTGTTAGGGTGACAACTGAGAGAACTGTTTTCCGTCGCTGCTGGCGAGTCTGGATGAAAAATCGATTATATTGTATGTAGGAGCAGGTAGATTCCGTAGAAAGTTTCTGTGCTCGATCGGTTATTTCAACCGATGTAATTAAATACAGTTGAGTGTTCAGACGAATGTTTTCGACTGTGGTAACAGAGCCGTGTCATTTCTCGTCACTAATCTGGCTCCTATTCGGTTACACAAATTCACCCAATTAAAGTGCCCGTGATTACTCATGGATACTCCTAATATCTCCTCGTAAGCTCCACACACATGTGTACACATACGCACTCACCAACATTTCATATTCTTGATCAGCTTCGAGCCCACGCTGCGAGTATACCATGCCTGTAGTGGGGTGAATCTTAAACTTGCCTTTTCCTCGGCCACTCTTGATACTGTATTGAATTCTCCCGTTATCACCGATATCTTGGTCCTTTGCGAGTACCTAATACAAATTTCGATAGTTAGCCCCCATTGTCAATGTTACGTCGACGAGCACATCTACTACGACGCAGATCGTGACGCATGGCATAAAAGAAATATTAGTATTGCGCACAATCTATAGTCGCGTATAATCTAGATAGAGAATGCTGCAAGTGAGAAACCGGCCGTCCAGTCATCGACATGCCGCTCGAAACACGCGATCATCTCTGCCGACGATGGCAGATTGCGCAGATCTCTGGTTCCGCGGTTTCTGGTTTCCTTGCTGTTCTGTCGCCGCAAAATACCAATTGCCAAGTGGCAACATTCTGGCGGATTGCGCGAGACTCGACGAGGCGCGTACTCGCGCCTAGTCGCGAGATACGTACTTGATGACCCGCGCAATTACGTGTATTCCCGGAACGTCGCGAGTGAGATAACGAGAGACCTCGAAGCGCAACGCAGCATTCAGCATGGTTCGCATGCGGCACATCAACAAAAGAACCAAAGGAGAATCGTCGCGACAGCAAGATGCAGTTGCTCCGATCTATCGGCCGACGTGGTCAGCCTCAAAAGCGTGGCGCGCCCGCGACCGTGCTCTCGTAGTGATTGTTGCCGAGGGTGACGAAAAATTGCCGTGGTGCAACGCATAAATAAAGAATATACGCCGGGCCGCGGGTGCTCGCATTCGCGTGCTCGATTCTCGTCGAGAGGCGAGAGCTTGCGCGTGAAAAAGAAAAAAGAAAATGAAGTTGTCGGTCCATTACCTTCCGCAAGCGCGTCGCTGCCGCCGCGGCCGTGCGCTATATACTATCTACCGCGATAGTTGTACATTGTCCCTCCCTTTCCGAGAGAATATTTTTCTCTCACACGCACACTCGCTGGCTCAACGGCGACAAAACGGCGACGCGAGTAGAGGAGCTAGGTGGCTTCCAATCCACCTTTCAAGCTGGGTGCTCGTCGTGACGTCACAAGAGGGAGAGTATCATCAATTAAGCGACCAGTATCGAACGTCAATCGAGCCACTATCGAACCATTATCAGCGTCAATCGAATGTCTATCGAATCACTATTCGAATTCGTTATCGTATGCCGATAGATGTTCATTGACGATCATTCAATAATGGTTCGATAGTGGGTTTAATTGATGGTAACCCCTCTCCCGTCTCTGACGTCAAGGCCTACATGTGCGAAAAGTAGATTAGAAGCTCGCTTAGCTGCTTCTTGACTGACACGTGTACTTCTTTTCGCGTTCGAAAGGTTCGTGTGCGCGCACACGAACCTTTCGAACCTCGCGCATCGCGGAAAGAAAAAGAATTCGAGGCTCGTTAAATTTCATGCTAATCTTTTTGTGTCTCGTCCTGCGGAAGGAAACACTCCGTGTCCCGATATCCTCCGATATTCTCTCTTTCTCCCTAGCGCCTCCGCGACGTGCGGCATTCGTACGTGCACATGCACCGAGACTCGCATTGTTTGCGCTCGACAACTTATGACGCTACTGATGTAAACGTACGCAAACACAATCTCTGCGCGAGTCTTCCTCTCCGTTCGGAGTTCCTTGCGATTATGCACTCTCGCGGAGCGTTCCAAGCAAGCATTTTTCGGTTGTGTCTCTTGGCGCATGTTACTTTGATTGCTGCGTAATTCACAGAGGACACGAGAGTGTGCGCCAATGTTCCCTCCGATTCCGAGGTATAATAATAACGTAAGAACGTAAATGACCCGTAAATGGCCCGGAGATTCCGCGATTCCGCGCAAAACTCCAAGACGGAATCGATATCCTCGATACCTCGCTGAGATATCCTCGGCGGTGCAATCATTAGTAGCGATAATGATAACGGAACATACTCAGGCGACGGCCTCAACCAAGTCCGATAAGGCGACATTTAGGAGCACAATACATATAGGCAGTGCACGCAGGAGTGATACGAATTATCAGATATGGGGAGAAAGCCACGAAGAGGCGGAGACGAAGGAAGACAGACACAAGGTGAGGTGAGAAGGGGCGCAGTCAAGAATGCTGACAATGATACATGTACATACACATTATATATATATACATATATATATATATAAAGAACGTTGTGCGCAGGATAGAGCAAACAATTGATCAATCCTTGACTGGCCGCGCGGAGAAGATTGTGTTTCTTCTTACTGTTACATTGATTACAGATTCAAGTAGTTCTTCATTCATTATTAATTCCAACGGCTATAACACCGGTCAACAAATTTCACAAATCTCACAATTTATATCTTTCTCGAATTTTTATCTTTCTCTTTTTTCTATTCATGTGTGTTGACATGATAGATGACGAGAACAAATATTATTTAGTTTCCGGTGAAAAAGGTTATATTTTTGGACTACAGTTTTCTTTTTTCATACTGTCCATAGGAAAAGTAAAGTTTCTTTGTAACATTTACACACACTACTAGGCAGCTCAAAAGATAAATCGATTCCGTCAATAAAAGATCAGAATTCAAAGTCTCTGTTTTTTTCTTTGTTTTTGTTTTCACAGGAAATTAAAACATTCACAAACTTATATAGGGCGTACATAGCAGTCGTAATGATGACCGGTGTAATCAGCGCCAGAATAGTTTGATACTGAACGCGACCAATCGAGGGTCAAATGCGTATCCTATTGACGAGCAGCGGTAGAATTGAAAAAGAAAACACACACGCACACACATACACACAATTGTGTGAAAACAGACAAAAAGGTTAACGTACAAACGATACATACATCAAAGCGCTCCAAAGTGAAACGACGCACAGAGCTCGAGTAAAATTATAATCCGGCCAATTAATCAAACGTAGCATAGAGATAAGAGCCATACGATGGCTCGCACGCGCGCGCCCTCCTTGCGTCTCGCCTGGCGCTTATTTTACGTGTCCTTACCCTGAAGATACGATCTCCTGACAGGGTGTCGGGGCTAAATGTCTCCCAAGTCCCGTTCTCTAGTAACGTATCGATCGAAAGGTCGAACTCCCGCGAGCGGTTCCTCGATTTCTGTCGAGAACCAGAGAGGACAGCTTTTAGCCTCAGGACTGTTTCTATCGACGTTCGATTTTTTTCCTCTCGTCTATATGTCCACAGCGATCGTTTATCCTCGTTACTTCTTTTTGCACGGGAAACAGTGTGGCGTCGCCCGAAAAGAACTTAAAGCCGATTCAAGTTTCGACGACGCGTCGCAATAAAGTTTGCGCGCGCGCGCGCGCGCGCTGAACTCAGAGGCGACATTTTATCCCCTTAAGAGGCAAAGCCTGACACTTTTACATAATTATTCTTTCGCATTTTCCCGCTACTGTATGTTGGCGCGAGGTGTTACATTTGTGTGATATTGCACACGTACAATATGACGTAACAATCATGACGATATTCGACACGCGAAGGTGAGATTAGCTTTCCCTTTAAATTTTTTGCGCGACCAAGCCCGTTGGATTTTGTTTCGTAATGCGGAGTTAACACTTCTCTTTCGAAAAATTCGTTCTCCCTTTTGCACTTTTCAAGCGCAGTATTATCGCGAAAAGCATAATTTATGCACGCGTTCTTCTTTTTTCGCGTAACACAACGGATTAAACAGATTCTTCCGGGAGTATACAGTAAATATCTAGCTGCGAACAAATAATGTTAATATTCGTATCATGTGCGCACATAGTACGTTATGAATGTGCCGATATCACAATGACCAAAGTCTCGCAAGTCACTGTTTATACGGTATAATTTGCGGTATCGAATATTTTGCGATTTTCAATGACATGAATCACATAGCAATCGCGCCCGAAAAATTAGTCAAATACTTTTTTTTTCGTTAAACGCGCTTAACAATAAAATTTCTCGCGGTCGCAGTTAAATATTGATCTGCACTTAAATATTGATTCTCTCTCTCTCTCTCTCTCTCTCTCTCTCTCTCTCTCTCTCTCTCTCTCTCTCCCTCCCTCCCTCTCGCCCTTCTCGGCTCCTTGAATCGCGGAGTCGTAAATTCTTCCGTTTTCAATTAGGTCCGCACCGTTTCAGCGACGCCTCGTAATTTAATTTGCCTTGGTCGATCTCTAGAGCCGATGCTCATGTTTGCAGCGGAAGTGCAACGCTCGTGAAAGTTTGCTTTCGTATGCACAAAGAGTTACAAGAGAGGGACGAAGAAAAAGGAAGACAGAGAGAGAGAGAGAGAGAGAGAGAGAGAGAGAGAGAGAGAGAGAGAGAGAGAGAGAGAGAGAGAGAGAGAGAGAGAGAGAGAGAGAGAGAGAGAGAGAGAGAGAGAGAAGGAGAGAGGTGGGACCATGTGGCTGTGTCGGAAAACTCGTGCTAGGGCTCGTGGAACGCTAAATCTCTACCCTTCTATGCGACGATACTTGGTAATGGATTTACTTTGATCACACCGAAAAGAGGAGGCTTTGATGGGAAAACGATAACGAGAAGCAAGGGAGGAGTCGCAAGCAAGTCTCCACTTCGTATAAGTGTAATGTATCAAGCTGTTTCCTTTTTTTCTCTTGTTTTGTTCATATGATTCGGTAGCGCGCCGCTATTGCGAGTTGCGCGTCGGATGAACGCGCGCCAAACTCGGAATAACGGCACGATTCGTCAAGCGAGAATGAAGACACAAGTTCGGGTAAAATTCGACGATCGTTCGTACGTGATGTAGCGCATTATCGTGCCGCGCAATAATTTCACAGATAGTGCCGGATATATACAACGGAATATGAGCTCAGTACCTTTTACGCGCGGGGCAACATAAAGAAAAGCGGGGAGAGGGGGAGGTGATTTCGAATTATAGTTCGTCGTGACCGCTTTGTTCTCGCACTCGGTCTGTTCGACGGTTATTAGAGACATATTTACAAGAAATTTGGATGACGACTGGTCGAGATCGGCATGACCGCGATGCACAGCGATACTCGAAGAAACACATACCTGGAAGAGCGGTTTGTCGGTCGCCATCGACGCTGGAATTTGAACCGTGTAAAACTTCTGCTCAAAGTCGGGTCTATGATCGTTAATGTCCGCAACCTCAATGACGACCCTCGTAGTCGACGATAACGGAGGTTTGCCATCGTCTCTTACTGTCACCTGGAAGCACGAAATAATCAATCACAGCATGAAACAATGTAATACATGTTGCATACTTTTGTTACAAACATAATTACAAAATACAAAAACAAGATTACTTGATATCCACCCAAATCAGCTATTGAAAGAAAAATAAAGAAAAAGACACACGAAAAATTAAAAGAGAGAGAGAGAGAGAGAGGGGGGGGGATGGAAGAGTAAAAAAGAAAAGAAAGAAAAGAAAAAAAACATTACACAGATTACGTTCCGATCCCATCGTGTGGCCCAATAGTAATAATAAAATGGTAATAACCAATTTTCTGATATAACGCAAAATCAACCGACGATATGGAGAAACGATCTCGTCAGAGGCAAAACAGTCTTAATTTTCGAGTACTTCTTCATTTTACGCGATAACTTTTCTACGCGAAGATGTATGTAACGATGAGCGGCGGATCGTTGGACGTCGATTATAGCCGGGTTACAATGTTGCGCGCCACTTGTCCTCATCAGTCGAGTGGGTCGTCAGAGAAGAGAGAGGTATCAAGTCCAAAGCGTGAACGCAGCGTACCGCGTGCGTGTCGTCGATCGGCAAGACACGGACTGTGAAACTTTGGATGGCCAGATTTCGATGTGAAAATCTTGATGTACGAACGCAAAGCAAACGCCATTCTTCTCGATGATTCACATCGCATTTGCGTCATGCCGTTCATGCCGCGTATACTTCTGTCACGATAGCGCGTATTCACTTGTACGATCACAACATACGGTAACACGTGATGTATCGATGCAAATTTATAAAGTGATTGTGAAAAACGGTCTTAATTTCTCTCATACGTAAAGCATGAAGCTTAGCACGCGTATTTCGCGCAGAGATTTCCGTATAATTTCGCGTGTTATACAAATGGTGCGCGCGAGATTTCGTGACATTTTATACAATCTACGCAATTGTGAGTATTACATACGGAGAAATTCATTCTTCCGCCGATGTATGGTTGCGAATGTCTACAAGTCTCTCAGTCTTTGTGTCATGGTGTCAACCAAAAGCATCGGACAGGCATAGTGGAGACTGAAGAGATATTTCCACACAAGAGAGACCGCAGAGGAAGAAAATAAAACAAGCGTGTTACGAAATGTACACTGAGACACGCATTATAGCATAAATATCAAATTTCGCGTTAAATTTCGAACCTCTCTCAAATTGATGGATATGACTCAATAATTTTGATAACGGGAGAAGAAAGACGCGCGGATGCGATATTTTCTCTCATAAATATGGAAACGTTATTAATTATAAAACGTTACGAGCGCCTACGAGCTCTATATCGGCCAAATGGATTAAGCAATAACCGAATACTGAAAAGCCAGCACCGGTAATTTCGGTGAATAAACGAGTTAATGCCGATTCTGATTAATTCATGGTTAAATTAACACAGATGCCGGAGCCATCGACAAATCAAATCACAGCATCAACATATCGTTGACTCGATTTATTAGTACCGCGTATGAAAGCATACGATCAGAGCGCTTTTACCGCACGAAATTTCAGTCCCTCGCGTATCGAGGCGTTCATTAATATACAAAATTCGTCTGCGTTTTCGTTTTCTCGTTTCGCAGCGGACGCTCGCTCTTTCGTATACATATCGAATTCGATAACTATGACCAAGCGCCGAATTGCAAATATGCATTACACATTAATTCCGCGTTAAATTATTGGCAGTCGTGCAAAAATGCACACGCGTTCCCGTGCGCAACCTGTCGATTGTTCATCGTGAAAGAAAGAAATGTTCGATCGAGAGCTAACGAGAGAGAAACGAGAAGGGACAGGAAGGGAAGGAAAGTATACGAAGGGAAAATAGCCAGTATAGATATTCCCGGGTATCTCGCAAGATTCCCCCGTCGCTACGATTTTACGTGCGGCCGCCCGTGCCGCGCAGCACCCCCTTCTTCCTTTTTCCACTTGCTGCAATCGTTGTCTTATCGCGCACGCTTCTACCTTCTTTCTCGTTGTCCCGCGAAATCCAGGACTTTCATGCGCGAATATCGCACGTACGATCTGTGCAGTCGGTTGTGCTGACCGGAAGAGGGAGGTGGTGTAGAGCTTCTGGTCGTAAAGACGAGTGCCACGGCATCCGAGAGACGACGACGTCGCAAAGCCAAGATTCCCGGTGCTTGGTGTGTTCGCGCCGTCGTTGACAGAAAATGCACGAACTGGGATCGGAAACCGTAAAGTTTTTGACGATTTCGAATTTGGAGACGCCGCGTGCACCCGACGAAGGAGATTAAGCGCGTGCGAGGGTATGTAAGTAAGCTCCTTTTATTCGCGTGCTCTTTTTAGTTTTCTCTCTCTTTCTCTCTCTCTCTCTCTCCCCATCCCTCTCGCCTTTAATATCACGATTTTTAATATAGACGTATAAAATGTGTGAGCGGCGTGGAAAAAGGACTCTTCGCGGTGCACCACTGAAAGTTGCGTCATCGTGTCATCGTTCCTGGCCAGATATAGAATAAATAGCTTTAATAATTACCTCTCTGCAGGCAGTCGCGCAAATACTGCAAACGCGCTGGAGTTTGTGTAATATTAGTGTAATATTAATGCGATGTAATTGGTCTTTTTAGCGAAGCGATCGCGCATCTGGCATATCGCGCTGTTGTATTTTTGATTTCTAGTTTATTTTTGTTTGTATCTATAAATCCTGAACCGCGCGACGCGCGGCCGTGCCTCGTCCCAGTTTCGAAGGGCATTCTCTATTCCATTCTACACTATTCTATAGATAGACCAGTCTGTCCGCTTTTCGATCTAGAGAACAGCTCTTCGCTGCGCTACGATGTAATAGTAACGATGCAGCGCGGCGGTGACGGAGGCAGAGACAGAAACGACGGCGGCGAGCTGGCATCTGACTCATCGCATCGACGAGCGCTCTATTACGAGGCCGGGCGATCTGTCCGTCTGTACGTTCCGTTCATCCATCTGGCGCTCGGCGGAAGGGCCATGCAGACTGATGTGTGTGTGTGTGTGTGTGTGTGTGTGAGAGAGAGAGAGAGAGAGAGGCCGGTTACACGAAATTCATCGTCTCGGACTCTGTCGTTCCCCGTCTGTTCTTCGGCGCAATAATCGGGCGTCTCACGAAGCAATTTCCGGCAGCGGCGTGCGCGGACAGGGGGAGGGGGGGGGCGGGGGCCGGAGACCGCGACGTAAATCCAATGTCTTCCGGAACATCTCTCGCGGCGTCGCGGAGGACGCGCAGATTCTCCCCGGGTAACACACCTGCACTAAATTAGTAATACGAAACTCCGTTTTATATACCAGAGGTTTCCGGCTGCTCTCATCTATGCTGCGAAGCGACGGGACCGATCCGTGTCCCGGGAACATCTCCACGGATTTCTCTCGCGAGTGTCCGTGGTGATAGTATACGCGCATGGATCGTCCGTCTCCCGTCGTGTCCCGCTGTACACACGGTGGTCTGCCGAGAACGGTTCTGCTGAGACGCGTTCCTTTGATCCGCGGAAGCGACGAGATATTTACGAAACCTAGATTCCGTTTCGGGGAACGCGATGCGAGGGTGCGTTGTTGCGCCGGGTCATTTTCTTCTCTTCATTATTCCGACATCAGTAATAGAACGGATCTCGAGGTTAATTAGTTTGGAGAGTGGATCAGCGTCTGGATTTTCGTTACGTCATACGGCCGCTATCTCATCCACTTCGAGGCCATATTGCTGATTTCATCATCTTGCCATGGCTTCAAGACGGAGGCATATATTAAACGCGTTATGTTTCTGGAGCACCCTGTACAAGATAAACTTAGGGTCCTTACGCTGTGGTAGATTTAAACGCTTGGCCGATCGCGCTAAATCCGTCCGAGCCTCGTCGTCGTATCTTGCCCGGAGATGCCGGAGGTTCCCTCGTATCGTCCTCGAAGTATTCGCAATTTTATCATTTCACCCGCCAAGGCAGAAGGAGAGAGAAGGGAGGAGAGGGTAGGGTAGAGTAGAGTAGAGTAGAGAGAGAGAGACAGAGAGAGAGAAAGAGAGAGAGAGAGAGAGAGAGAGAGAGAGAGAGAGAGAGAGAGAGAGTGTGTGTGTGTGTGTGTGTCTCATGCTTGAGGCTATTGGAGGAACGGTTTAATATCGGTTCGCGATCTACGCAAGTCGCACGGTAGGATTGGCAGGTCCCGAGAAGGCAACTTACCACAGCAAACATATGAATGCCAGGTAGAGCTGATTATCCCGGTACATGCTAAATATGTCATTTCTTTCCTTCTCATGTACAAGCTGCTAGTACGGCGAATGCATCATATTATTCAATAATTCGCTCTCGATTTTTGGTTACGCTCGCTTCAGTTGCTTTATTCGCGATTTGATCGAATCCACATCGAGATGCGCTTCGGTCGCTATAATCCGAAAACAGCAAGTCTTTCGACCGATACTTTTGTTCACTGTCTGAACGAGACGCTACTGCGGCCACGCATCACGGAGGACGGTCCTAGGTCTCCTCGTCGGCAGCGGTTATTCAGTGATCGAGTCGCGTTATTTCTCCGACTCTGGCACGGGCTTGAATAACGAGCGATAAAATCGTCGGACTTTTCGAATAATCTGGCGACGTATTTCTCTGGCAGGACTACACTCGAGTGTATCCCATTGCGAGGCCGCACGCTCCGAGAAGAACCGTGTTTTCCTCGTGATTAGGGGTAATAGCCGTGTGCTTTGCCCGAGCAGTTCTTCAGAACCTTGCCCCCCTCTTCTCTCTCTCTCTCTCTTCCTCGTAGCTGCTGCTGCTGCTGCTGCTGCTGCTACTGCTCCTCTCTCGGCTCTCCGTAATTACCTCGACGGCCTCTGCTGATTTCTCCGGGCTTAACCCCGCCGTCGCACGTTTGCGGCTAAATCCGAGGAACTCACCATTGGCTACGAAGCGGCGCACCGACACCCGTGACAGCTCGACCGCTACAATAAACTCGGAATCGCGTGGAACTCTGCGCGCATTTTCCTTCGGCGTCGTAATCGTCAGATCGATGAGGACTATCGCGT